CGAAGCTCCCGTTCCACCACATCCCAAAGATGCTCTATTGGGTTGAGATCTGGTGACTGTGGGGGCCATTTTAGTACAGTGAACTCATTGTCATGTTCAAGAAACCAATTTGAAATGATTCGAGCTTTGTGACATGGTGCATTATCCTGCTGGAAGTAGCCATCAGAGGATGGGTACATGGTGGCCATAAAGGGATGGACATGGTCAGAAACAATGCTCAGGTAGGCCGTGGCATTTAAACGATGCCCAATTGGCACTAAGGGGCCTAAAGTGTGCCAAGAAAACATCCCCCACACCATTACACCACCACCACCAGCCTGCACAGTGGTAACAAGGCATGATGGATCCATGTTCTCATTCTGTTTACGCCAAATTCTGACTCTACCATCTGAATGTCTCAATAGAAATCGAGACTCATCAGACCAGGCAACATTTTTCCAGTCTTCAATTGTCCAATTTTGGTGAGCTCTTGCAAATTGTAGCCTCTTTTTCCTATTTGTAGTGGAGATGAGTGGTACCCGGTGGGGTCTTCTGCTGTTGTAGCCCATCCGCCTCAAGGTTGTGCGTGTTGTGGCTTCACAAATGCTTTGCTGCATACCTCGGTTGTAACGAGTGGTTATTTCAGTTAAAGTTGCTCTTCTATCAGCTTGAATCAGTCGGCCCATTCTCCTCTGACCTCTAGCATCAACAAGGCGTTTTACACACACACACATATATATATATATATGTGTGTGTATATGTGTATATATGTGTATATGTATATATATGTGTGTGTATATATATATATGTGTATATATGTATATATATATGTGTGTGTGTGTATATATATTTACATATACATACATTTATGTATGTATATGTAAATATATAGATGTATATGTGTATAGATATAGATAAATAGGTGTGTATATACCTTAGTATATACTATGTATTTGTAGCCTATATACAGTACGTGCAGGTATGGAAAATGCTGTATAGTAAGAATGATTTTAAAAATGGACATGTTAATAGATTATATTCACCAATTAACAGAATGCTACGAGTGAGTGAAGAGAAGAAAATCAAATCAGTTATTGATTTGATCTTCCAAACAGACCTCTTTGTTTTTGTGTCTCATCGGACACAATTTGTAGCTGCACCAAAACCCGGAACAACCCCGTTCAAACGAACAAAGTTGTGCATAAACAAAATACAGCTGCGAGAGGAAAATAAAGATGCTTTACTGGATGAACGGGAACAGCGGCGGCTCGGGGACCCTCGACAGCCTCAATAACATGTCCAAGACGGAGATCCTGAGAGGAATCGTCACCGAGAAACTGACAACAGCCGCGCAGGAAATCTTCGCGGTTGTGGAGAGAACCGTAGCCGGGTACGAGGAGGAGGCTTCGGGTCTGAGGCAGGAGATCGACCGGCAGAGGAGGCAGCTGGAGGCGGTGCTGCAGCCTCGGGTCAAACTAGAGAGAAGAGGTCAGTGGCTCAATTATTGCAGGAAGAAATAACAGGCTTTGTTTTTTCAAGTTGTGGAACTTCATTTAAAAAAACGCTAATTTAAAGTTTCGTTGCTCGCTGACAAACCTGCAGACTCCTGAGGACATAAAGTGAAAACTTACACACATTTTCATGAAGTGACTTACAAATCGGCATATAAAAAGTGTTACTTAATGTTGTAAATGTCAAGTGTGACGTTGGTTCATGGGCCCTGCCGTTTAAATCTGCTTATAATGGGACATAACGTTAACTTGCGGGACATTAATTACATGTGATTATCTTGTTATTATCGTGTTTGAGCTTCGCCTTGTTCTGTACGATGATGAAGCTGCTATTAAAACACAAGTGGCCTTGGCTGTTCATTGCAGCATTTTTATATAACTTTTTGATATATTTATCTGAGTTTCTTTTACTTTTGATTGAAAACAGAAGCCCAAATCTCAGACCCAGATCCAGAAGGCCACGAAGCTGTTGTGACGGAGGAGGAGGGGCACACAAAGCAGTCAGGTAGGTCTACACACTTTCTATTAAAGGTGTTATAAAATTAGGAAAACAAACCAATTATTAGGATGAATCACTTCAATAAATGGGTGAAACTGTAAAGTTCTCTTCATAACGTTTTGTGTGTAAAAATAATAATTACATCTTCATTTGCAAAGTAAACCTGTCAAATAAGTAATTTAAAAGGTACAAAATGTTCCTCTGGCATGTGGTGGCTCTATCACATTGAGTGAACATTGTCGTGATTTGGTGTGTTACCAAATCGTCAAATTTTGTCCAGATCTGAGCGTGTACAGTGAAGTTAAAACAACATCCTGTTTCATGGCGAACCATCGAACTTTGACAGCATGCCACGGACACGTCCTTCGACTAAAACTCACAGACAGCTTTTCATCGTCAATTCCTTTAGATTGTACAGCATAAATTAGAAGTGACCGTTTGATGGTAATTGTGGAGTTTGGGAAGTAATGGGCATTTTTAATTTTCCAATCTTTGGTCCAGGTGTGGGGGACACTGGGAGCCTGGCCCTCATGTGGTACAATGATGATGGAGAGCAGCAGCAACCAGCAACCAGCCCCACACGAGACCATCTGAAGGACCCTGAATATCAAACCAAATCAAGGTCACAAATCCCACAACCACCAGAGACTAGAGCTTCTAGCCAACTATTTTTGATAATCTAAATGAGCGTCAGTGTCAGTCGGTCAGTGGACTTTGCGGGACAGTCTCCCACCAGTATGAGCCCAGTGAGAGTTGTCGTCTGCAAGCTGCAGGAGCTTGACGGACTGGTGACTGGAGGTGCAGCTCTACATGGAGAATTTTTTACAGTAGCCAAGAACAGTAAATTAAGGAGTCCAGGTTTGTCCGCTCCACAAGAAAATGATAGATTATAAAGAAAATAATTGTTAGTTCCAGTGCTAGGATGCTTATTAGCTTAGTATGGTTGCTCAGGATGATTGTTTAGCTGTTGCGTGGTGCTGGTGATAGTAACACGTTGTTAGGTGGTTGTTATTACAGTATCTATTGTGGCGTTCACTAATTAATTATATTTAAATTCAACACCATACAGTGATATTTTGGGACTTTGTGGCAACAGTATTTTTGCCCACAACACAAAGCTGCTTCATAAAAAAATAGGTTTCCCCAGTTGGATGTTGAAGAACTTGACTGGCCTGTACAAAGTTCTGACCTCAACTTCATCCAACTTTGAGATGAACTGGACTGTGAGCCCAATCTGGCAGTGCTGGACCTCACTGAAACCTCTGGTGTCTGAATGAGAACAAATCCCTGCAGCTGGTTCAACATCTGGTAAAAGCTTGAAACCAGCAGTGTGGAGACTGTAGGAGCAGCAGATTGATGAACCACACATGGGTGTAATGATGCTCCAGTGTCCACAAACTTTTCAAGTACAGTATGTTCACTAAAGTGATAATCAACCAGTCAGAAGTGATATAACTGCAATAAACACTAAGCTGTCTTATTTTGTTAATAACCTGCTAACAATCTTCATCCTCTAGGTCCATTTCCCCCACAGCCTGGTCTGACAGGAAAAGGGCCAGCAGACCTCGGAGACTCCTAACCCTCAGGATCTGCATCCTGGAGGACTCGCAGGCCGTGCTCTCAAAAAGCGGTACATTTCAAAGACCTATCCAATACTGATTGATTAGTGACTCAATCTGTATGAAGGCTTTTGTTGGAAAGATTAGGGGGTGTTGGTACAGCAGAGTATCGCAATATTTTCTTTGGCAATAACGTATTGATACACCGATCTGTAATTATATAAATTGCACATGAGAATGTAACTTTTTGGCACCAGAATAACAAAATCAATTGCTTTTTCAGTCCACTAGACGGTGCTGCTGAGTTTTTTTTCTGGTGACCGTCAGCGTGCAGGAGGAAGTTAAATGTCTGTTTAAATCAAATGTATGAACTTCAGATGGATATAACACATGGGATTTGCAGGGATTATCGTATGAAAACAAAATACTCCAGGATACCACGAATAAGAGGGCTCATTTCACACGCCACCGTCCAGAGATAGTGTTAGCTGCGGACGGTAAAGCTAATTCTAAATCAGCTTCACTGAAAGTAAGATGAATAAACAGAAAAAAGTTTTCTTTTTGTGGACATTATGTGAAGTTGGAAAATAAGCTAATAAATTGCATCGCAGAAATGTTTAAAATCCCACTAATATTATATTGTGATATTATTATATTATAAAATTGTATCGTGATAGCATCGTTTAATGACATGAGTATTGTGATATCATTTATTGACGCAAGTATTGTGATAATGTCGTTTAGTGACATAATTATCGTGATAATATCGTTTAGTGACATAAGTATCGTGATAATATCATTTAGTGACATAATTATTGTGATAATATCGTTTAGTGACATAATTATTGTGATAATATCGTTTAGTGACATAATTATCGTGATAATATCGTTTAGTGACATAAGTATTGTGATAATATCGTTTAGTGACATAAGTATCGTGATAATATCGTTTAGTGACATAATTATCGTGATAATATCATTTAGTGACATAATTATTGTGATAATATCGTTTAGTGACATAAGTATGTGATAATATCGTTTAGTGACATAAGTATCGTGATAATATCGTTTAGTGACATAATTATCGTGATAATATCATTTAGTGACATAATTATTGTGATAATATCGTTTAGTGACATAATTTGTGATAATATCGTTTAGTGACATAAGTATTGTGATAATATCGTTTAGTGACATAAGTATCGTGATAATATCATTTAGTGACATAATTATCGTGATAATATCATTTAGTGACATAATTATTGTGATAATATCGTTTAGTGACAAAAGTATCTTAATAATATAGTATTGTGACACAAGTACTGTGATAATATCGTTTAGTGACATAAGTACCGTGATAATATCATATTGTGACATAAGTATCATGATAACATCGTTTCGTGGGGCCTCTGCTGATTCGCGTACCTCATAGTGAATCTTTGTGTGTGTCAGTGTTTCAGAAATGTCCGGTTCAGGAGCTGCAGTGTCCTAGTAGCCTGCAGGAGCGGACTTCCTGGACCTGCTGAGGTCCACCTTCCCTCAGCTGGCTGCTCAGAAACAGTTTGACTTCTTCACATCCGACAGGAGCAGGAGGCTCCTTCCTCTGAGAGTAAAGACGCTGACACCAGTGGAGATCTACAAGGGCATCAGGCTCACCGGAGCAGGACACTCAGCCCTCTACATCCGACTGGAGGTACTTTGAATTAAAAACAGCTTGTATGTCTCTACACAAATCAGTGTCCTCACTCCATCATCAGTGTAGGTGCATTTCAGGATGGTCCTCACATTTATAAGTAGCCATATGGGCTTTTTAAAAATCAAATAAATAAAAAAAGCTCTTATCGGTAGAAAATTGAAGCCAACTATTGATGAAATCAAAGGCTTCTGTCTGTTGTGGCATTTTAATAACAGCAGCATGATGCAGATATTTGTTCTTTCTGTTTCTGTACAGAGAAGTGATGATTCTCCATCCAGCCCTGCCATCACGTCAGCTGGTCAAAGCCAAATGAACCCCAGGTAACAGAAAACTGGAATCTTTGCACAGCACTGGATGTGCTCAGTTTACTGGACTCTTGACTTTATAAAACACAGTGGGCCCATAGTTAACTTAGTTTTAATCTCACATTTTCCCATCACATTTAAATATTTATCCTAATAATTACGTTCATGAGTGACTGCAGGCTAGTCAGACATTGTGTCTTCTGTCTCAGGTTATCGTCTCCCAGAGATTTGTCTCACCAGGCGGTAGAGGCTGAGGAGGAGGAAGAGGCAGAACTCCACCTTTTAAAGAGAAACCACGGTACCACCACCGATATTCCGTCCACTCCCGCCGTGGTGATAAAAAGCGATGAAGCCGGGCTCAGCCCAAGGTATTAGGTAATTTTTTCTTGGCTTTACACGACTTATTCCAGCAATTGACTCATTTTCAATCTTCTCTGCTGTCCCTCTGTGTGCTCTGTGTTATAGTCCAACCAAAACAACATTTGAGTTTAAAAAAATCAGATTTTAATCTTTACACATCCCGTAACATAAAAAAATACTTAACAGAACATTCTGCAGTGTGAAAATATTTCACTTTCAGTCTGTCAGTTTTTATTTTAAATGTGTCATATGTATAAAAACATTTGAAAGATAATTGACCCTTCGCTAAGCCACGCCCCCCTTAGTTACCGTTACTGTTGCTAAGTCCGACAAAGTGTCGGACCTGTCGGACTTTTATCACGACGCTGCCACTGCCTATTACTGCACTCCCTGTAGAAATATTGCCTTATTTATGGGAAAAGCGATCTCAGAAAGAAGCAGACAGTTTTGCAGTTGTATTGTGCATTTTAAGGTTTTATTCAGGCTGACGAGAAAAAAATAAAGACAGAAGCTAAAGCCTTCTGCTCACAAAGTAAAGTGAACCAACCATGATATAAAGGATCAACACTGTTCCTGTACAGCTGGGTAGATCTCTGTTCACTATTACAATCCTTAAAAAGCAGAACAGTTGGGCTTTATAACGTTACATTCAGTAGTAAGTTAGCAAGCGTTAGCTAACTAACATTACATTAGGAACAATCCACAGCAGACATTTTCTGGATTGTGCGCTAATTGGCCAGTTGCGCATATGGGGCGTGGCTTAGTAAAGGGTCAGTTGCCTTCAAAATATTTTAAATCCTTATATAATGTGTGCAATACTCATTTCGGATATACTGACTCAAAAACCTGGATCGGTTTCGGTTAAGTTTAATTATGCGCCAACTACATGATGTGTCGGAAGTGTGCTGGTAGACCCGAACACTTTGCCAGGGGAGATAACGCAGCAATTCTTTTCACAAAGTTAGGAAGCAATGTTTAATTCAAGCCTGATGTCAAGTCAAGGTCATACTGTAGTTATCTAAAGAGGGTTAAAATCTGGACTGGTTGAACTTACTGGAAGATGTTTTGTCTTCATCCAAAATACTTCTTTACTTCTGACTGACTGGCAGGAAATTCCAGGTGTTTTAACCTCTGTGAGGTTGTTATCAAGGTAATGGATAACGATTGGTACGTTAGTGCTCCTGGCTGTCGTGACAGCAGTCATTATAGTCGTTTGAGTCACCTGAGGTCAAGTCTGGACGGCCGTCATTGGCATTGCTAAATATGAGAGTGTGTTCAGTCTCTTGGGAAGGGATGAAAGGACAGCATTGTAGGTGAGGGGATAAGTGGTGTCTTTGCCCTCATCCCTTGTTGAGAGATGGTTTCTCCACTCTGGTGTATATGGATTCCTTCACTTCTCTTTGAAACCATCTGTTATCCCTCTTCAAAAATGTATACATTAATTGGCCTGCAGTATTGTATGTATGATTATAAAAGTCTTCTCAGGGTATGCGACAGAAGAGATCTGAAAACTGACTAGTGAGAATTGAAGAGTTTCAACTCAATGGACGGTTAATAATAATTTGTTAGCGCTACTATTAGGGGTGGGAGAAAAAATAGATTCTTAGATGCATCGCTATGCGGACTTGGAAGATTCTGAATCGATTAACTAATGTCAAAAATCGATTATCTAAATATTAATTAAAAACGGAAGGGTTCTGTTCCTGAGGTGCCTATCTAGCTGGCTGTTAATGGCCGGTCCTCGGAGTAAGCTTGGCTGGCAATACGGGAGTCTCCATATCCCATAGTGAGATACCGAAATGTTGAAAGAGTAGTTAACCCCAGTTCTCTAAGAACATGAGTGTGGTATCTCACCAGATCACCCTCCTTGCCTGGAGCGAGGATGAGGTATGCTTACTAAGACTGAGGAGAGAACGTTACGTCAAGCTCTTATAGTAGGAGGAAGTCCCTCCTCTCTGGAGCAGACAGTCTGTCTGCCAGTCAGGAAAATAGCTTCTGGGGGACAGCGCGAGTGGCATGTCCCATAGTGAGATACCACACTCATGTTCTTAGAGAACCGTGGTTAATTTCATAACCTAAAGTTTTTAGAGTCTATAAACTGTTTGTTAAAGAAAGCATGGTGGTGACTGAGAAGGAGCTGAGGTTTGTAAAGTAAATAAGGGATGTAAACTACTACTTTAAAGCAATTAAGGATATGTTTCTTTTGGATTTTAATGTGCAAATGAAATGCTTAGAGGGCAACACTGCGTTGGAAAAAGATACAAGAGGCCAGTTTACAACTGGAGGATCCAAAGGCTGACCTTTCTGTGGTCGGAAGATAGAACTGGAAGATAGCTAGTCTTGTGAGGAAAGGATAGGCCTAGGCAGACCAACTCAAGGAGTTTCCAGCAAAGACAGGAAAGGAAGTAAGATCAAGGAAGGGAGGTAGTTGGAGAAAGTAAGTGAATAAAATAGAGATCTTTACTACAAAAGTAATGTATAATCAACTAGTCAGAAGGGGTGTAACTGTGAACACTAACCTCTTAACAATCTTCACCCTCCAGGTCATTTTTCCTCAGAGGCCAGTCTGACAGGAAAGGGCCCGGTAGACCTCGGGCCATTGACAAACAGAAGCACCTGGATCTCAGGATCTGCATCCTGGAGGACTCACAGACCGATGTGCTCTCGAAAACCGGTACAGGATATGTTTTGACTGATTAGTGACTGAATTAACAACTTATCTGCAGAGAGGTAACTGTTGGAAAGATAAATTTAACTTAACCTCCCAATGAATGGTTGTCTGTTTTAGTGTTTAAGAAATATCCGGTGCAGGAGCTGCAGTGTCCTCTGGGCCTACAGGAAGCGGACTTCCTGGACCTACTGAGGTCCACCTTCCCTCAGCTGGCTGCTCAGAAACATTTTGACTTCTTCACATCTGACAAGAGCAGGAGGCTCCATCCTCTGAGAGTAAAGACGCTGACACCAGAAGAGATCTACAGCGGCATTAGGCTCACTGGAGCAGGACACTCAGCCCTCTACATCCGACTGAAGGTACTTTAAATTATAAACAGCATCACCTGTGTGTCTTTACACAGAATAGTGTATTTGCTCCATCATCAGTGTAGGTGCATTTTAGAACATTTATAAGTAGCCATATAGCAGTAACAAACATACAGAAGGATCAGAAGGAGCTTTATTGCCAAGTAGTGTTTTACACATACGAGGAATTTGCTGTGGTGATAAGGTGCTACATGTAGACAAACATACAGTCAACATAAATAAATGTACAGCAGTAGAGAACAGTTTTTTTGCCCTTATTCATCATGAGCTGAACTCAAAGATCTAAGACTTTCTCTATGTACACAAAAGGCCTATTTCTCTCAATATTGTTCACTAACGTGTCAAAATCTGTGTCAGTGAGCACTTCTCCTTTGCAGAGATAATCATTCCACCTCACAGGTGGCATATCAAGATGCTGATAAGAGAGCATGGGTATTGCACAGGTGTGCCTTAAGCTGGCCACAATAAAAGGCCACTCCAAAATGTGCAGTGCCATCACACAGCACAATGCCACAGATGTTGCATGTTTTGAGGGAGCGTGCAATTGGCATGTTGACTGCAGGAATGTCCACCAGAGCTGTTGCCCGTGAATTTATTGTACCATTAGCCGTCTCCAAAGGTGTTTCAGAGAATTTGGCGGTACATCCAGCCAGCCTCACAACCGCAGACCTCACGTAACCACACCAGCCCAGGACCTCCACATCCAGCATCTTCACCTCCAAGATCGTCTGAGATCAGCCACCCGGACAGCTGGTCTATGGTTTGCATAACGAAAGAATTTCTGCACAAACTGTCAGAAACCGTCTCAGGGAAGCTCATCTGCATGCTCGTCGTCCTCAGCCTGACTGCAACTTCACACAGCCAGTTAAGAGGAGTGGACCAACATTCCCAGGCCACAATCAACAACCAGATCAACTCTATGCGAAGGAGATGTGTTGCAAATGTTGGTCACACCAGGTATTGACTGGTTTCCGGACCCCCCAAATACAGTGAAACTGCACATTTTCGAGTGGCCTTTTATTGTGGCCAGCCTAAGGTACACCTGTGCAATATCCTTCAGCATCTGATCAGCATGTTGATGTGCCACAAAGGAGAAGTGCTCACTGACAGATTTTGAAAGATTTGTGAAAACTATTTGAGAGAAATAGGCCTTTTGTGTACAAAGAGAAAGTCTTAGATCTTTGAGTTCAGCTCATGATGAATGGGGGCAAAATAAAAGTGTTGCGTTTATAATTTTGTTCAGTGAACATACACTAGGGTGACCATATTTCGGTTTTCAAAAAAGAGTGGAGGCAGGAGGCAGACGGACACCTGCTGCTGGTGGAAGTTTGGGGCTGGGAGTAATGGTTAGTAATTTGTGGCACCATGGCAATGTGTAGGCTACTGTGGAGGCACTATCCACCTGGCACCATGTGCCACTGTTTGCAAGAAAGCTGATGCTGTCTTTCCGCTGTCGCTGTGGTGCTGAAGGTAATGATTGAGATATAGTTTTGACCAGTGGTGGCGTGCGAGAAGGCGGGACCTAAAGAGAAAGGTCAAAGCAATGCAAAAAAGCCACACATTGATCACCAAGTGTAGAAAGTAAAAGCCGAATCCCGGACATTTTGGGCGAATTAGAAATCCCAGCCGGATGCATTTTTAGGTCACCGTAACACACACATATACACCAACAACATTCCACGGTGCATCTGGGGTACCAGATGATAATATGGTTTCATCTTCACAATAAACAGTCTGACATTTAGGAAACAGAGTCCATCTTTACTGCGTTTGAGCACCAACTACAGAGTCCACCTCCTCTCATCTTGCTGGAGTCTTGCGCTGACAGCTCGGAACATGGACCTCCTGCCGAGTGCCTGATCGGGATGTTGATGGGGCAGGTCTCTGTAATGATGTGGGCACAACAGTCTCTGAATTCTGTTGCTTGGTCAACACGAGTCCAGGTTTTGTCCAGACCAAATCTTTAGGAGCAGAATTAAGTCCACTGCTACATACAACTCTGTCCTGTACTGTAGGTTACATCCTGAAACTAAGTTAAATTAAATTATATTTGAGTTTTAAGATGAGTCTGAAAGCTGGTTGTTAAAGAAAGGTTGGTGGTTACCATGGAGGAGCTGAGACTAGGGATGCTAACTGTCATTTTAAGCTAATGAGGAGGCTGCTGCAGAATTATGTTTTTTATGTCAGCCTTGTGAGTGCAGGTATCGGCTGACGCCGATTATTATAGTTTCTGCTGTTTCCATAAAAGAAGTGCTTTATGTTTTTTTTGGGAACCACCCTGTTACAGACCGGAGAGGATCCTCAGAGCAGCAGTGAAGACCTTCATCCTGTAGAGAGGCGAGATGATTCTCCTTCCAGCTCTGCCTCCACGTCAGCTGATCAAACCCAAATACACCCCAGGTAACTAAAAACTAAAGAGAACAACATATCTGCCCACAGGTGGGTGCACAATGATCCGTTCTTGCTGGATGGATGATTTGTCTGCATGATTTTCTCAAAATCAGATGGGGAACTGTTTTCACACTGAAAGACTTTTTAAATTTTCCCAAACCTTGACTTCATTAAACACAGTGGGCCTGAGTTAGTTTTCAGTCACCTTCATTGTCACATCACATTTGAATATTTATCTTAATAATAACATTCATAGATGGCTGTAGGAGAATCAGAAATTGTGACCATCTTTCAGGTTATGGTCTCCCGGAGATTCGTCTGTGAGGAGGAAGCCTGGCAGACCAAGCCTTCACGGAGGAACCAATCACCACCTGCTCAGAGTCTGCGTACTGGAGGATTCTCAGTCAGATGTTCTTTCACAAAACGGTGAATATTAAATATGTGTTAATTAGTGACTGAATTAACAACTTATCTGCAGAGAGGTAACTGTTGGAAAGATAAACTTAATTTCACAATTATTTTTCTCTGCTTCAGTGTTTCAGAAATGTCCTGTTCAGGAGCTGCAGTGTCCTCGTGACCTACAGGAGGCGGACTTCCTGGACCTGCTGAGGTCCACCTTCCCTCAGCTGGCAGGACACAACAAACCTTTTGACGTCTTCAAGTCCGACAGGAGCAAGAGGCTCCAGCCGCTCGAAGTAAAGACGCTGACACCAGAGGAGATCTTCAGGAGCATCAGGCTCACCGGAGCAGGATACTCAGCCCTCTACATCCGACTGAAGGTAGATACTGTAGTATTACCCGTCTTCTTTTACCACGTACAGGTCCCTCCTCTGTAAGACTCTGATACTACCTGAGGCTTCATCTGAGATAGTCAAAAATTCAATCACCCTTTAAATGGAACCAGCATCAGTTGAATTTTCTTAAAAATATAATTTGGGAACAAACGCTTGCAGACAGGAGAGGAGGAGGAGGAGCTCCACCTTTTACAGATGGTGGTTACAGATACATGATTAGTTATGTTAGACTGCAGATCGACCGCATAGTCTGTTATGAATAATAACACAAAAACAGGACATGTACAGTAATAATTCGGGGCTTGTTAGCCTATAGTACACGGTTGTATCGCTCTCACAAACTGACAGAGTAAACAAAGTACTACTTGCCCTCCTTTTTTTAATAGATTTTAACTTATTAATCAGAGAAATACCCGCACTGACAAGTATACGTTACCAAATGATTTTCATAAAGATAGCAGCTTCTACAGATCAATTATAAGATCTCTGAACACATGTCACGGTCAGCAGATGGATTTATTAGTGGTTTAGTTTTGGGAAATAATGCTCAGATCACATCTCTGGTATCATAAAATCCTGTGGTTGATTCGTTTGCTTTCACACCAAAAGCGAACCGCACCAGAGTTTGTTTGAAAGCGTACCGAGTACGCTTGTTTGGCCGGCTTTTGGTGCGCACCCGGGTGCGATTGCTGCATTCACGACTGCCCAAATGAACCGCGCCAAGTGGGGAAACTAACTCTAATGCGATTCAACCAAACTAAATGAGGCAGATGTGAAAGCTCCATTAAGAGGAGTCTGAATGCTGGTTGTTAACAAAGGTTGGTGGTTACGAAGAAGGAGCTGAGGCTAGTAACGTAAATTAGGGATGCTAACTGTCCTTTTAAGCTGATGAGGAGGCTGCTGCAGATGTGTTCGCAGAAAGGTTTTTTATGTCAGCCTTGTGAGTGCAGGTATCGGCCGATTATCTCAAAATGTTGAGTTGAGATTGTTTGATTTCTGCCATGAGGGGCAGTCTTGCTTGAGTGTTGGGAGATAAAAGAAGTGCTTTATGTTTTTTTGGGAACAACCCTGTTACAGACCGGAGAGGATCCTCAGAGCAGCAGTGAAGACCTTCATCCTGTAGAGAGGCGAGATGATTCTCCATCCAGCTCTGCCTCCACGTCAGCTGATCAAACCCAAATACACCCCAGGTAACTAAAAACTAAAGAGAACAACATATCTGCCCACAGGTGGGTGCACAATGATCCGTTCTTGCTGGATTTGTCTGCATGATTTTCTCAAAATCAGATGGGGAACTGTTTTCACACTGAAAGACTTTTTAAATTTTCCCAAACCTTGACTTCATTAAACACGGTGGGCCTGAGTTAGTTTTCAGTCACCTTCATTGTCACATCACATTTGAATATTTATCTTAATAATAACATTCATAGATGGCTACAGGAGAATCAGATATTGTGATCATCTTTCAGGTTATCGTCTCCCGGAGATTCGTCTGTGAGGAGGAAGCCTGGCAGACCAAGCCTTCACGGAGGAACCAATCACCACCTGCTCAGAGTCTGCGTACTGGAGAATTCTCAGTCAGATGTTCTTTCAAAAAACGGTTAATATTAAAGATGTAGTTCTGGATGGACTAAATGTGAGGTGGACGGAGGTTGTTAAGAGGTAATGTGAATCTTTGTCTGTTTCAGTGTTTCAGAAATATCCGGTTCAGAAGCTGCAGTGTCCTCGTGACCTACAGGAGGCGGACTTCCTAGACCTGCTGAGGTCCACCTTCCCTCAGCTGGCAGGACACAACAAACCTTTTGAGGTCTTCAAGTCTGACTGGAGTAAGAGGCTCCAGCCGCTCAAAGTAAAGACGCTGACACCAGAGGAGATCTTCAGGAGCATGAGGCTCACTGGAGCAGGACACTCCGCCCTCTACATCCGACTGAAGGTAGATACTGTAATATTACCCGTCTTCTTATACCACGTACAGGTCGCTGCTCTGTAAGACTCTGAAGCTACCTGAGGTTTCTTCTGAAACTGAACTAGCTTAATATAATTTGGGAACAAATTCTTGCAGACAGGAGAGGAGGAGGAGCTCCACCTTTTACAGAGAGGCGCCGCCTCCACTGATTTTCCATCCACCGTCCAAAGCGATGAAGCCGGGCTCAGCTCAAGGTAATTTAAAAACAACTTGAACTGATTTCTTTTACAACTGATTCCAGCAAATGGCTAATTTTCATGTTTGAATAAAAGATCAAAAGTCCTGTAGAAACTTTTACTACAACTAGTAGTCCAGCGATCACACTCACGCAAGTCACACAACAAAAAAATTATATCCGCATTTGGTCTGATGCAAAGAAACATCTCTTTGAAGCCAAACCGTTTCAGAAATAAATCTACAATCACGTCTGTCGGTTGCAGTGTTGTTAACAGAGGAGCTGCAGCGCGCCCCCTGGTGGGCCAACTATGCAACACTTATGACATGAGGGAAGGATCCCACTCTGTGTTTCTCTTTTTAATATTCATATCGGCTGTTATAAATGGCGATATAGATATATCTGCAAGCAGCCCATAATAATAATAATATCTGCAAAAAGATAGATCGGTAGTGGGCTCTACTAATAAACATGTTGAAAACATTTCCTTCCTCAATAAACGTTTGAAAGACAATTTTATTTTCAATATTTTAAATTCAGCATTGTTTACGTCCACGTGTACGTGTACATGCAGCTGGCAGTCCTTTTCTTCCATTCTTGCACAAGGAAAGAAAACAGCGGAGGTCAAAAACTCTAATGTCGTATTTTATGTTCAAATTTTGTCCGGATTAATGTGAGGACACTACAATTATCTGTGTATGCACAAAGTAATGTTTACATTTTTCCCCACAGCTGCTCTGTTCAGCATGTGGAAGGTGACAAAGTGGATGTTCAGTCCAGCAGCTCAACATCACAACAACAAGACATGGAAACGGAGGAAGCTGATGATGAAGATGCTGCTGAGAGCCAAGTGGACTCCAGTGATGATGCAGACAAAGATGGAGATGAGGCATTCAACGGAGACGACGACTGGAAACCAGATCCTGATCTGCAGTCGCCAAAGAAGAGGAAGAAGAAAGAGTCCAATTTGTCTGGTGTGAAGGGGCAGTTGATTGGGAGCAGTAAAACGCCCTGTAAAGTCTGTGGACTTTTGTACCGGAACTTGGGCAGTTTGATCAAACACGCCTGGAGTCACGTTGAGAAATCACAGCTTGTTTGTGGAGTGTGTGGAGAGCAGTTTGAATCTGTTGAAGAGTTAAAGGGACATCTTAGAAATTATCAAAAAAGTCACGACTGTTCTCATTGTGGGAAATCTTTCCTCACCAAAACTAGCCTCAACTCCCACACCACTCTACACACAGGAGACAGACCGTTTAAATGTGACGTTTGCCACAAAACCTTTGGACGATTGTCAACTTTGTGTGCTCACCGTTGGGTCCACGTGGCTGATAAACCACACAAGTGTGATATTTGCCCGAAGGCGTTTGGTCTAAAGACACAGCTCAAAGCTCACAGCATGATACACACAGGTAGAGACAAGTACCACTGCAATATTTGTGGTAAATCTGTCTACGACCGGCGATCTTTAACTCGCCACAAGGCGACCCACTCGGTAGAGAGACGTTACGGCTGTGAGCTTTGTGGGAAGCGTTTCAAAGGTCCCGCTGGGTTGAAGTCGCATGAGAAGGTCCATGCCTCCAGAGACCGGCCGTACCTCTGCCACATCTGCTGCAAGACGTTTGTGGAAAAGAGCAGTTTAAAAACTCACATGCTAACGCACAGCAATGACAGGCCGTTCATCTGCAGCATATGTAGCAAAGGCTTCAAATCCAGCGCAAAGCTGAACGTGCACATGCGTGTGCACACCGACGAGGCGCCGTACAGCTGCTCAGAGTGCGGCCGCTGTTTTAAACACAAGACTTACCTGACCAACCACGTGAGGACCCACCTGGGCATCAAGCGGTTTGTCTGTGGGGTTTGTGGGAAAGCGTGCTTTCGCCAAGAACACCTGAAGGTCCACATGAGGACCCACAACGGAGAGAAACCTTACAAGTGCACCGTCTGCGACAAAGCTTTCACTCAGAGCCACTGTCTGAAAACACACAAGAAGAGCCACCAGGGGGAAGAAAACCTGTTCCTGAACGCATCCACCTCCTAAAAAACTCCTTTTATCAACCTGTTCTGTCTAAAAAGTGGTGATGGAGGTTGTTTTGATGGCGCTGAAAACCACATCTATCCTTCATTCTTTTGTGATACTGACAGAAATGTGTCCACAACACAGAAAACTAACTTCTGCTTGGACTTGTAAACATTATCATTCTTTGAACACACAATTATACACACATTTTACATATAGAACAAAACTTTCCCCTTCCTACTTTACCTGGTTCAGCCCTCTGCCGCCCCTCCTGAAATCAGCTTGTATGTGACTTTGACGTCAGCAAGGACACAAAAGTTTCTTAATAAACTTAACAAATAGACTTGTGTTTCGCAATTGTTTACATGTAATCCACCATTTCTATCGATGATCAAATTTATCAAACAAAGAAATTTAGCTGCATGCCGGCAAGATGTAGCTACGGATAGATCTCACTTTAACTTTTAACCAGCTGGTTATCAGGATTACATTTACTCAAAAGCCGCCTGGGGTAACTAAACACCTGCTTCTAGCATCCAGGCAACATTACTGGTGACAGCAGCCGTTTGCTGGACTGGTTTACAGGCATGTCTCTGGCGAACAGCTGTTCATTAGTTTAGGTAAAGTTAGCAACAATACATATGCATAACGTAAAATTTCAAAATAAAACGCTATCGTTTGGAAACATCGCCATTTTGAAACGGCATATTGTTAAAGTTGTGAAACGTTGCAGTTTGGTTAGGTTTAGGCAACAAAACTTTAGTTAGGAAAAGATCGTGGTTTGGGTTAAAATAACTACGTACGTCAGTTAACATGTAACCCTACGTCACTTGCGTAACTTACCCCATTAACCTAACTTGCATAAAAATATTTAATGTTGACTTTTTGTTTCACAAGAGACAGTAACCCCGCTCTTCTGGTTCAAAGTCCGGGTTCTGGCCCTCCATCCACACCAACCAACTCCTTACTCTGCCTTTACCATCAAAAACTGACGCTACAGGGCCAAACTGCGTTGAACTATGACACTATGAGGGATCCTCAGTGCGTTACACACTGACGCCGATGGATCTTTTTGACCATGCGTCCATATGTGACGAGTCATGGAGTGAGCACGGGTTGACATGGGGGAGTCAGAGAAACTTATCTGAACACAACAAACTACATAGTGAATCCTAAAAACGGCTTAAACATAAGAGATAAGGATTTACTATGCTTATTTACCTGTTAAACATAAAATATGCAGAGGAAACTTGCTGCCGTCGGTCTGGTCGGTCTTGCCAGAATGTCATGGCTACGACAGCTACATCATCAAAACACTCACCATTACAGCGAGTGCTCTGCTGCCCCCTACATATATGTAATACAAAATGCTTCTGGGACCAGACTAATAAATTAATATAAACTGTGCTACAAAATGGATTACATTAAATTAAACCAAAATTTGACCAGACATTTTGTTTGCGTCACATAGTGTTTGTTTAGTTGCCCCAATACACAGATCTGTGCATACCTCACCTCATTAGACAGCATACGCTAGATTGTTTTTCATGTCTTCCAATGTCTCTTAACGTGTTCTTGGGTTTAATACTCCTGAACTTCTCTGATACTCCAGATTCTTACCCAATCATGATGTTGTGGTTATTATTATTTTCCTCATTGGTGTTCTTCCTGGATCTTGTGGCTATTTTCATAAAGGTCCAGTTTGGATATCCACGAGCTTTAAGAGCATCCTTCAGGTGATTATGCTCAGTCTCATGGGCTCTTATTGGTCAGTTATCATCTCGGTGGTGCAGGGTCCTGATAACTTTGGTGAGAGCCAAAGAGTAGGGTTTCCTGTATTCTCCAAAGGGGAGGCTGCTGTCCTCTTCAGTGTGTACAGAAGACCAAACTGCTGTTGCTGACAACCTCTTGTGTGAATTTGATATTACTGTCCACTGAGTCGTTGTGGTCTGTGAAGGCTTGACCAATGAGTGGTACCATATATATGTGCCGGTTGTTCTTTGGTGTTCCTCTGAAAAGGTTCAGGGATGTGCTTTTCACTTCTTCCATTAGATGACCCCTAATCCTCTTTCAAGGACAACGTTAATATTTTTGATAGGGAGGACAGATGGTTTTAAAGAGAAGTGAAGGAAGCTATTTACACCACAGTAGAAAACCATCTCTCAACAGGGGAGGATGCCTGCAAACATTACTTACGTATCCCCCACAACGGTGTGCTTCCAACCCTTCCCAGGAGTTTGAGCAAACATACCAACAACGGTGAAGGTTCTCCGAAGGTTAAGAAGGTTAAAGTCAAGGGCAGATCATCGATACCGCTGGTTCGTTAGTGCTCCTGGCTGTTGTAACGACAGATGTTATGGTCAAGCGTAACCTCTTGGCCTCAGGTGAAGATGCCAATAATGGTTGTTCAGACTTGGCCACGGGTGGTGGCCAGGAGCACTAACTAACCAGCTGTATCGATGATCTTGGCAAACAACTCCACAGAGTTTCTCTACCAGTCATTTCAGAACTGAAGAAGTCTCTTGGATGAGGGACGGAACCTTTTCTAGTATCTTCAACCAAGCCGAGTTTCCGTTGACTTTAACCTTCTTTGGATACCAACAACGGGCGTTCAGGTAAATTCGACCATAATGACTGTCGTTACAACTGCCAGGATCAAACCAAGTGGTCTCCATCACCTAAATAACAAGTTACTTTCAAAATAAAACCTTCATGTTCTTACATAAAATAGGTGCCATAATATAAAATATACTCAATAATACAGTCACAAAAACCCATGTGTGGGGGGTCATTGAAAACGACCTCTTGCCCAGTTAAAAGAAGTCAATCTGAAAGTAGGGACTACAAGGCTAATGGGCAAACTGGCCGGTATTTATTTAGCCATTATAATATAATTAGGGGTAACTAGAAAGGAATTTTATAATTTGACATTTTTTTTGCATTAGTATTGTGAGGATTACATACTGGTACGCTAACAGGAGGAGAAAGGGATTTCCTATGATTGTAAACACAGCAACCACCAGAGGGCGACATAATATGAAAAAAGAGTAACAGGCAGCAGAGTACACCTGTGGTGGACAGTACAAAATTATCAAAACAAAAATAATAGGAAAATTGTTACTGTATGTATCAGGAGATATTATATTTTGGATTGCTAAAGAGGATCCTTCACTGATAACGAGGTGCAGTGATGATGTAAATAAGTACCTTCACTCAAGTGCAATATAATTTTGAGGTAGCTACTTGTGCTTAATTGAGTATTGAGTACATTTACACTTTTTATTCCACTAAATTGATCTGATAGTTACTTGTTACTTTGCTGAACATTTCAAAGCATTGCTGACCTCATAATATCCAATGTGTTTTTGTAGCATAAATTACTCAAACAGCATATAAAGAAGGGTAAATTAACTGTATTGAGATTAAAAGTATTTAGATCTTTCACTAAGGTAAAATACAAAATACGACTGTGACAAAACTCCAATGTAAAACTCCTGCATTCAAACCATAGACTGTATTTAAAAATAATCAAACCCTTGCTTTAGTCAAAGTTTTTATCAGCAATATTTACTTAAAGTCTTAAAAGTAAAAGTGCTCATTGTGCAGTAAAATCTTTAGTTTATCAATTCACTTCAGCTTTATTGGCATGAATGTAAAACAACAATATTGCCAAAGCTACAAATAAATTACAAAAGAGCAATTCATTTCATACAGTTCATTAAATAAAGTAGCCTAATTAAAACAGTAAAAGTGTGTGTTTGTGTGTGTAAAAAAAATAAAAAAAATAAATGAAGTAAGCCTGTGTGTGTAATATGGTTCATCAAATTAATAACAGTGAAAGTGTGTGTGTGTGTGTGTGTGTGTGTGTGTGTGTGTGTGTGTGTTGAAAATTAAAATAAAATATCAAAAATTAAAATAAATAAATAAAACAATAAATGTCTGTATGTGAGTGTAGACAAAAAAAATTAAATAAAATCACAAACATTAAAAATCACCATGTCTTTAGACGGTTTTCAGTGGACAGTAAAGGTATGAAGAATTGTAATCTGAAAAGTAGCCTAAATGGTAACTGAAGCTGTCAGTTAAATGTAGTGGAGTAAAAACAACAACATGCAGGTGCATAAAATGGAAATTCTCACCTAAAGTAAAGTAGTCGTAAAGTAAAGTAGTCGTAAAGTAGTAGTAAAGTAAAGTAGTCGTAAAGTAGTAGTAAAGTAAAGTAAACTAGGCTCCAAAAATGTTTAAAAAACTCTGACTTCCGGCGGTTCCCCCTTGTTGCTAGGAGCGGCAGCCTCCCGCAGCGTGCACTCTGATTGGCCCGCAGCCCGTCACCTGGAGCCAATCAGACGCCAGTGCGTCCGCCATGAGAATCCATAATCCCCCTCTTTTTTTTGTCATCACTACTACGATTTATTATCAAAACTATAGGGTTTAATCAACGTGCGGACAGTTTGCGCACTTCAGATCGATCCCTCATCTGATCAGTATTTCCATCCACCTCCTGCATTTCATGTTAATACTGGAGCACAAACATGTCGAGCAGAATAATAAAATGGAATAAGGATGATGAAAGTCTTGATGCGGAGTTTAATTTCCCTTTATTGTCTTTGCTGATTTCACAGACAGACTGATGATGCTTTGCTGCAGGATACTTGGTGCCGTTACCGGCTGCTGGCTGTAATGGCGGGGCTGTCGAGTTTGTAAAACACGCACACGCGGGATTTCCCGTCTAATTACAGTTCTGTTCCTCTTTACAAAATAAAGGTGTGAGGAGCAGCTCATACAAGTTATTATTGTGTGAAAGGAAAAAGGGTAAGACAACATCTTCAAGTCAGGTTATCGTTAAGGTTGCATACTTTACTGTAGCCTATACTGCAGCTTCCTAAAAACAAATGTTTTCTTTGCCTCTGTGAAATAAAAAACGTGATTATTTTCAAACATTTTACCAGAAAAACAAAACAAAAAGAAAGAATGTTACATTTGACAATATGACACCTCAGTATCCCTGTGAACTAGATATTGTATTTGCAATTCATATTCTAACTTTATAAAATTACATCCCATTCAGGCATGAACATATTAAAGTCACATACATCAAATACCCTTGACAATATATGGAAATATTTACCTCATTTTCAACATACCGGGACTAGTGTTTAATATATGTGAAGAACAGATATTGGATCAAAACATTTGGCCATATACGGAAACCTAAATAGTCCGTCATTCAATATAAATATTATTATGGCCATTTTTGTTTGGGAAATCTACACTCTTTATTTAATTTTATTATTGTTATAATCATTCTATAACCTGTGTATTTTGTCACGCACCAAGTCGCCAAAGGAAATTTTTCGTCATGTAAGTATGTAAGAAACAAATGTGCATTTTTCAAAAAAAGTAGGCTAACGTAAGCTAAAAAACAAACTACTGATTACTATATAATGTTTCATTATGTTTTTATATTTTGAATACCACCTTTCACCTGATTTTTGTGTTTCACTTTATATAAATAAAGACATTTCCGAAATAAATTAATGCGGAAAAGTTCTCCAGAATTCAGGAAATAAAGTGTTTAATGCTAAAGATTTTACAATTAGTAGACACAATTATATTTCAGCATTGAATATTTCCTCAAAATAGTGTTAAAATGCCTTGTCATCTTGTTCTTGTGCTATATTGTGCATCGCCACACCTTGTGAGCTAAGTCATCACCATAGACTGTATATGGTCGTCACACAATAATATGAAAACATTTATGGAAAAGTAAATAATCCCTCATTCAATATAAATGTTATGTGCATTTTCCTATGGGAAAATACACAGCTTTTATTTTGAAATCAACACACGCAACAAGGCGGAAGTGTGTGGTCTCGGGCCGTGCGTGCTTGACGTGCCGCTGGCGCTGATGGCGGCGGGGCTGGCGGAGGGTCGCACCGCGAAGGGAGAGCGAGGAGGCGGGGAACCGGAGAGACAGAGAGAGGAGGCCCCGGCGGTACCGAGTCCCGACACACCGACACACCGACAATAATCACACCGAGAACAGCAGCAGCAAGGCCCGCAAACCCACACAGAGGACCGCGGACGGATGGATGGAGCGGTATGGTTGTTTTTGTTTATTCTACCGGGGGATTTTGCCGTTAACGGCAGCTGGAGGGTCCGTCTGCAGACGGGTTAGATCTGAATATACACACTTGAAATATAAATACACAGAGTAGCCTATTGCATTCAGTGAGTGTATACAGGTTACTGCAGTCTAAAATGATAGGCTACCATAATGTATTTGTATGTAAACGGATGTAATATTGTCACACAGTGTGTACACATTTAGACTCTATTTTATTCAGGAGCGGGGTTTATGGGGGCCAGACTCACCAAGGGGCCCCATAAAGGAGTGTTTTACTATTTTAAAACACTGTATTCTGTAAGGCAGAAACTATAAAAGACAGTCTGATATAATGTCATGCAGTGGGCAGTTCTTGTTTTCCTGTGCTGTTCGCACAGTGTTGTCTGTCTGGTACCCCTTAAAGGGGCCCCCTGACCTTCGTTTTGCTTTGCTGTTTTGGTGGATTTGGCGATTTAATTGCAAATGCTTTTTAATATGCTTGATTTAAAAAAATAATTAAATCAGTCTGACATAAACCTGTCAGTTATATAAGCTGCAGAAAATATTTTATGATCTGTGGCCCGTTTTGAATTAGTGGGATTTATTTTTCAGTGATAAGAAGCATCTGTAAGGGTTAAATTACTGCAAAAAATGAAAAAACAAAAATCTGGTGGTCTAAAACTCAACATCAACTTGTAATCAGGTTGGGCTTTTTTTGGAGTTAACTAAATAATTCACAATCTTGAAGTTGAACCAGGCACCATTAAAAAACAATGACAAACCAAAAAAACTACACATAGTTATGTGTTTTTCTGTTTGCCTGAGTGACGGGGAGGTTGCTGTCGGCAGATCACTGATATGCGTGGCCTCTTTTGTCTCGCTGGTGAACTGGCAGTAACACCCAGCCGCTGTGGTGATCCTCATGTGGGTGTTTTATGAATGCTCTGCAGCAGCAGCTAAATCCATTTCACTATCTGGACAGACTTGACAGTCACTGTAATATAAAATCCCTGTTAAGAAGCTAGAAAAGAACCTATGTTATTTTATTATATGATCAATCAGGACGATTGGTTACACCATCAGGTGTTAATGCAGCAGTAAAGTTACGATAGGAATATTTTAAAGTGACATTAGAAATTATATCTAGAATAAATATAGCATATAAGCATATGTTCAGATAATACAGGGCTTAAAATGATCAACTGTGAACTTATGTTCCCCCAGTCAGTCTGTCCCGCCCCCTGATTGTTATATATGTGTGTGAGTGTGTTGCGTTCACTGACCATAAGCCATAATTTTACCCAGCTGCAAAGGCTGTGTGTGTGCAGCAATGCAGCATGCAGGCAGATCTTGGCCAGCGAGAAACTCTTTACAGACCACCAACATTTCCAGCTGAACTCTTTGACACTGCAGCAGTGTGTGCGAACGCTTGTGTGTCTATCCTTACGAGCAGTGCTTGATATTGGAAAAAAAGTCAATTACAATATCACTTTAGTAAAATAAAACAACTGTCCACTGCTGTTTTATTTTGAAAATTGACTGGATTAGCTCCAGCAGCTGCGGCACAGGCGGACTCAATGGTAACCCGGAAAGCTGGATCGCTATGTGAAAGCATACACGGTTGTGGGATCATGCCGCAATATTTTGCTCAGTATGAATGAGTGAATTCGGCATTGTTGGCGGACATGTATTTCGCATTTATTGCGGGATTTCTGTGTGAAAGCGGCATTTGTGCCCTTTTGAAACTAGGCTTTCTAAGGTTTTTGTAATGTTACTTATTCTAGCCACCGACAGATAAACCGGGCAGGATTGAGCGGGAAGAGGTGAGCGTCACGTAGAGCCCCCTGGGTAATGCGATTTATGAATACATTATGAATTGCCCAGAAAACCTGACATGGAGAGGACAGAAAAGAGTGCACTGCAAATAATTCTGTACTTGCTAAGTGAAATTAACTTGCTGCTTGGACAGTACCTAATGCCGTAGCCTGACGTGCACCTCCTCAAAAATGCAACTACACATTGAGGTGATCAAAATAATTCAGCGTCACAACCCGAGCAAAATGACTCGTTTCACTATCTGACTCTGACACAATCCATTCGGTCGATAACATTTGAAAAGTCTATAACAGCCTCGCGCATATCATTTTACCCACCTTCAAGTTAGCGGAGCGCTAAACTGGAAGTTAACCTACACGGCCGGCAAAAGTCAACACAGTGGACGCTGTAGCACTACCGCCGACTAGCGTTTGGCGGTGTAATTGCAGAACGAAGGCGACACCGGCGCACAAGTATAAATGCAACATAGCTACGGACGTAGACCCGACGCAGGAGTATAAATCACGCTTTATTTGCAGTGTACTGGCAGAGAACACCTGCCTATGAGGACCAATTTGAGTTTTAAAACTTTCTGGTCACTTTGGTTTGGACATGTGTTTGAGGGTTATGGTTCTGGGCTTCCCCAGGTGAATGGGTGAATTGGTTAGTGAAGGTGGTAAACACCGACCCTCACCCCATCTGATCACACCAATCCAATTTTTTCTCATGGAGTTGAGGTACCGATTAAAAATACCTCAACTCCATGTGTCTGCCGATTAGGGCTGCAACTAACGATTATTTTCATTTTGTATTAATCTACTTATGACTGTTTTCAAGATTAATCAATTAATAAATCATTCAAACTGTAAGCAGTGAATTTAATAGGAATATTTTCTTGTTAAATGACTAAAACAATGAATCAATTATCAAATAGTTGCAGTTATTTTTTCTGTCAATCTTCTAATCCATTTACCAAATAATTGTTTCCTTGCTGAGCTGCGGCAGAGGAAAAATAATCACGAATTCGGTACTAAAAAGACCCAAATACTGACACTGAAATGTCTCTGGAAAGGGATCTCTTTGCTGCCAGTATGGACAGAATGAATGCTTAAAGCAACCAGCATGGCCATGCGAGTGTCGTTTTAAGATGAAACAAATCCAGGGGCTGCGTTATGTCAGTGATGGTCCTCAGAAGTATAGAAGTACAAACGTGTGTGTGACATGGAGAGAGAGGGAACATTGTGTCGGCTTGTGGTTTGAGCCGGAGCAGTGATGAATATCAAACAGGCCTGTAGTAGTGGACGTTTCAGCTGTGTGTGACGCGCTGTCGTCCTGTGTATCAATAAACTATTGTTTCTCTCTCTCTCTCTCTCCAGTTCAGGACCTCCCATTGGCTGTCATCCTGTCTTGCTCCACCAGCCAGTACACTACTACAGCTGCAGTACTTGTTGTACTTAGTTGCAGTAGTCAGCTTTGAAGAATTGTGTATCAATGGATTTTGATACTAACAGACCTGGAATGACAACCTTAGCTTGATAGCATATGTGTTTCTAGGGGCCTAGTGCTTCAAATTTAGGGCCCCTGAATCATACACCCCTGAGAGAAAAAATAGATTGAAGCTGCCACAAAAAGTATCCGCTCTGGATCTGTAGATTAGCTTTATTTTGAAGCTAATTGCAGTTAGCAGCTAACAGCTAGCACAGCAACTTGATCCGAATCAAACACACACCTTCTTAATATTCAGTTCAGAAAATAAAATAGCTAAAAAATGTAGTTGGACTCCGACAAGGGTTACGTGTTTGGCAGCTAACGGGTTGTTAGCTGCTAGTTGCTAGCGGTGAGCAGGTAGCGGTGGCGCGGGTCTAGGCCCGGCCAGAGCAGGGGTGTGATGGAGTACCACTCCGGTGGCAGCCTGCCCCTGCTGGGGAGACCGCGGTACTGCCCCGGTGCCAACGCTAACGGAGGATACCTGTGTGAGACGGGACACTGCTGCGGAGAGACCGGCTGCTGCACCTACTACTACGAACTCTGGTGTAAGTTGGCTGCACCGTCCTGTGGGCTGGTAGTAGTACTGCAGTACCAAGGTTTCATTTGGGACTCTTGTTTGTATCTAATCCAGCATGATTTTAGCTTTCTTTCAATCTGGTGCTTCATCTTGTCATTTTGGCTACGTTCACACTGCAGGCCTTAATGCTCAATTTAAATTGATTGCCCAGATCTGATTTGTTTTGAGTGACGTTCACATTATTGTTTAAATGCGGCCCATATCTGTCAACAGACTGAAAGTGAGCCGCATGCGCAGAAGAATAATACGTCACACGCAGCACGCTGCCGTATGGAAGTAAACGAGGAGCCACAAAAGTTAGCTCTGGTTAGCTCGTACATGCTAATTCTCCCGATTTTCACCGGAGACTCCTGTATTTCACATTTGTCACATTTCTCTCGTTTTATGACAAATGTTTACAATTTTCTGTCCTAACATTCAGTACTGTTTCTGGTGCTGTGCAACGCATATGCCCTTAACAAATCTGAGGTAGAACAGTCTAAACAATTACATGATAAAATCTTTCTTTCAATCCCTTTTCCCCAACAAAATAAATATTTTAATAGAAAAATTATGTGCTAATTCATTTGTGATTCAAATGAATTAATTACAAACATTTACAACTTTACAAACATTTATTGACGATATATTGAACATTTGTTATATTGTGATCGAGGAAAAATATGTTGCGATAATTATCATTATTGTTTTATTGCCAAGCCCCACATGCATGTCACTCAGAAGAGAGCTCACTGGAGTCTGATATGGGCCACATTTAAACAGTAATGTGAACTGTCAAACAAAAACATCGGATCTGAGCTTGAATTGAGCATTAAGGCCTGCAGTTTGAACGTAGCCTAAGTGTCTTAAATCCAAACTGGAAAAGCTCAGATTCCATGTGACTTGGCCTGTTCACACTGTTATAACAATATCAGACCTGAGTCACATATGAGCAAAGAAATCAGATCCTGGTCACTTTTCCTTGCAGTCTGAACGCAACCTTTCATTATTATTAGAGTCTTTATTAGAAGTTAGAAGCACCAGTGGAAGTAATAGCAGAAGCTTGAAGTTATATTAGCAGGATATGGGCTGTATATACGTACAGACGGAAACACCTGCAGATGGTGATTTGGTTCTGTGTTTTTTTTTTCTGAAGATGTACATCTTTAAAAACACCTCACAAATATATAATTATAGAGTAATTTCCTAAAACAGCTGCTCACTGTACGTTTAATCAAACAAACAGGACTAAATTGTTGGGGACTATTTTCAGCAGTGGATTAATCCACATGTGGCGCTCTAGTGAGTATTTGAGGCATCAGGATGGTTTTTAATAGTTTTTGGTCAACAGTGAAGCTCTGTGGCTCAGAGGAAGAAGAGACCTCAGGCTGTGACACACACATAGTACTTTTTAGTAAAGGTGTTCCCTGCTGGTTTGAGTCTGAACAAGACGAAACATAGACTAATCCCTTTAAATGTCAAATAAGAGTGTAGTTGAGATGCTGATCGGCCTCCTGAGAAGAGTTTAAACACAATTAAGGCTCACCTGTTTAAGCTTTCACCTTGTTTATAAGCTCAAAAAAGATGCTAGGTAATTTGCAATCTGTAGGAAATCTCGCTGGAAAAGAAGTGCTGGACCTACAGATGTTTCTAGAGTGATTGTTTGGATTTTGATCGGTCCAGTGTGAGTATTGTTTGTAGTCTTAATAACTCTATGATATTGTGTTCAGGGTTCTGGCTGCTGTGGACCGTCCTCATCCTGTTCAGCTGCTGCTGTGCGTACCGACACCGGCGAGCCAAACTGAGACTCCAGCAGCAGCAGAGACAGAGAGAGATCAGCCTGCTGGCCTACCATGGAGCCAACTCCTACCCCTCCTCCATGCTGGACCTCAGTAAGACACCTGGCTGGCTGGCTGTCTGAGAGCAGCCTTTGAATTGAGTTATTGTTTTGTTTCTCTGTGTGTGTGATTGCCAGCTGTCAAGTGACGTGTCTGTCGCTGTGGCGACTCAGTGGAAATTTACAGCTCAGAGGCCAGTGGATTCTGCTGATTTTCAGAAGTACAACTTGTTGATTCCTTTTATTTTTTTCATTTTTTTTGCTGAAAATAAGAAATTGGGGAACTTTGCTAAAAACCTTTACCTTACTCCATCATGCCTTAATTTCCTGTCAACTCTTTACTGACTATCATCTAATAAATGCAAAACGCAAAATACTTTAAAGGTTCAGTGTGTAAGATTTAGTGGCATCTAGTGGTGATGGTTGTGAATTGCAACCATCTGTCCAGTCTACCACTGCCCCCTAACCTCTCAAAGAGTGTAGGACAGCTGTGGTGGCTTACAAGAGCACAAAAGATGTCTCTTCTTAGACAGCAGAGAGTAATCAGTCAAGAAATGGGGGTTCAGGTATATCAGGGACATTTTAGAGGAGACACGCCTTGTAACAGCAAAGATGGCGGTTTTCCCGCCCCTCCCGCTAGAAAGCCAATCGTCTTCTTTTAACAGCAAAAGCGGGAATCATACTTCAGCCAATCATGTGGTTCCACTGACGTAAGGGTCTGTAGGTGTTACATGCATAGTAGAAGGATAACCGGTCGGGAAAAACGCGTTTTAAACCTTAATTTGGGGCAAAGTTGTCAAACTTTGGTCTTGGTCTTGAGATCGGTCTTAAGACCACTTTCTGCTCCACAGCAGACAGGCACAATCAGGGACTAGCTGGTAAAGCTTTTAGCTGCTAAAGAGCCAGATCTTTCCCTCTGGAGCTAGTGGAGACCAAAATCGTCATCTTCATCAGGTAGCCGGAAAGACATCTCCATAAAGGATCATGTTTCTGCGGAACTGCTGAATGTGGAAACAAGTTTACAATAAGTTCGACACATAAGCTTTAAAGTTAATGATATGTCAACATTGTGTTCATGGCTTGTTTCACCAAAGTGACCAAAAAATTAGCTACAAAGTGACCAAAAAATTAGCTACTTGGCTCTAACCTTGGACCCCTCCGCTGCTTTTAGGTTTCCTGGCCTCTCTAAAGCTGCCGTCCTATGAGGAGGTGGCGGCTCAACCCTCCACCCCTCCTCCACCCTACAGCTCCGTGTTCACCTCCCCACGTTACCCGCAGCCCCCCCGCACAGCTGACCCCCATCTGCTCACACAGCACGACCCCCTGCTGCACCGGCCGCTCAGCGACGGTCCCTCCTCCCTCAGCTCCGACAACAGGTAACAATGCTGCCAACGCTGCTGGGAGTACCGGTGGTGATGCTGCTGCAACTACTGGTAACACAACAGGGAAAGAAGCAGTAGTACTGGAAGGAATGTTAGCAGCTCGGGAAGTATTTCTATACTGCTAGTAATACTTCTGAGAATACTCAAAATCTACTGGTTGGAATCCAGGGAATACAAGTAATACTGCTGGGAATATTGATAATCCACTACTACTGGGGCCACAGGTATCAGCGACGACCTTTCTTTTAATATTAAATAACACTATTGATATTACTGCTGTGATACTACTGGTAAGATGAAACTGGTACTGGCACAACTGCATTTTTTACCATGGAAACTATCACAACTACTGCTTCTACTGTTACTCAGACCAGTGGTTCTCAAAGTTGGGTTCAGGGGTTCTTGAGGGGGTTCCAGGGGGTCCCCAGCAAAAGGTTTAAATTGTAATTTAAAAGAAAGCATGGCACATTTAAAACTCAATATATTAAAAGTTTAATTATATAATAATGTGATAGATTATATGACTATTTTGGTCATGGGTTTCCTATACCTTCTGTAATTAAAAAGTTCTAAAAGAAAAAATCCTATAATCTGCGGCACCCTGTGACAAAATCTTGTCAAATGGGGGTCCGTTAGTGTCATTTTTATTGGTCCTTGACACGAAAAAGTTTGAGAACCACTGGCTTAGACTACTCGGGGTATTACAGGGTTCCAGTGGCTACTTAAAAAGTCTTAAAATAAAATCAGGGAATTTAAGGTTTTAAATTTACCCCAAATTTGCTGAAGGTATAAAATTTGCCTATGATGCGTTTAAGGCTGGTGGGAAAATTATCACGCACAGTGGCCTACTGTAACATTAGCGTGTATTTGTTTTATAAACTTACTGTTTGACAATGCGAGACTCTGCCGTTAATTTAAGTTCTCTTTTCACTGTACTAAGTTTCCTCCATGGATTATCCATGTTTACCTCTCTCTTTAGAGTTGCACCAGCCGAAGAGTGAAAGTGAAACTTAAGTCCCGCCTGGCATCGATTCCTTTATAACTCTGTTCAGAATCTTGTTCTCCTTTCTGTTATTTTAGTAGTTTGTATTGAGTTTAATGAAGCATTTCATGAGTTCATGTTCACAAACGGACACAATCAATTCACCAAAAACATGAGTATGTTCAATGATCGGTGCTGTTTGAGCATGCTTATGAACAACACTGTACACAGTTATTTGCAGAAGATTGCAACCGGTACGTATTTCCGCCCACATAGTTGTTCATTGGGGATGTGTAAACAGAATATGCAAAGTCATTCCCCTGTGCTAAAATTAAAATTATATTTGTTGAGGTCTTGAAAGGTCTTAAAAATGATTGAATTTGACTTTAAAAATGGTATAAGAACCCTGTATTAGTACTTGTGGGGAAAGAGGAAAGCTTTCTGGGGCTCAGCTGCTAGGGCGGCCCATGCAGTCCAGCAACGATGTTCATCCTAAATATAAGCAAAGATAACCAAATTTTATTTTGAACCAAAATACTCACTTATTAAAATAACAAAAAATTACAATTTATTTAATGTTTCTTTATTACAATATTGCCTGTTTCATAATGAAAACCCTCTCTCCTGAAGATGGTATGAGTAATGTTTGTTGTACGCAAAGTTAAAGTGCACCGCATGGGGCAGGCTATCTATGTGTTCATGTAGGAGATAGAAAATACATGCGTTGACATGAGAGATAATTCTTAAAATCGATGACACCAAGCTTCTTTGAAACAAGCATTTATTACATATTAATAATATTACATGTATATTACATATTGTCTCAGTAAGAAGGAAACGTTTTCCCATGTTTTCATACATTTAGATTAATAATTGTTTATCTTTCCTGTAGCTCCAGTTGTTCCTGTGATTCCTGCTGCCCCTCCTCTCCGTGTAGCTCCTCCCTGTCGGCACCCGTTACGTATGAGACTGACACAAGCCATGCCACCACGCCCAGCGAGGCTGCTCCCCTCACTCTTGATGTCACCATGGAGACCATCGCTGCTGCAGCAACCTGTTTGGAGGGTGCCGCAGTGGCCATTGACATTGGTGATGAAGATGCTGCCAGAGCACAGGAACCTATTGCCACGGACTCATCGGTTCCCAACCAGACTGTTACTGTGGCGGTTGTTACCAGGGCGGCTTCCCCTCACCCTCTGCCCTCCCCCGGTTCTGAGGTGGCTCTTTCTGTTGTAACTACATCTCCCATAAAGCAACAGCTCGACCTAGCACCGTGTACCCCAATAGTCAGCACCTGTAGCCCAAGTACACTCCCAAGTCCAAGTGTTTTGGACACGACACTCCCCTCCATTCAAATTACAAGCATTGAGGGCTTAGCTGACAACGTAGAAACTACACCTCCCCCGAAAATCACATCAATATCAGGCCCTTCTACCCCCACAGCTAGCATTTCTGACAGCCTTACAGCCTCCCAAACCCTCGAAACCCTCAATCTAACAAGAACTTTTGATACAGTCAATGTTCCTAGTAGCCCAACCTCAGTACTGTCCCCAGATGTTGGAAGAACTTTGGCCCTGATAACAGGCTCTGCTGGTCTCCCAACCCCAGACCCAAATCCTAGCCTTGTGTCAATCCCGGCACTTTCAAACCTTACCCAAGCTCCAGCCCCAGTACCTTCAAACCTTATGTTAGCTTCAGTCCTGGTCCCGTCAACCCTTACACAAGCTTTAATCCCAATACCTTCAGACTTTACCCAATCTCCAGATGCATTACCTACAAACTTTACCCAAGCTCCAGAACCAGTATCCACAAACCCTACCCTCTTTCCAGGCCCAGCACTTACAAAACCTACCCAAGCTCCAGACCCAGTACCTTCAAACCTTAACCTAGTGCCAAACCTACACCCTAAAACTACCGTAGTCCAAGACTGTGCACCTAACCCCATTCTAACTCCAAAACCTGCACAGTCAAACCTTACCCTTGCTACAAATGCAGCACCCACTTCACCTACATTAGCCCATTGCCAGATTCCAGAACTGTCACCTGGGTCAGGCCCAGCCCTTATGCCTCCCAGCCCAAGATCAGGCTTGCCCCAACACCCAGGTGCTGTTACTGTTCTTGTATCTTATCGAGCTTCAGGTGAAGTACCAGCCGATGCAGGTCCTTCTCTGACCCTGTCTCAATCATCAGAGTCAGACCTTATTAGTCCATTACCGTCAAATGTCCACGCTGATTTTAGTTCTGAATCTGGATCATACTCTAGTGTTGGTTCAAGGCCAGGTCCACTGTCCACTCCTGCCCCAGTGCTCACCTTCCCAACCCCTGAATCCTCCTATTCTTCCTGTCCAGCCATAACCATAGAGTCTGAATCTTGTTTCACCCCCTCTCGGTCTCCACCTGCAGCCCTCTCCCCATCCTCACCCCCATCCCTTCCTTCTCCTCCTCCCTTGCTCTCCCCTCCAGCCCTGTCTTCTACCTCCCTCCCAGCTCCAGCTTTACTCCTGGACCCCCTCACTGCTCTGCACCAGTCCAACAAAAGTGGATCGTCCTCTGGCCACGCTTCCTCCCTCTCCCCCTCGCCTCGTGCTACTCAGTCCCCTCCGAAACAGACCCTCTTCTCCCCCTGTGTGGATGTCTTTGAACCAGGACCTCCCAGCTGGGAAGATGGAGAGCATGAGGAGGAGGACAATGATGATGATGAAGATGAGGACATGGGGGCTGATGAGAGCCAGTATAGACATCGGCGACTTACAGGTGACTCTGGGATCGAGGTGTGCAGATGTCGGGTAGAGGAGGAAGAGGAGGAGGAAGAGGAAGAGGGCGAAAGGAAGGAGGACGGCAGGAGAGGAGGAGGAGCAGGAGGGGAAAGGGATATAAAAGGAGGTGGAAACACTGATCTCCATGACAGTGTGGACTGCCCTGCTAGAGGTCAGATAACCACAGGGGAAGAACTCATACTCTGTAACTCCACCTCCACCACAACGCCAACGTCTGAGGACAGTGGCGAAGTCGTCATTGTTATGGAAACAGTGTGATTGACAGAAGTGGGTGTATCAAACCATTCGTCATCCAGACAAGGGATGAACAGGAAGTTAATGATGGCGTCCGCTCTTAAAACAGTTTTTTGAGATTGTTCTGTACCCAGGGAGGTTTTGAACGCAGACCATCGTGGATGAGTTACATCACTTTAACAAATGATGCCTGTACAGCGTCTATTAGTCAGACCAGCATAGGTGTCGGATATTTGATAGGATGAGATTCCACAGGACGCATTAGCTCATATAACATGGTTTCTTCAACTGTGAGTTGGAATTTTAGTCAGTTGTGGTTTCTGCATGGTGAGTACCGGTGTGTTTTAAGTAGGGAGGAGTGGTATGTAATGTACTCAGATTGCTACTACTACCGAAAGTACTACTACCGCACTACAGAACTGTTGTCAGCAATTGGTAAAACGCCAAGAAACATTATGAAGTTTTACAGTTTACACAAAATATATTTAGAAATCCACCTTTACATAACATTGGAGAGTTGTCCATTTATGAAGAAAGTCTAAATCTCTACCAGTGGCTATGAACAGAGAGCTAGCTGAAGCAGTTTGTTGTGTTGTGTCTGTAGATCCATTCAGTAATGTCCTCAGTCAGAGTGAACAGTCTAACAATTTGTTTGTGCAGGTTAAGGTGACACTGTTAACTGTCTTAGTAGTCATAGTCTCCAAAATACATGGCGCTTGCGTCAGTCAAAGATATCCTATTGAGATACATTCAGTGTTCCTCACCAAAACAAATTCCTTCCTCTTTAAACTATTGAAATATTATTTTTAAGGGGCTCTCCACCAATTTTTACACATACACATTTCAAATAACCCAAACCCTGTGGTACAAACTGGTGCATTTATAAGGCAGGAAGGGTTTAATGAAATGCGCTAATTAGGTTGCATTATGGGATATGTGAGATCCAGTTAATGCTTTTTACTGTTATTGTTTAAATCTGTCTCTTGCAAGTCCCCTAGCTTTATGGATATGAAATACATCCTTTAAACCTGTTTACATCTATATTAACGAGCTACTAGTCTTATTCATACGCACCTTTTGCTAATGCATTGCTACGTTTCTTAGCCTGTTATTGCCTCCAACGGTTGATCTTAGAAATTCGTGAAATCGGGGGATGTTGTATAGCTTATATACACAATGTGTATCTTCACCTGCGTGCTTAAGCATGTAAATGTACGTCCTCATAATCATGCCAACCAAAATTCATTAAAAAATTCTTCCATAGTGTTACAGTGGACAAAAATATGAATGACTACTGGTAACAATAAGCTTGCTAACAAGCCAGCAGGCTAATTTAGCCATGAAACGGATGCTATAGTTAGCATGCAAATGCTGGCTTCCATTGGCTACTGTGTTGGCTAATTCTCCAATCAGAACAACTGTTTTGTGGTGGTTAGCTGAACAAATGCTATGGCTAGCTAGCTAACAACCTAGCCCTTTCTGAAAACAAAATAATTGAGGCCACAATTACCTCCCAATGAGTCACTGTTCAATTTTGTTGACAGATATGAATGCAGCTAGATAAGCACAATGCTAATGCGGCATTCATGTCATATGGGAGTAACTGTAATTGCCAGTTGCCTAATTGTAAAAACAAGTTCAACATCCAAGTTGTAGTTACAATTGGGGGATTTTTCTGAAATCTCTGATGTATAAAAGTTTGCAAATACGGACACCTCACAACAACTAAATTAATGATAATTACCTTGTGTAATACTTTATTTCCATCCACAGTATATTTTAACGCTCACAAGATCAATTCTGCATCATACACCCATCGTGAGTGGTCCAATGACGTTAACGCTTGCAAGTCAAAAACTAGGGAATCTTTCCCTTTGGTACCTTCCAACCAACTTGAAACGGGGTCCCCTGACAGATATGACGTTTCCTTTCTTACGTCCATCAGTCACCAACAAGAAAAGAACAACTTTAAATAGTTGAACGTTTACCAGAAGACACCTCGCTTGTCTTGGGTGATGACGGAAGTTTGGAAACGTGCCGGGGACAAATTGGCTGTTTTGGAAATGAAGAGAGACTGAAGTGGGAGGATGATTCACTCTGACTGACAGAAGGAACTGATTCATTCATTAGAGGGGACGTTTTGATGAAGAAGTCTGTCAGGAGAGTGGAATCAGGTGGGTAGTTTATGAAATGGGCGCGACAGTTTATCAGATTTGATGTGTTCATGGCAACTTGATCCTGTATGGAAGGCTTTAGGGCTGGTAGATCAGTTGGTTCTCTGTGCGTCAGCCTTTCAGCTGAGAAGCTTTTGCATAAATAGGAATAAACAATGGACACTTTTAGACAGAAACAAAGCACCAAACAGAAGAGAGACAGGAACACGTCATCATTCCCGTCTTTGTTTTTTTTCCTCTGATTTTGAGGTCAGATATACAACAATACATTCACTTTCTGCATCTCTCCATTCATAGGCACTTTCAGCACCCTTAATTGATAAATTGCCATCATCGTGGATAATTGATCAAACAAGTCAAGCTAATGTAGGGCCTTGAAATAACAGCAACCTCTATCCTGTTAAAGAATTGGTCATTCAGGCCGTTATTGTAACATATTAATTTTTCATACACTGTCAGATTGATAGACGTGTCAATATTGATATTTTGTGACAGAAAGAGTATATTTTGTCAGTGAGAGAGAGTTACATTTGTGTAGTACATCTGGTGTATTTCAAAGAAATTAGGAGAGCAATACTTTTAATCAGCAACAGTCTGTTAGTAAATCCCCACCCACCCCCAAAAAACAACAAAATAAAACAAAAACTGCTCTGATAGCAAAGTAATGCATAGAAGCATTCAGTTTACGTGACTGTCATGTTTGTATTTCGACTGAAATACCAAACATTCCACGTGGGTTTGGACAATTTCTACGCACCTTAAGGGTCATGTGGAAATAATGTTTTGGGATTTTTTTTTCTTGGAGGAAATTTTCACCCAACAACAGCCGTGTAATGATTGCGAGAGCTGGTGCAGTGTTTAAGTAATTTCCAACACACTCCACAGAAGTACGTCATCACACATTTGTAATACTTTTTGTTGTAAGTGTATAAAGATCAAAGTCAAAATGAATGAAACAAAGACTATAGCTTTATCCCCTATCTTTGTCCATGCCATGAAAATCACCTGCTTAACACTACGTTCACAGATGTTTTGTTGTACTTTTATATAAAAAGCTTTTTCTTAATTCCTGTTTCAACAAAAAATACACCACATTGTTCTCCCATATCAGTGGGCGTGTAAAAGTGAGGCTTGGGTTTTTTTTGTCACCTTTTCTTACACCTGCTTCCACAAAGTGCACTTGTTTTTTTTACAGCTCTTAATGTAAGCTGTATTAGAAAGTTTAACAAATGTGTGCTGCTCCAAACCAGAAGTCGGAGCGTGTTGGAAAAGACACCAGACAGTGAAGTCTGACCTCTAGCCAATGAGATAAAGTGTGTGCATTGACGTCATCAGGTTGCACCTGCTGATAATTGCTTGAGCCAGAACTCTTCAGTGGGAATTTTCTTTGAAAGTAAAGACACAGAAGCGTTAGGCAATATAATCTTAAACTACGGCAACCGCTGTGGTGCAGAGAACTGGTCACCTGACCGCATGTCTCGGTCACGGATGTCATTAACTCAGCCTTCTCCGATGAAAAGACCTTGAGTCTGGTTGACTAATCCTTAAACCCTGTGTCCATGCTGCATTACAACGCGGGCTTCATGTACTTCGCTACTCATTTGTTGCAAAGGACGATGGGTAGAACTTTGCTGACAGAGGTACCCAAACGGATACCATGATGGGTACTGGTATGTGGGACCTCTTTGTGACAAAAGCCATGTCCTGCCATGGAAAGGACATGACTTTCAGTTTCTATTTTCAAACCCTGATTGACAGCTGGATGTTTTCTGGACCGCCAGAAGTCTTTGCAGTCAGTTTGGAAAACCAACGTGCAGAAGATCGGATTCATACATGGATGCATAAATGATCTGATCTTTAAACATTTGTGGCTAAATACACAGATATAGGCATGTGGTTTTGAGCAGATGTTGACTACGGAGCGCTCAAGCAGATTCTCTGATTGTGACTTTGATTCGTCTCAGACTAAGGTCAAAAATAACACCTTTGATTTAATTGAATGCAGGCCAAATTTGCGCCTGTGGACTGAGGATTAAGAGTTGGTACTGGCTGAAGGACCTCTTAGAGAAAGCTCAAGGGCGATACCGAGCCATTGATGTTGTGGTTGATGGTGTTCTTTGTTTACCTGAACTAATAAGGTTATATATATCTCCATGGCTACAGAGTGCCATTTCTACCTGACAACTGTTACTACTTAGCATTAGATAGAGCTGTTCTCGCTCTGTGTGTGTGTGTGGATTGTCGACCAGAGTGACTGAAGAAATGTTGTCTAAAATCTTTCTGTAGCTCAGGTTCCCAAAGGCTCTGCAGCTCTAAGATCAGCTGGTGATGGTGTGACGTTTGGCCATTTCATTGAGGATTTCATCCAAATTTCCTCACAGTTCCAGGAGAGTGTTGACATTGTCTGAAAGGGTCTAAACAGACTGAATTGTGTGGACATTTTGGCATTGTTTTGGTAACTTCTACCAGCTAAATGGAAGAAGGTCCCCATATTTTCTCTGGAGGCATCATGGTAAACATAGTCAATCCCTGACTGAAGCAGATATGGTAGTTTAAGGTAATTTCGTCAGAACTCCTGGAATCACAAACTTATGACACAACAAAGAGAGTAGACATTTCTAACATTTCTCAGTTTCCATGTTGCTCAATGGGTGCAGCAAGGCACGAGCACTGCCAGGGTTGGAGGTTCATTCATCTTGATGTTCCTCAAGATGTCAACACTCCTGGTGCTGTTAGGCCTTAAGGGGAAAAGTCTTCGGCCAAATGTCTGTTAAAAGCTTTGACCATCTCTGGACTGATGTTAAGGCTGACCTAACTTTTGGAAACCCATCTTTATCTGTTTTTGTTGAGATATCTGTTGAGTTCAACTAAGACTAGTTTTTCATAAAATATTGGTGCACGAAAACATTAAAAAAATTGTCCTCTGATAGAAGAGTTTCACACTGACTGGATTCACATTGACAGGTCCGATTAGGTTTTAGCAAAATAAATGACTCCGATATGATTGTTTAAAAGCTATATTTGACTGCTTTTAGTTTTTAAACCTTGGATAACTCCTTAAATTACTTTTGAAAATAAACGTTAAGGAATTCTTTGGAAACTTCTGCTGAAAAAACAAAAAATTCTCCAACAAGAATTGGTGATTAGTTCCACTAGTTATCTCTTCCTGCATAAAGTCTGGGACAAAGCTGAATCCTACAAAGACTGGACAAACAACATAAAGACTGTTTCCCCCAACACGACAGTCGGGGAAGGAGCATAAATTTGCCGACTCAGTAAATAAACTACACCTCTGGTTAGTCCAGCGAGAACTCAAATGCTGCGTGTAAAGTGTTAAGTTTTAGATTTAATGTTTAGATGCTTTCATTTTCTTTGGAGCTTGTCCAGTGCACTCTCACACTACAAAACATTTTTGCTTGCCATTCTTCTTCTGTTGTTGTACTTACCATTATGTCTCCCTTGGGCAACACACGTGACACAAGTGACGTCATTGGGTGCAAATCAAACACACCCTGTAACTAGAAGGCCTGGCACCAGCTGAATCTGATGGTTTCAGATTTGACTCTTTACATATAACACAATTATATATACATGATTTTATCACGCCAAAATCAGATAAATGATTGCCTTAACTGTGCTAATGTCTGTGGTAACTATGACATACAAAGGAATAGACCATCTCCAAATGAATATTACTTTCCTGACAACCCACTTCAATATCTGCTGCCTGAACCGTTTTACTGTGAAGCAGCTGCAGGAAATGATTTAGTCACCAAGGTCAGTAACTGACGACTAATTAAAGTCTATATTTGTGCATTTTTCTACAATTTGATCATCAGAAGAGTTTTATAAATTGCCAGGGACAGATGGATAAAAAAGGATACAGTCAAATTGAGCTGGGTAGACGAGGAGGTGGAGGTCACAGGTACTCATTGCAAGCAACACTTTTCACGTCATGTCGAAAATGACTCTACCACGAGTTCTGGTAACAGTCGCTAATAGTGCATCACAGCCCAGGTATCCAGGCTAAAAATAGAAATCCATCATGAGATCCTGCTGCAGGAGTTGTTTGAAGTGATTTGACTGTTGTTTTTTTTTGTAGCTTTAAAAAAAGATCAGGAACTCTGGCAACCTCAGTAGTTTGAAAAGAAACTTTGCTGAGCCATGAGGTGAATTTATCATTTTAATGGTCATCGTTTGAACTGCGTTTATTAGACAAAGGACTGAGGAGAAACTGAGGAGGCAATACACTTTTTGGGGTGAGATGGTTCCTTTAAATGCCCAATTACATTCACAAACCCAACGCGAGGTCAAAGTTCTTAACCTTAAGTTTAAAGACCATACGTCTTTTAAAAATCCCTAGATGGGGCGGTAACGCCCAGCTGCTTTATATATGGGCACTATGGGTAAATAATCCTCAATTAGAGTCGTAATCTGAATGCAGCGCTGACTCTGAAATGACAACTCTGGTTTTTGGCCTCATTAAATGTTTACCATTTTGGCTCTTTGATCAACTTTTACTTGTTTAATGAGGAGATTGGAAGCAGCTTCACCTGTGGTGTTTGACAAAGTTATTTAATTTACTAAAATGTCAGTGTGTTCCTTCTATTGTAGGAGCCCCTCCCTCTGTCTAAATAATGTTTTTATCTTGTTATCTCTTCTCTCCTTCCTGTTTGCATGAGGTTTCTGTCGGAGGAGTCGAAGGAAGCAGAGAAGAGATTTAGTCTTTAAAATTCCCTTAATATTATGATGATAACGATGCTAATTATTAGTATAACTAAATTAATAGTGAGTGTGTATGTGTGGATGTATGTGTGTGATCTAACTAAACCAGCCTGTTCTAAAAACGTGTGAAGATATACTGAATAAAACTGTCAAATCTATCACCTGTCTATGTCCGTTCATACAGCAGAACAGCATTAATCCGACTGGTACCGATGAAAACAGAACACCATCAGCATACCGGAGATGAATCAATATTTATTGATTGATTGTCAAATTAGGCTCTACATGGGTTACACTTAGGCTCTCTGTCAGAACAATCGTAATTCATCTTTAATTGGAAATTTGTATTTCCTGAAAACTAGATGCCCATTTTAGGCTTCATCCACACTAATATGTTTTAGTTTTAAAAGGCATAACTTTTGTTTACTCAAACTGTCTGCACTACTCTGGTGTTTTCGAACCCCTAAAACCTCTAAAACTGTCCAAGATTGTGTTTCAACCTTGTGATGACAAAAAAAACGACAACATCAGCCTTGAATAACAACGGTTAATTAAACATGGATAGCCAATTACAGGCGTTGCTGACCTTGGTGTCTCTGCTAGCAGCTGTTCCATATCTTTGAAGGTCTAAGCAAAGAAATCTGTGGTCTAACTTTTCGCCATTGCTGTTCTTTGTTTGTAGTATTTTCTGCAACTAAGAAACCAACCGCAGAGTAATCAATCTGCTGTTTACACGGGCATGCGCATGCGTATGTAAATGGTCATAGTGTTCGTATGGACGGAGATTAATTCTGAAACTGCTAAATCTCATATGTATGAAGATAATTTTCATTTTAAAAAGCTGTTTTAAAATGCAAAGGTATCAGTGTGGACGAAGCCTCAGTTTAAACTCAGTTTAATTATATTCTACTGTAGATTTAAAAACTCTCAATCTCTCACTTAATATCATTTCCACCTACATGTTAATTGTATGTTTTATTAGCTAGCATAGAATTCGCCTGAAGTTGTTGCAGTGCAGGCACAGGTTAGCCTACTGTTTGTAATTTGTTTGTTAATTTGTGAGCTTTTTCTCATGCAATAAGTCTTTATCTCATCTATCTTCTTTCTACGCTGAATTGGAAGATTAAAAGCATTTAGCTAACCTTGTCTTATGTCCCTTGACAATATTCACTTAAAGAGGTCGTATTATGCTCATTTTGAGGTTCAAAATCTTATTTAGGGGTTGTACCAGAACAGGTTTACATGGTTTAATTTTCAAAAAACATCATATTATTGTCATACTGCACATTGCTGCAACTCTTCTTTTTACCCTATGTGTTGAACACACTGTTGTTTTAGCTATGGAGTTATGCATCTTACCTCTACATGATCTTTTTTTGGGGGTTGCACATGCGCAGTTCCTAGTTAAGGACTACTAGCCAATCCAAAGCACAGTAGGGCGGGTTGTGAGAAGCCAGTAAACGCAGCTTCGGTTCAGCTGTTTATGTTCTCCTTACCAGCTTAGCAACATGGACTGGAGCAAGAGTTTCAGAGTGGTGAGTTATTAATCTGTAAGAAACGTTTCTTTCGTCCATAAAGTTTTAACTGAGCTCTGTCTCTACATCAGTGGTTCTCAAAGTGGGGTCCTTGAGGGGGTTCCAGCAAAAAGTGGAATACTTTATTTTTGTTATAATTCTATTCATAAGTAGACAGATTGTATGACTATTTTGGTCACGGGTTTCATATAATTTTGTAATAAAACTAAAATCCTATCAGATGGGGGGCCTTGGGACAAGATCTTGTCAAATGGGGGTCCGTGGTCTAATTTGTGTTAGTTAGTAGAAATTCCTGAAAAATTAAGCTCTTTTGAAAGTACCAATCTTTAGCATGTACTTTATAAGCACTAGTATTTGATGTTAAAACTAGTGTGATATTGTAGTTTAATGGTTAGCAGCATTTTTATGTAGATTTTTAATCTTTTAATAGCTTTAAAAAACCCGTTTCTGTTCATATCATTTGTTTTGGAAAAGGCTGCTATATTGAGCTGCTAGTGTTCTGCTTCTTGTATTGTTGTTGTGACAGAGAGGAGACAACATTGTTGTTTTTTTGCTAAACAATTTATTTCAGTTCATTTTTATGGGAGGATTTTTAATGTTTACTAACATATATATATATATATATATATATATTTGTTTTTTTCACCTGCCGTTCAGCTGAACCCTCCCTCTTTCATTTTACCCCGTGCTCCCACCCTGCTCTCGGAGTGACAACGACCTTATAAGGTAACGGCTGCAAGACCACACCCAGCCGCCCCTGCAGGTAAGGCAGGGGAGCCCCGTCTGGCAGCGAGAAGCTCATTCGCTGTAGCAGAGAGGACAAGAAGAGGAAGAGCTCCATCCTGGCCAACGATTCACCAACGCAGACTCGAGGTCCTGCCCCGAATGGCATGAAGCAGCAGGGTGTGAAGCGCTGGCCCTGGTCATCAAGAAAGCGATCTAGAGAGGCGAGAAAAGAGGGAGGTGGTGTGTTCAGGTGCCCTTTTGAAAGTTAGATGTGTCTGACTTTGTATATGTGTGTATGTGCGTGTTTTTTACCTGGGTTGAACAGGTCGGGCTTGTCCCAGTGCTGGGGGTTGTGGTGAATCGACCACATGTTGACCAAAACACGAGTCCCACGACTGACAGAGTGACCTCCAATACTAAGAGGAAGAGAGAGTGTGTAGAGGGCAGCATCTACCGATTATTTTCATTGCTAATTAATCTGTCTGTTTTATCTGTCCCAGTTAATCACACTAGGGAAAGTCCTGATGTGTCACTTTTGAATGCTAAAGGTGGATATAGGATATTTAACAGAAAAGTTTGAGTAAGGAGGTGGTTTGGCTGGACGGTGGGCCAGAAACCAGACTTTCAACCAGGAGACTGCTGTTCGTTTCCCATGTAAGACAAAAAATGTATAGTAAAGTTACATAGGTTACGTAAAGTAAAATAACGTAACATAACATTACTAAAGTTACATAAGTTAACTGATGTAACAGTTTCTTCTTCTAAACTTAAGTACTTTTGGTACCTAAACCTAACCAAATTGCAATGCTAACAACATGGTGTTTAAAATTGCTAAGTTTTGCGACCTTAACACATCCTTTCATTTTGAAAGTATAACTGAATGTTGCATATTTATTGTTGCTAACTTGACCACAGACCACTAAACTCTGGAAAACAAAGCTGAGGAGGTACCCAGGGAGTTAAAAAGCAGCACCAAGGGGTCTTGATTAAGCGTCCATATGTGACGAGTTGGGAGCCACAATGTGTTGGACAAGAACAAAACAATTAATAGATTATCAAAATAGTTGCTGATTAATTCTGTCAATTAATCGACTAATCCCAGCAGCTTTAGTATTTACATGTAGGCCTACCTGCTGTCAGTCATGGCGGTGTGTGGGATCAGCACGGGGCTGACCGGTCGGATCCTCATGCCCTCGTTGATGACACAGTCCAGGTACGGCAGCCGGCCGCGGTCCGACACACACACCGCTCGCTCGCTGCCCACATTCTCGTCCAGCTCCTTCTGCACGCGCTCCTGGACCTGGAGGGGGCGGGGCACAGAAGCCAACCACATACTGATTGTTTATGATAAAAAACTACAGGTGTGCATGGAAATCACCAAAGGTAGTCTCACAGTTATTTTCGTCTCATAATTACAGCATATAAACAGGATATAAACAAAGGATGGTTACATAAAGAATGAAACAGAGAAAGATGAAAAAGACGACATTAAATGGCATTTAATTGTCATTTTGAACCCAGAAAAGAACATGAAAATATATTTAAAAACTCATTTTGTGGTCAGTTTTATACCATACTTACATTTATTGATAGCAGTACATTTACATTACAGTTACCAGTGAAATTGCCTGACAAGATGTCAAAATAGATGCAGGATAATGAGGTTTAGAAAACAGTTTTGGCTTCAGAGAGGCTGGTCACTTTAAAACTGGTGATCCAAAACAATTGTCAGTGCTAGCATTAATAGTATTGGAAATATAACCAGCAGTAGTGTGATAACTGTACCTCCGGGTGGTGCAGCAGATAGGCCAGGATCCACAGCAGTGTAGTAGACGTCGTCTCCACTCCAGCTCCAAAAGCCTCAGCTGCTGTCATCAGGACATGGTCATCTGTTATCCTCTCATCCTCTGACCCAGATGACTTTAGACCCTGCCTGCTGTCCATCTGGCCCTTTAGCAAGGCATCCAGGAGGTCACTGGGGTCACTGTCGCTCAGCGATGCCTGGGTACGGATCACAGAAGTGGTGCAGAGTTCATCTTACTGGATTAGAGGTTTTATAAACACTAAAATGGCCATCCTTTGAATTTAGGTCAGTTTTCAATACGTGCGTAATCGCTGTGTGCCAAATGTGCTCAGTAACTCAGAAGTGTCTTCTGCCACATCACATTCTCACTCCCAACTCCTCACATTTCAAAGCTTTTTAATGCCCTGGGTATCCCTTCAGCTTCGTTTTTGGACATGTAGGGGCTCCGCAGCCATGTTACCAGCAATCAATATGCAACTTCCCGTCAAGTTAGCAAAATTAAATATGCAAAGTCCTGTTTGACTTTCAAAATAAAACTAGTAGTTAACGTTGCCATATGTCGTATTTGGTTAGGTTTAGGCAACAAACCATGGTTTGGCTTGAAATAACTTAACCCCTTAACGCCTGAATTTGTGTTTTCATTTGCTTTCAAGCTGATGTTAAATTAAGTGAAGATTGTTAATTTGTCTATAGAACATAGAAAAGATATAAATTCAGGTATGTGTAGGTATGATGCAAATTAGCAACAACAGGCATAAACGAGAAACCAGGGCTTGCAAAAGGTTCCTAGGTTCGTATCGAATATGCACCAACAGGCATCGGGGGAATCCATGTGCTATCTTGGCTTGCGGTCTGCAAGGAAGAGGTATGATGCGAATTTGCGACAATCTGCGTCAAGGGGTTAAGTCACTTAATTGATGTAAGTTAAGTGCGTATGACGATGTGCAGCGGTTGCAGTTTAGTTGGGTTTAGGCACCAAAAGTACTTGGTTATGGTTAGGAAAACATTGTCCTTTGGGTGTAGTCACAGAATCTGATAGGTCACAGATTTTGGTGTTAGACCGGCACGTATGGACGAACAGACCGCGGTGAAGTTAGTTTCAAGTTGGAAATTAGTTTTATGTTGGACATTGGATAGATGTCGAATTCCAACTTCAAACTAATTTAACTGCGGTGCAAAGTGCCGTTCCCTCCCCAAAATATTACGGTTAAGTGTGGAATTTGCGACACAATGATATAAACGATGGAACATATTAGTAAATGATAGATGTTTTTCTATCGTCAAATGATAGATATCGTCATATAAAATGTTCATTTTTAAATTTAAAAAATCATTCATGATGAATGAACCCTTTAGGTCTTACTGACCCCATGATGAACTCTCCTCTAGCGCCACCCTCAGGACAAACTACATTACCTTGTGCTCCTCCAGTTTGCGGGACAGCAGTCGGTCTCTGATGGCGATACACTCCTTCAGTTTACTGAGACATTTGTTGGGAAAGACCTGTGGGACAGAGACAGACCCTTAGTATTTGTTTGCTCTGTACTTCTGGCCTTATAAGGTCCAATGTGAGTTTTGGACATTGACAGACATTTTAGGAAAAGAAGACGTTTTGTAGATAAAGGACATGTTTCAAAACTAAGGACATTTTTGGAATTGAAAGACATTTTATGTAAATTAGGTAATTTTGGAAAAATTTAGGAAGTTTTGGGAAATTTTAGGAAGGTGAGGACATTTTTAGGAGAGTGAAGATATTTTTTGTCCGGACTATTTCAGCGTTTAGGTCAACATACCTTCATCCAGGGATAAATGTCCACCAGTCCTCCTCTGGCTATCGTCTGCACAATGCCGTCATTGTATCGGATCACCTCCTGCAGCTCAGCATCGCCATGGCAATAGGTAGCACCAAAAACAAGCGTGCACACGACATTAGTGACGGCCCTGGTCACCGCTGGAGACGGGTCAAAGCCACGCAACCCACTAGACAACAGCTCGGCACACAGACTGTCCACGGACGACAGAACTGGAGAGAAAAGTGATGAGTACAAACAGAAAAGGCATGTAGACTTTTTAAAATGATTTTCTGACATTAAATAGAAATGACTCTGGAATTTCTGTTTATTTTCACTTAGTTAAAACATAATTCACTTAGTCATTAAAATATAAACTGAAACACTTGCAACAATAAAACAGCTGATATTATGTCATGTTATGATGGTTAGAAAACCTAAACAACCATAATATTTTCTAAAATGAATTTTATATCCACACCCATCCACCAAAGGTTGTCATGTTTCCTGTTCACAGTACAAACTCTCCTTTTTATATACACATAGATCAGAAAATCCGCTACAATTTAGAGTGAAGAGAAAATGCAAATGAGCCAACCATCCGACATTTCCATTTTGGTTTTCCATTGTTTGAGCTTCGACTGGAGCTCGCGTAATGACATCATCTTGTCCTCTTTTTCTGCAATGGTTTAATGGTAGCGGCTGGCGAGTTAGCTCCACCAGCTGTTTATCTCCACCAATCAATGAGCTCAAATGGAAACTTAAGAGCAAGTCTGATCTTAATCTTGTTTGTCTTTAATGCAGTTACGTACATTGTAATTCTTTAGATTTAGCCTTTTAACCAACATTTTATTATCTCTGACATCCCTTTAACCAGTTTAAATGTTAATAATATTAAAGGTTAAGCTCTTTTTATTTGAGAATTTAGAATTTGTGCACACAAATGCATTTTCCCAATAACACTACCGCTAAACCTGCTTAAAATTAAGTATTAATGGCCTGACACAGGTTTTTACTTTTGTTTTGACTAACTGAAAATCTGCTGTTATTTGAGTGTGATGTGGTCAGGATGAGTTTCAGCACCTGTGAGAGTGGGAAAGGATGGTTTGTCCTGTGCAAGTGAAAGGTTTTATATTTCAACAGGAGACAGAAACAGCTAGAAGAAGGATGACGTGTGGAAAACAAAGGATAGAAGCATAATGGACGGAGAAGAGTACCGATGTCCTGCAGTCGGCTGGTTCCTTCTCCAAACAGAGTGAAGGAGTTGTGGACGAGGCGACGGTGCGACTTCCAGAGAGGAGAGTAGTCTGCAAACGCGATGTCTTTACCTCCTCTGGTCAACAGGTTGGTGGTCACCTGCAGAGCAAAAAGGCAAGAGGGTAACAAAAAGAGTAGTAGCACTGACAGGGAAAGCTGCCATGTTGCGCACAATATTTTTAAATGTTAATTAAAATCCAACACATTGTTTCTCTACAACCTGTTGTCATGTGATTGTTAAAGTGCCTGGACGCTGACATATGTTTACATAAACCTTTCTGAGTTTTGGTGCATATTTTAACTTTTTTTTTTTCATAAAACTGCTCTGAGAGACAATAAAGTGCTTTTTCTAAATAAAATGTAGTCTAAAGTTTCCTGAGACATGAGAAGGACTCGATGCCAACTTTTGACACATTTCGGGCAATCAAAATGTATCGAGTAACATCTATGAAATACTATTTATAAATATTTAAAATACTATTTATAAACCTTTAAAATACTATTTACGGTCAGTTAAAAAAAACTTAAGGATGGCACTACAGGAATGGTTCAGAGGTTATGAAAATCAATGAGCTTAATTCTCCTGTAAATTTAATTTCAAATTTGATTGAACTGAGGAGGTTTCCATGTTAAATAAACGGAGGCTACAACTAATGATTATTTTCAGTATTCATTTCATGTACCACTTATTTTTCTCGATTAATTAGTGTGGTCTACAAAATGTTGACAACTATCAAAAAATGTCCTTTAGAAGTTTTCAGAGTTCAAGGTGACGTCTTCAAATGTCTTGTTTTGTGCAATCAACTACTAAAAACCCTGAATATTCAATTTACTCTCAAAAGAGTAAGAAAACAGGTAATACTTCACAAAATAAGCAGACTGATCAACGTCAGGGAACAGAAATGCCTCTGTTGGTAGTATCCTCTCTTTCTCTCTCTCTCTCTCTGCGTGTCTCACCATGCTCGGTCGTCCAGCGAAGTCTCTCCCTCTCTGCAGAAGGACCTCTCTGGCGTGTTGATGGTCGTTAACCACCACGGTGTAGTGAGGGCCGAGGTGGAGAGCAAACAGAGACCCGTACCTGAAACACACACACAGCATGTCAGCTGACATTATCAGACTGACCTACAACACAAAAAAAAACTATTAATGTATTCAGATAATCTGTTGACTTATACAGCAGACAGAACTAAATAAACAGAGCCAGACTGCTTGACAAAAAATCTCCCTTTTATCAGACAAATCCACCCTTATAGTAAGTATAGTAATAATAGCAATAATAGAAGCTGTAGTAGTACTAGTTAGCAGTAGTAGTTAGTTGTAATAGTAGCAGTAGTAGTAGTAGAATTAGTAGATGTTGTAGTTAGTAGTAGCAGTAGTAGTAGTATAAGTTGTTGTAGTAGTAATAGTATTTGTAATTGTAGTAGTAGTAGTAGTAATAGAAGTAGTAGTAATAATAATTGTAGCAGTAGTAGTACTAGAAGTAGTAATGGTAGCAGCAGTAGAAGAAGTTGTAATTGTAGTAGTAGTAGTTCAGTGCACTAAAAACAACAGATTAAAGTTTTTAAAACATAGTAGAAAACATCCTTTACTGTCTGAACGATAATTTCACCTTCTAAACATTAAGGAGTTTACTATATAATAATAATAATAATAAACTTTATTTATCAAAACAGAGTACAAACTTCTTCACACAGAGAGAGGTGACATGAACATCACAGTGACGAATAAAATACGTCACAAACATTAAAATAAACAGCCGGTCCCCTTTTGATTTCAGCCTGGACCCCTCCCTGAAGATCCCAAACTACGCAAAGGCCCGTAAAGGTTTACCGGACATTAATGAGTAATACTAACAAGTAAACATTAACGATCTCAGAGAGGCTTCTCACCTGCGGGCCAGCTGGGTGAAGAGGAGGTGTGGAGGGAGGCCTCCTCCCAGCCAGGGGAGGCTGCCCAGGACGGGGAGCCACGGCAGGCAGGGGATGGAGCCCCGAGCTGGAGGATGAGACCGGTGCGTGATGAGGAACGAGACGGCCGCCGCAACAAAGAAGGCGGCGAGGAGGAAGGAGGGAGGGTGGGAGAGAGGAGAGATGAAGGAGGGAAGAGAGGAGAGGAGACGGGTGAACATGGCTGTCATGAAATGAAAATGAAGAGGGAGGCTGGAGAGCGCTGTTTTTAATCTCCCTCTCACACATGGAGAGACCTTGGAGAGGTCAGAGGTCCTGTGTGTGTGTGTGTGTGTGTTATTATTACTGGTGTGTGTGTGTGTGTGTGTGTGTGTGTGTTGTTATTACTGGTGTGTGTGTGTGTGTATGTTGTTATTACTGGTGTGTGTGTGTGTGTGTGTGTGTGTGTTGTTGTTATTACTGGTGTGTGTGTGTGTGTGTGTGCGCCCTCACCCTGACCACGTGTGTGTGCGCTTGTTAGTGTGTGTTTATCTTGGTCAACCAACCTTGATGTTATCAGGCTGCGTGTCACTGGTTCCCGCTGCGACCTTAAAGGAGAGAGAGAGAGAGAGAGAGAGAGAGAGAGAGAGGCCATGTCAGCTTTATAAACTTTAATTAACTGAAGCAACTTTACATTTAATGTTTAATAAAAACACACAATGTAGCATAGAAATAAACTCAAAATAGACCCAAAAATGTAATCAAAAATTTAAAAACCTGATCAAAATTTATCCACCAGGAGTTGAAATATGACCATTTCCGGTTTAAATACTACTTTCTGGAGTCAGCTTGGCGACTAGTACACATGCGCAGTAGATCAGTTGTTGCCCTGGTAGCGCTAATCGGTCATAAAAAGCGGGAGGCACGCGGACCCTAGCGGACCGTTGCGAACTCGCACGTGAGAGAGGACAACAAACACCGGCAGCTGCTGAGCCATTCATCGAAAACGTTATCTTTAAAACTTCATACAACAAGAACCAAACAAAAGCAAAATAGGTTAGAAAGGTGAGTGAACATGTTTAGCTCAGCATCAGCCATCTCACGTTAGCTTGATTCTTGCTTTAGCTACGACCTACGGGCTACTTTATGCTAATTATGCTAATTTCCCAACATGTGCAAGTTAGCAGTTTCACAATGCTGGAGACCCGTACTATACATTTCTAGGTTAAAACTTTGGGGTACTCAACATTTCCACGTTCACAATCGTGCTCTATAGGTTGGCAAATAGACTATAACGTAAATCATTATCTGTTTATACAGCAGCCTCGTTTTATTGGAGCCCACTAACTACATCACAGTGAATCAGTCTTAGGAATCAATCAAACTTTTAAGGAGTTAATATAACCAGCAGCGCTTGTAGAAGCAGCAGCTCCTTCAAACTTTACTACACTTTTGTTTGTTTCATCTGATTTTTTTCCTGCTTTATTGCTGAAACACTGACATAAATACAGTCATTGGAAAATGAAGACGGGGTTTTTGGATTAAACAGCAGCGCACCACGATTCACCCGACCACGGCGAGTGAGGTGATGGCTCAGAGGAGAGGAAAGAGAGCCATATTGGTCCAGCTTTGACTTAATTCTGCTTCTTAACAACATATCTTTAGACAGAGTCCATGTTCAAAATGAGAATAGGTGGACTTTGTGTTTGACATCGATGATGCTTGGCGCTCAAACGCAGTCAAGATGGACTCTGTTTCCCAAACGTCAGACTGTTTATTGTGAATATGAAGCTTTCTGATGATGTTTACAATCGCCCCAGAAACAAATTACAAAAATACACAGCAGAATGTTCTGGGTGCATATGTGTATGTATAACGCCTTTGAATATAAATAACTGTTTATAGCTTCTTGTTTTGTTTTATTTTATTTATTTACGTTTTAATACGCATTTAATTATTTGTTACGTGTGTCTGTGTGTGTAGCATGAAGGGACTACAAGTTCTAGTTTCGTTATACAACCTTGTGTTGTGAGAAACAACCTTGAAACTTTAAACCTCGTGGTTGGACCTACCTGAAGTTTCTGCTGTTCTTATTTTATGTACTGAATACTTTGCTAGCGTCTTTGATCAACCAAATCTACCCAACAGCGGCATCTCACCACCACCGTCAGACTAGTTAAGCTCAAGCTTTAATTTTCTGGTCTCCGACACTAACGGTAGGTGTCGTTTTTAATGAGATATAAAAGCATAAAAACTGAAAAAAAGAAAACATTCAACATGCTGCTGCATCTCGTAAATACAATCTCATGGCATCAGTGTGTTTCCAGGAGTTCTGCTGCACATGTTTTAAAGGTTGCGTAAAAGCCCTTAGTGCCTCCAGAGGGAGCTACACCAACTGCAGGGCTTTTCAAAGTCTGAGAGTGTGGGCCTCCCCTCAGACAAAGCTTGGGAAAAGGCATCCCCTCATTGATCCCATTGACTTCAGACCTCAGCAAATACATAAAGAAAGATCTGTCCTAAGGCATTTATTAGTTTATGACTGATAAAATGGGGGAAAAGCTACTGTATTTTTTAACTCTTTCAACAGGTATGCTATTCTATGTGACCTCCTTTTGACAACTAATGTAATACTTTTTCACTTCCATTCAGACTCCCCTGAAACTGCTTGGGCCCCCCTGGTGAGGCCCCCCTGGTGAGGCCCTCCTCTGACTTACTGTTAGCGTTCAAAAAATGACGCGAAAGGGCTCGCCAGCGTGTTACAAACTGACGCCAAGTGGTCTTGACCATGCTTGTGACGACTTTGGAGTGAGAGAACGGGTTGACATAATACACCCCAATCTCTGACCAAACTGTCAGAGGGAGAGCTGCATTGTGGGTGATGTAGGCAGCAGGTGTTGACAAGGAAGAAAAATGCGTCTAATAAAAGAGAGAGTTTCCCTCTGGCTTTTTTCTGGCTCTGCTGCATCGCACTCGATGCAGCAGAGCCAGAAAATGTTATCAGAGCTAAATCTCTTTTTAACGACTGGCAGATTATCTAACAGATATATTTATAAAGTGTGAGTCGGTGGCTGCAGATGACAGAAACCGAAGGCCAGAGAGTTTCTGACGCCACGACACATTAATGCGGCTCTGTCAGAGTGTGTGTTATTTGTAACAGGTGGAGGGAACAGAAGGTGGCACAGCGCCATGGCAACAGCCTCTCTTACCTCGCCCACACACACTCACTCTCTTCCATCATCTTTGCTGCTTCATATAGTCCCTTCGCACGTTCATGCGAGGGGGGTTTCTGTCGTCTGCGTCGTCCAGCCATCACGGTCGACTGGTGACTGTTCAAATATCAGGCCGATCGGTCACATCGTTGTTTTTGTCAGTGCGAACACGTAAGCAGCATCTAAACGAGGATCATCAGCAGGCGGAGGTTTCAATAATGCAAATATGTACAGCAGCACCCTAAATATCAATATGCAACAGTCAGTGCTGAAATGCTGAAAGCTGCAGTTTCTCTGTTGTCCACTAGATGCTGCTCAAGAACGCTCTGACTATTGATGTAAATAGAAAAAACTTTTCTTTGTAGAGCTAAATATTAAATGTTTTGTGCAAAATAACTTTGTCTTTTTAGTGGTTATTAACTTTCTCCTGGTGTATCTTGAATCTGAAATATATTAAAATATTTATTGACTAATAACCTTTAAAAAAAAGTGATGTTTTTGTGTGCCTCTAAGGATGGCAACGTCAGCTGGTCCACTACTTTGTTTCAGACTGAAACATCTCAACAACCATCAGATAAAATGTGATGAAATGTAGTTCAGACATCCATGTTCCTCTCAGGATGATCTGTAATAACTTTGTTGATCCTCTGACTTTTCCTCTGCCATCAGCAGCTCAACATTTTAATTTAGTTTATAAATACCTGCAAAACTAATTACATTCCCATCAGCCTCAGCTGTACTTCGTGTTTTATGCTAATTAGCTATAGCATGCTAACACTTTAAATTGAGACAGTGAACGTTTTACCCTCTGAACATCAACATGTTAGGACTGCAACGTGTTAGCATGCTGACGTTAGCATTTAGCTCAAAGCAACGCTGTGTTGAAATATAGCCTCACTGCTAGCATGGCTGTTGACGTTTGTTAATCTTTATCTACAGTGATAACACCAAATAAAAACAAACACAGCCTCAATATTTCATATTTAAACCAAAACAATTTAATAAAAAAACCTTTATTCTCAATATTGAGAAATTGTTATTAGGCGCAAACTAGTGTTGTGGTACTTGAGACTGGTCCTGGTCTTGAGACCGGTCTTAAGACCACTTTTTGATGATCTTTGTCTCGGCCTCGGACATTGTAGACTGGGGATTTTATTCCAAGACCATAACTTTGGGAGTATCAATGAATTGCTTTTGCATTGTCAGATTTATTTGTTAACATCTTTGGATGTAAAACGTATTGCTTCAAATGCAACCAATAACACTAATTAAAAATGTGTTGTTACCATTAACGGCCGTCACCCTTCCCCGCGATAATAAGCACGGAAAAGGAGTGTTGAATACAGATGCTTACGTTGATTTCAGCTCTTAGTGTTTGTATGTGGGTGTTTTTATGGGAATGTGGATCTTTCAGATCAATTAGAGAAGTACCTCTGATGTCGTTCCACGTTTTGTTGTGTGTCATGTGTGGAACCGGTCTTGGTCTCGACTTGGTCTCAGCCCCTTAAAGTCTTGATCTTGTCTCGGTCACGATAAACTTTGGTCTTGGTCTTGACTTGGTCTTGGTTTGGGCGCTCTTGACTGCACAAACTTTGTAGAAGTGGACATAAATGAACCATAGGCCATTATATACTACTACAACAAAACATTTTAGGCTATATTGTTTTTTCCAACCCTTTTTAGAGGTCATTATTTTCCTATTTCAAAGAATGAATTATAATATTCTATCATTAGATTATTTTTCCTCATGAATTTATGTAAAAGCAGCATTTTACTACTGTAGTTGTTGAGCTGGAGCTCATTTTGAACTATTTTGTACCAGACTGCAGCTGATGATTCTTTTCATTATGGATTTATCCGCTGATAATTGCCTCCATTAATCAGTTGATTGTTTGAGTCCAACCAACAGTCCAAATCTTAACTTTATTAACAAAAGTTACAATTATTACTATTATTAACACAAAAAGCAGAACACATGTGAGAAGCTGAAACCATCACATGTTTTGACAGGGTTTGTCAATCGACTAATAATTTTACTATTTAACTAAAGCTGTCAGATAAATGTAGAAGAAATTTTTTTTTACTGAAGTAGCCTAAATATACTTAGTCACATTCCACCAGGTGTCAGCGCGGGATGTTTACAGTAAAACTCTTTGAGCTAGTCCGCAATTACCTGCATCATTAAGATGATCATAACCTGCTCCAGTGTCGCTATGTTTGGTTTGTTTACGATGTGCAAATTCAGAGGGTGTCAAGGAAGATGATCTGGTGTCGGCGAGGGATGATCCGGCTCTGATGTGCCCCCTAGTGGATTCACGTTTAATCCTCCAGGTGCACGCAAAGTACGCAGGCAAGTATTTGAACAATGCTGTTTGTCTACTCCTACGCATTGTTAAAGAGCAAGTATGTCGGGGGCTAAACTGATGAACTAAAACCACATGTTGACTCAACATCGTGGCTGTTTTGTCATGTTCACAGGGAGAGAACGGAAGACTTGGACGAGAAGAAACTGTGTTAGGAATTTAAAATTAGGCTACTGATCGGTGCTGCACATAGGTTTTTATTTGTTTGTTTGTTGTTGTTTTCTGAGACAATGAATATTTGTTTCTTCTGTATTTACAATGCATTGCATGTTTTCTTATTGTGCCAATAAACCTTTTTCAAAACAATGTCATTTCTTAGTTAACATTTCCTGCTGAAAGCTATTTTTCAGAACATTTTTAACACATTATGCTTTTAAAAAGCGATGAGGACAAAATCGGTCATGTCCTCAGTGTAAAGGACGCTCATTTCACCAGTGAGAGACTTAATGATCCTTAATGTGAAAACAGCGCTGCTGCTGCTGCTGCTGCTGCTGAGGAGTCACGCTGATCGTTCACGTCAGCTTCACGTAAAAAGCAACAAATAATAATTAAAATTAGAAGAAGCCTCTGAATCTGCACCCGTCTCCATGGCGACAACATTACAGCAGCTGAGCGTTGATGTGCGCGTGCAGGAATGTCACATGTGGGGCAGTAATATATAATAATCTCTCTCTCTCTCTCTCCCTGTTTTCTCTCTATGTCTCTCGACCCCTCTGCAGCACTGCAGCGCTGTCCGCGGTGCTGAAACCGGCGACGACAGGCTGACGGTGCGACACTGGAAAAGACTGTCGGTATTTACAGCAAAACACATCAGTCTCTTTGCAAAATGCCCCCTGATTATAAATAACCCCTCTGCCTATCATGTCCCCAGTGATATTCCAGCATTTGTGTTCGTTTATGAGCATAAAATGGTGACTTAAAGACATGGCCGCCAAACAAAAACAGCATTTTGCACCCTTCATGAAACTTTGCTGCTGAATAAATGTGCCATTTTGTCTTTCTGACAGCTTCTATAACCTCAAGGAACTGAACCAAATCTGAAACAGGCGAAGAGGCAAATACATATATATTTGTTAAGATGAAATGCTGCGTCAATTGTGACATGTGAGTGAATGAAAACCGCAGATATTTGGCCTGATTTCAGCCTTTCAGACAGGCTCCACATATCAAATGCTTTTTGGGTTTAAATGATATACCTGTGAGGCAGAGCTCAGGGCAGAGTTGTTCCTAAACAACACCACATATTATCTGTCTCTTATAATATCTACTATAATAGTAGGGCCTACATCTTCTCCCGGTCCTCCACGCTCTGCTGCATCCCTGCACTCGTCCATACATCCACCTGGTTGTATAATCCCTACTTGTCGCTCCGCTGCCGCAGTGGAGGAAACCCCTCGCTCCTCTCGCGGCTACGTCGCTCTCCCGCCTGTCCTTTTATGGTATGGGGATACCCGCCGTCACAACCGGAAGCTGCCCATGTTTGGGCAGCTGAGAAGCGCTCGGCGGGGGGAATCCCTCGCGCCGGTGCCGACCAATAAGGCCGGGACGGGAGTTACCTAGGAGACGGAGAGTATAAAACGGGCACCGAGCAGAGGGAGCCCAGCATCTTCAGCATCACCGAGCGGACTAACGGAACACACCGACAGCTCCGGTAACGGATTAATATCAGGATTTTTAAGGTCTCGAGGGAATCCCTGACACCGACCGAGCAACTTTAACCACTTTATCCTCCTGACACCGTTTGGACGCGGCTTAACTGCGGCTTTTACGCACACATTTAACCACCACCCGCAACAGTTCACGCAATGCTTCTGGAGCGCGACGACAGCTTCATGTCGGAGTTTGAGGACGCGTGCAGCGCCTGGGTGGACAGTGTGGGCTCGAGCCCCAGCGACGGAGCCGAATCTGACGTGGGATCACCTTTCTGTCAAGGTGTGTGTGTTAAAGTTATGTGTCAAATACTTTGCGTATTCATCTGTTGCATAATGACTTGCAGACCAGATGTGAGCTTTATTAACCAGATCTGCATGATCCCAAAACTGTAATAATAATAATAATAATAATAAATAATAATATTAATAGCCTAATAATGCATCATGTTGCAGCTGCTTGCAGGTGTTTGCACGCTGCATCTTCACGTCTTATTGATTTGTGACTGTGTAGGCAGCTGATCTGCCCACTGATGAGATATTATGCAATGACAATAACCCCCCCTCCCTCCCTCTCTCTCTCCTCAGTTTTCTCTCCGGGAACTGACGCCTCTGACTCAGATTTCTTCTCCGACTTCAGCGACTGCTCCTCGGACACGCTCTCTCCCTCTCTCGGCTACACCGCCAGCTTCTTCACCGAGCCGGAGTCGGTGCCAGCGGCGGCGGCGGCGGGGCTAAGCAGCACCGCGGACGCGATCCTCAACATGATTACAGAGATCGTTGGGATCTGCACCGAGATGGAACAGCAGGGCGACACCGGCTCTCTCCGCGAGTCCAGCCCCTCCTCTGCGGCGCCCTCCCCGGCCACAGCCTCCCTCTCGCCCCCGCTCTTCGCTCCTTCTCCCTGCTTGGCTCCCAGCTCTGACTTGAGCATCCCTCCCCCGGAGGCAGCCCAGCAGCTGCCCGCCGCCTCGGTTTCACACCCAGTGGTGGTTAAGAGCGAGTTTGCGACCTCCAGCTGCGGCAGCGGGTGTGGACATTCTTCAATGACCGGGAATGATGCTTTATACCCGGCCAGCGCAGACTCTCTCCTCCCGCTGTCGGCTCTGGAGCAACAGGTGGATGTGGCTGAGTTCATCGACTCTCTGCTGAGCTCCGAGCCCGGGCAGGGCGAGCTGAAGCCCGGCTGTGAGGTGAAGCAGGAGCCGCTTGGGCTGGAGGACTGGCTAAAGAGCTTAGTTGCTGCACCGGTTACCGGGGGAGACTCCGGCAGCTACGTCATCAGCAGACCGGTCAAGACGGAGCTCGTGCAAAGCGGGAGCAACCTGCACTTCTCCCCCACCCCCCTCCCCTCCACCCTGGACGCTCATCTCCTCTCCTCCCTACTGCAGGGCGCGTTCCCGATAGTCAACATCAGCAGTGGGCACGCGACAGGAACCCCCAAACTGTCACGCGGGGGCAGAAGAGCTCCCGCCAAGAACGGCCTTAAAGCGAAACCCTTCCCGTGCTCCGTGCAGGGGTGCGAGCGCCGCTTCTCGCGCTCGGACGAGCTGAACAGGCACGTGCGCATCCACACAGGACAGAAACCCTTCCAGTGCACCATTTGCGCGCGCAGCTTCAGTCGCAGCGACCACCTGACCACGCACACGCGCACACACACCGGGGAAAAGCCCTTCTCATGCGACGTGTGCGGCAAGCGCTTTGCGCGCAGCGACGAGAGGAAGAGGCACGGGCGCGTGCACGTCAAGCAGCAACTGCGCGCGCAGATGATGGCCGCCTACTCCCTGGCTCTGAACGCGCCTGGCGTCTAAACAGCAGCGATTAGTGGGCCGCTGAGGCTGCTGTGGAGAGAAGTTATAAAACCATCAACCGGAAAGCGTCAGAGAGACGTTTCCATATGACGTCACACTTAAGGCGATTTTACCTGAGGCCACGAGGCCGGGAAAAAAAAGGTGTTCAGAGGACTTTAAAGTCCGGACCCCGGCTCCTCTCATATCGCATGTGTGAGACTACGGTGCATTGGATTGTGGGAGCTGATGGAGGGGGACTCGGAGCATGGAGTTAAAGACTTTGGCTTCCTGACGGTGTTCAGGTGTGACCCCGGACCCGCGGGTGCACCTGACCATCGGTGCTTGTTGCTTGTGACTCTGAACGTGTCTGATGACAGTCTGTGGACGGAGCGGAGGAGAGTGTTGCTTGTAAAATATTGATTTCAGACTTTTTATCTGCATGAGGACGCAAACAGTGAGCAAACTGTGAATGTTGACGTCAGAATGTCGTGATTCTGTTTTGACTCAAATATTTTTATGTCAACCCGCTTTATATTTGACATCACCGAGTTATATGTTTGTACTATATCTCTATTTTTCTAGTGTTTGTCTACCTGCATATTTGAAGACGCCAGATTTCTATGGCGGATAAATGTGTGATGATGTCACTTTTCTATGAAACGATTGTAAACGGTCCACGAGGACACCGAATGAACTTTATTATATAATCTTCATTCTGACATTTCAATGCAGGTCTCACTGCACTGATGCATTGTGGGATACGTGTCCTGGTGTCTGTACTGTAAAACACTCAGTGTGAGCTGAGCTCGGAGTAGCACACATGGCTGTGCAGGTTAATGTGCCCTCGTTCTGCATGGAGGCTGCTGTCAGTAAACAAATAAACAAACAAACAAACAGCAACAAGGAGTCCAGTCTGTTTCCTCAGCTTCATCTTCATCATCATCATCATCATCATCATCACTATAATCTTCCTCAGCATCTTCACCACTATAATCTTACTGAACATCTTCATCATTAGGCTACAGTCTTCCTCATCATCATCACTATAATCTTCCTCACATCATCATCATCATCACTATAATCTTACTGAACATCTTCTTCATTAGGCTACAGTCTTCCTCATCATCATCACTATAATCTTCCTCACATCATCATCATCATCATCATCACTATAATCTTACTGAACATCTTCTTCATTAGGCTACAGTCTTCCTCATCATCATCACTATAATCTTCCTCACATCATCATCATCATCATCATCATCATCACTATAATCTTCCTCACATCATCATCATCATCATCATCATCACTATAATCTTCCTCAGCATCTTCACCACTATAATCTTACTGAACATCTTCATCATCACTATAAACAGCATCATCATCATCATTATAATCTTCTACAGCATCTTCATCATCACTATAATCTTATTGAACATCATCATCATCGTCGTCATCATCACTATAATCTTCCTCATCATCTTCATCATCGCTATAATATTATTGAAAATCATCATCATCACTATAAACAGATAAATAACAAGATTATAGTGATGATGAAGATGCTTCTACAGCATCTTCATCATCACTATAATCTTCCTCAGCATCTTCATCATCACTATAATCTTCCTCACATCATCATCATCACTATAATCTTACTGAACATCTTCTTCATTAGGCTACAGTCTTCCTCATCATCATCACTATAATCTTCCTCACATCATCATCATCATCACTATAATCTTCCTCACATCATCATCATCATCATCATCACTATAATCTTCCTCACATCATCATCATCATCATCATCATCATCACTATAATCTTCCTCACATCATCATCATCATCATCACTATAATCTTCCTCACATCATCATCATCATCATCACTATAATCTTACTGAACATCATCCTTATCATTAGGCTACAGTCTTCCTCATCATCATCATCATCATCATCACTATAATCTTCCTCACATCATCATCGTCATCATCACTATAATCTTCCTCACATCATCATCATCATCACTATAATCTTACTGAACATCATCCTTATCATTAGGCTACAGTCTTCCTCATCATCATCATCATCATCATCACTATAATCTTCCTCACATCATCATCATCATCATCACTATAATCTTCCTCACATCATCATCATCATCATCACTATAATCTTACTGAACATCATCCTTATCATTAGGCTACAGTCTTCCTCCTCATCATCATCATCATCATCATCACAAACACTTGGCATCTGTCATCGTTTTATAAACAAAACCATTACTTGATTGATCAGCACAATAATCTGCAGATTAACCTGTGATGAAAACAATCATCAGTCGCCGCCACAGGTTTCTGTTCAGCTATTTCCTCGTCCACTCACCAACAGGCTGCTGTTGCCAGGCAACCAATGGTGCCATTAGTTCGGGGTCACTTTGTCCAGTTTTAAGAACTGTGGCGGTTGTGTTGCTATGGTAACAGCAGGCCAAAGTGAAGACGCACAAGAGTCATCAGGAAGTGTTCCTCTGGTGTTATTATTCGTGCAGACCAACAACATGTCAGTCCGTCCTTCAACACCGCCTGACTTCCTGTCTGTGGCTCCGAGCCCATTAGTTCCTCCTGAAGATGTAAATTATAGTGAACTAATTTACTAAAACAGCTGCTCATTGTAGTTTTGAGGAAATAGTGCATTTGTTGGGGACTATTTTCAGTGGCGGATGAATCCACTTGTGGGGCTCTGGTGAGTATTTGTGGCAGCAGGACGGTGTAGCCTGTGTGTGAGTTCATGGTGATGAAGGAACATGTGACCCAGTGCAGCAATGAGGCTCACTCGTGTGTTTTAATGGAGCTCCATGGCTCTAAAGAAGGAGAGACATCAGGCTGTGACACACACAAGACTTAGATACATTCACTGCTGACAGTCTGAACATGAGACTTTGACCATTCTCCTACTGTGATGATGATCCTAACTGTACTGAAGTCTCTGTATTTACACATATTAAACTGATACAACACTTCAAAGCAACACACATGAACAAACACAAGTTTGTCTTACTATCCCCATGGGGACATCTCATTGGCATAATGTATTCCCTGACCCCTTTTACCTTTAATCCCCTAACCCCAAACCTTAACCCAACTCTACCCCTAACGCTAAAATCAAGTCTTAACCCTCAACCCTTTTGTTTTCAGTACGAAGCTGGTCGGTCCCACAATATAGCAAATCCTGGTTTTTGGACCCCACGAATACAGTCAAACAAAAAAAAACACACAGTTTACAAACAACTTTGTTTTACTCTCTAGGCTCCTGGTGACCTCCAGTGGTCATCAGTGAGCACTGCGAACAATGCCGACCAGAGCAGTGGTGGAAAGGACATTTACTCAAGCACTGTACACTGTGCAAGTACAATTTTGAGGTACTTTACCTGAATATTTCCATTTTATGCAACTTTATACACCTCATTTCAGATATTTTACAGCTTTAGTTACTTTTAATCCCCTTCCTGTCCAGTGAAAGTATCTCCAGATGTTTGTGATAAACTGAAGGATGAAGTTCCCTAATATGTGTTGAGAAAATCCTCCTCCTTCTTCGGCTAAATAAATCATTTAAGTTGGATCCACAGCATCGTCACAAAGCTGAAAACAGTACTGACCTTTTAGAGATGCATAGTTCTCACAGGACAGTCACACTACAAACATATGATGATCTTATAGACCATGATGCATTGCTGCAGATGAAGCTAACCAACAGGATATTAAGGAGACAAAATGAGCTCAAACTTTAAACATCTACAGCAGTAAAATGCAACAAACACATTAATGCAGCAGGAATATGAATCCAGAAACATCAGATACAATAGAGAAACACTGACAGGGACATTTTACTGCACTATGAGTACTTTTACTTTGATACTTTAAGTGCATTTTGCTGAAAATACTTTTACTTAAGTGCGATTTTGAATGCAGGGCTATTTTCACAGTGTGGTATCAATACTTTTAATTAACACAGAGGTTAATTATTAAGTAAACATCCCACCATGCTTTTGGTCACGTGTGTAAGGTTTGGTTTAATCTAATCATCTTTTCATATTATTATTATTATTATTATTATTAAGCAACATCACGTCTGTATAAAACACAGGAATTAATCCAAGCAGGAGTAACATGTGAAATATATTACAAAAAAACGCAATAAGATAGTACAAGAACACAAAACATACTGCGACCTGCAGTTTTTACACTTTTGTTTCTTAGACATTTAAAATGTAGTTTTACGCAATCTTCACATGTAGAATTGAATTTAACTCCAATCTCAACATTATTACGTAAATATTCTTGTGATTATTCATCAGGAATTACATTTAGAAAATATTACACAACAACAAATTAAATCTCATACCTTGAAAACTCAGTCACATGTAAAGCACGAATAAGAGAAATCATCCAGAGGAAATGTTTATCATAAAAAAAGGAGAATGAAATAAAATAAAAAAGTGGGAAACCATCAACAGATATTAGAGGCTATTAATCAATTCTGTTTGCTCCAACTGAAAGCAAAAAGAAAAATCCATTTCGGCATTAATGTGTTCATCACTGATGATGAAAGGTGAAGCTCATATAAACTTCATGTAGCCATCGTCTGGGCAGCTGCTGAACCCAGAGATCAATAAAGTCTCATCCTAATCTAAAACATCATTATCTCAATTTGAAAGTCTTTGAATAAATGTAATGCAAAATCTCTCTGCAGCAGTGTAACATAATTGTGATTGGCCCAGGTGCAAAAAGCACATTTGGTGTACACACGAGCGTACACACCATAGACAGCCTAAGTCCCTCCCCTTCCTGCGGCCCACCATGGGACCTCGGAAAAAATATGTACGGTAATCAACTGCAAGAGACAACAAATTTTTTGATCCTGTTTGAATTGTGCCCTGAATTGCACATATGATGTTTGTCAATTTAAAATATATATTTAAAACTCAAGAAAGTCGCAGTATGTGACTTTTAGGTTTGTGGTTCTCTCAATGACTGAAGCTAACGTCAAAGAATTTACATGTTGTAGAGAACGTGAACACGGGGAGAACATGCAAACTCCACACAGAAAGGTCTGGGCAACCGGGGGTTGAACCCACAACCTTCTTGCGACAGTGCTAACCACTGCACCACCGTGCCGCCCCAGCAGCCAAAGTGCCAAATCCAAATCTTAGAGCCTCGGCTCAAACCCGCTGTCTGTCACCATCAAACTGCTTTAACCAGCCAGCTAATCAACAGGCAGTAGCTGACACAGTGTGCCAATAACCACAGAACAAATTGTGATCAAGAAAAGCAGCTTATTGTGTCTGCACAGTGTGAATGAATGGATGATCTGATCACGAGGGCCCTTGTAATCAGTTGGGCCCCGGTGCTTATGCCCCTGTTTCCCTCTGAGATGAAGTGGAAGCATAAAGTAGCAGAAAATGGATGTATTCATGTAAAGTCATGTTTTGTGTATTTGCTTGTGTTTTGTGCATTTTCTTGTGTTTTGTGTATTTGCTTTTGTTCTGTGTATTTGCTTTTGTTCTGTGTATTTGCTTCTGTTTTGGGTATTTGCTTGTGTTTTGTGTATTTGCTTGTGTTTTGTGTATTTGCTTGTGTTTTGTGTATTTGCTTGTGTTTTGGGTATTTGCTTGTGTTTTGTGCATTTGCTTGTGTTTTGTGTATTTGCTTGTGTTTTGTGTATTTGCTTGTGTTTTGTGTATTTGCTTGTGTTTTGTGCATTTTCTTGTGTTTTGTGTATTTGCTTTTGTTCTGTGTATTTGCTTTTGTTCTGTGTATTTGCTTCTGTTTTGGGTATTTGCTTGTGTTTTGGGTATTTGCTTGTGTTTTGTGTATTTGCTTGTGTTTTGTGTATTTGCTTGTGTTTTGGGTATTTGCTTGTGTTTTGGGTATTTGCTTGTGTTTTGGGTATTTGCTTGTGTTTTGTGCATTTGCTTGTGTTTTGTGTATTTGCTTGTGTTTTGTGCATTTGCTTGTGTTTTGGGTATTTGCTTGTGTTTTGGGTATTTGCTTGTGTTTTGTGTATTTGCTTGTGTTTTGTGTATTTGCTTGTGTTTTGGGTATTTGCTTGTGTTTTGGGTATTTGCTTGTGTTTTGGGTATTTGCTTGTGTTTTGTGCATTTTCTTGTGTTTTGTGTATTTGCTTGTGTTTTGTGCATTTTCTTGTGTTTTGTGTATTTGCTTGTGTTTTGTGCATTTTCTTGTGTTTTGGGTATTTGCTTGTGTTTTGTGCATTTTCTTGTGTTTTGTGTATTTGCTTTTGTTCTGTGTATTTGCTTCTGTTCTGTGTATTTGCTTTTGTTCTGTGTGTTTGCTTCTGTTTTGGGTATTTTCTTATGTTTTGTGTATTTGCTTGTGTTTTGGGTATTTGCTTGTGTTTTGGGTATTTGCTTGTGTTTTGTGTATTTGCTTGTGTTTTGTGTATTTGCTTGTGTTTTGGGTATTTGCTTGTGTTTTGGGTATTTGCTTGTGTTTTGTGTATTTGCTTGTGTTTTGGGTTATTTGCTTGTGTTTTGTGTATTTGCTTGTGTTCTGTGTATTTGCTTGTGTTTTGGGTATTTGCTTCTGTTTTGGGTCTTTGCTTGTGTTTTGTGCATTTTCCTGTGTTCTGTGTATTTGCTTTTGTTCTGTGTATTTGCTTGTATTTTGGGTATTTGCTTGTGTTTTGTTCATTTTCTTGTGTTTTGTGTATTTGCTTATGTTTTGGGTATTTGCTTGTGTTTTGGGTATTTGCTTGTGTTTTGGGTATTTGCTTGTGTTTTGTGTATTTTCTTGTGTTCTGTGTATTTGCTTGTGTTTTGGGTATTTGCTTGTGTTTTGTGTTTTGTTAATTTTTTTGTGTTTTGTGTATTTGCTTATGTTCTGGGTATTTGCTTGTGTTTTGTTCATTTTCTTGGGTTTTGTGTATTTGCTTATGTTTTGGGTATTTGCTTGTGTTTTGTGTTTTGTTAATTTTTTGTGTTTGTGTATTTGATTATGTTCTGGGTATTTGCATGTGTTTTGTTCATTTTCTTGTGTTTTGTGTATTTGCTTATGTTTTGGGTATTTGCTTGTGTTTTGGGTATTTGCTTGTGTTTTGGGTATTTGCTTGTGTTTTGTGTATTTTCTTGTGTTCTGTGTATTTGCTTGTGTTTTGGGTATTTGCTTGTGTTTTGTGTTTTGTTAATTTTTTTGTGTTTTGTGTATTTGCTTATGTTCTGGGTATTTGCTTGTGTTTTGTTCATTTTCTTGGGTTTTGTGTATTTGCTTGTGTTTTGGATATTTTCTTGTGTTTTGTGTATTTGCCTGTGTTTTGTGTATTTGCTTGTGTTTTCTCACTTTACAGCCTGTTTTGTAAATACTGCGCATGTGTTGTCACACTGGTGAAGTAGTCTTATTAATTTGCTTGTGTTCAGTCTCTTTTAAATGTGTGAGCTCTCAGGGCCACCGTAATGTCGCTCGTTGTGCCTTGTGACCGACGCCTGCTTGACGAAGATCTCCACTAAATTAAAAGCTCTCTGATCTTCTGTCGGACCTCAGCTGATATTTCCCAGAAGGTCTGAGTCACTTCACGGGTGTAAACACGGACTTCTTGAGTTTCAGTGTCTGGTTTATTAAAGTGGGAGCCCTGCTCCTCCTCCCTGCTCCTCCTCCCTGCTCATCTCCACCTCAGGACTGCGCGTCACGCGGCTTTTACGTCAGCAACAGCAGCTGCAGGCGGCGGCTGCACCGACATAGCGAGGGGAGGGCGCGCGCGCGCGGGGCGGCGGTTGGAACATACACACATTCAAGGCTGCGTTTTGCTGCTCCTGCACGAGACCGTTTCTGTACCGGGTGGATTGGCGTTGATCGATCCGCCGCCGCACGCGAGAGGCGTCAATTCCTGAGCGGGAAAAGGGGAAACCATGGCAACGGATTTTAGGGTGACGCTGACTGACTGACGCGCCGACAGGTTACCTTGAGTGCAGGTAAGAGATGAGCTGTGTACCCGGAAAACCCGCTGAAAGATGCGACAGGTTTGTCAACACTACTGAACATCAGGCGTGTAACTAGTTAAATTCCTCTCAGGCTAAATAACTTGTGGTCCTACGTAGCTAAATGTATTTTTTCCTCACAGAAATCCATCTGTTACCTGATGTTTACTGTTTGACTAGTTTTTTTTATCAAGTTCATACTGAATTGATTTGATAATAAGTTACTTCTCAGTAGATATGTTTGAAATTACGTTAAAAACTGTTTTTGTCAAAACAAATACACAAAATATGGGCCTAATTTTACAAACGTGAGTAATATTTATAGTCTGTTTAGTAAACGAGTGAATAAACCTAAATCATGACTGAAATTTTTACCAAAACAACTTCAAAACAATCAATCTATCATATGCTGCGCAGGCTGCAAAAAACAGGAATATTTCCAGTTAAATATTATGTTACATCATTTTATTTAAATCCCTGACAACACACATGTTCCAAGGCTGTGTCCAAATTAAATAAAACCATTTCTTGATGTGACACCACGGTGATTAAAGGAAATATGAGTATTTGCTTTCTTGCCGAGAGTTTGGATGTTCAGATTGATACCTCGCTCGTGTCTGGACGGTGAATATGAAGCCTCAGCCGGTGTGCAGGTATTTAAACCTAAAAAGTTTAGGACTTTTTTTGATGCTGCTGCTGATGGTGCTACATGAAAAGTCAGAGGATGACCAAAGTTATTACAGTTCATTCTGAGGAAGAGGAACAGAAACGTCTGAACCACATTTCATTACGATCCATCCAACAGTTGTTGGTCGTAAACAAAAGGTGCTATTGTCTGTTGTCTTGTAGCCACAGAGCATCTCTAATCCAAAACCGCTTCTGGGAAAAAAGCTGGAAATGTTCAACAACTCCACGAGATGAGCCGAGGCTTGAAAAAGCGAAACGAAGGCAGGCCACACCCCAGACATTTCTTTCTTCCTGCTCAACCATCCATAATTAAAATTCCTCTGGACACACACACACACACACACACAGTCAGACTGCACATGCCCAGTGCATCATCAGCAAGTGTGTTTTCATAGTATTTTACTGTGTCAGACGCACAGTCAGTGGGGTGGAATACGCACGCTTCACTTGGCGATTAGCCTCACAGAAACATCCTCACACACGTCCCACTAATGCCAGATCCAACAGGCGAGCGTTTGAGATGCGTAGACACGACAGGCCTATCCAAGAAGTGTGACAACAGATCTACAGAGTTCAGTCTCATTAAATCTTTATCTCCACAAAATCAATTATGTAGCGCGCACGCACACACACACACACACACACACACACACACACACACACACACACACACACACTGACCTACTTTTTTTTCTCAGGGTTACAGAAGGAATACATAAAAGCCGAAAGTGTTTTTGTTTTATTCTACTACCGGCTACTGTCTCGACTGCAGCGCTGTCATTGTGTTCTGTGTTGTTCCTGTTTTATCTTCCAGCACTGCAGCTCCCTTGTGAAGCATGTCTTCCTCCTCCTCCTCCTCCTCCTCTTCCTCGGAGCTGCCCTACTTTTGTCCTCGCTGCGGTGACGAGTTTCGTTTCTCGTCCGTACCTGAGCTCCGGGCTCACCTGGTCAGCCGACACACCTACGAGACCCTGCTGGTGCTGTCGCAGGTAACTAACATGGGGCTGCAACTGCAAACTGTTTTATCTGTCGACTCTTTTCTTGATTAGTTGATTAGTCGGTTGGCATATAAAATGGTGAAAAATGCAGGTTACAATTTCCCAAAGCGATGTCTTAAAATGTCGTTTTGTCCGACCAACAGTAGAAAAACCCAAACATACACAGAAAAGCATCAAATTCTCACATTTGAGAAGCTGGAAACAGAGAATTCTCTTCATTTTTGTCTTGAGAAATGACTCAAAACTTTTAACCGATTATCAAAATAGTTGGAGAAACGTTTTCTGTCCATCGACAGCTGCAAAGTCATATTAAAGATTAAAATGTGGCTCATATGTAGAGCTGCAACGATCGAGTTGTGTCGATGCTATTTAGTAATCGAGTTTCTTGATGAATCATGTCAGCCCTGCTTAAGTACTTATATTTATATCTGCATAAGTGTGACCTCCACAGCCTTCAGAGTTTCAGTCTCCTTGCAAAGCTCTCCTTGTGTTCATGTGTCTAGTCTTTTACTTTATCAGGCGTGAGCGTGGGTGTTAGCAACATCATGTATGCGAAGGCCTCAAAGGCCGCACTCTGAAGTTCTGTGCACCTTTTAATAATGGTTGATAAACACTGGTCAATAAACATCATATGAGTAATATGCATCAATCGTAAACATATTCAAACATGTTAAACCAAATTCAGCACCACGCACAGACAGGCTGGCGTTAATTTAATGCTGCATTTCAGGCTCGGGTCAGAAGCTCCAGGCCTGGTGCTCTCCTCCCTCTCCCCGGTCAAGCTGTAATCCAGAGACAGAGCTCTTCTCTGGGCATGGACGCCCACAGCCTCCCCCTGCCGCTGGCCTGCCTGGATCTCGCCTCGTCGTCTGCCTCCGTCCAACTGCTCAGGGAAATGTTCGACCCTTCAGATCGGGCTCTCCCCTCTTCTGCAGGACACCAAGGGGACCCCACCACTGCTCTGGCCCTCCCCGGCCCCTTGGGGCCTTTTCCTGGGAGGAAACTGGGCGAGGTAGGGGTCCAGCTGGGCCTGGACTTTGGGCTGACAGTGGGGATCGGGCTGGAGGAGAGACTGGGGCTGGGGCTGGATCGTAAAATCGCCCGGACGTTTGCGGAGGTCGAGGAGAGGGTGAACCGCCGCGTGGGTCGACTGAAAGTGGAGCTGCAGAAGAGGGAGGCGGAGCTGGAGCAGGAGAGGCGGGACAGGGAGCGACTGAAGAGAGAGAAACAGGAAGTGGAGGAGAGGGCTGCGTACCTGTCCAGACAGGTGGGTGAAGCTGTGAGGCTGAAACACATTTGTTTGTTTTCTTACTCTGTGATTTGAACTTTGAAGGTTTTAGCTGTGTTTGTTTTTTATCTGTCAGGTCTCTGCTGCCATGGAGATGATGGAGCGATTAAACAAAGACCTGGAAGGAAAAGAGAAACAGCTGAGTGAACGACAACAGTCAGTATCTGCCAGGTTTCTTTCTGTCTGTGCATGCAGGTGTCCTCAAAACAAGTGTTCACAACTTTCTATTCGTTTCATTGCGGTTTCTGGCGCTGGACAACTTAACTGCCTCACAACTCTCTCTCTCTCTCTCTCTCTCCCGACTGTGTCTGCTCAGACAAATGGCATGCACATAACTAAGAAGAGAATCTCGTGGTCCGGTGGATTTCAGGTGTAGGAAAGGGAATCTGTGAGCAGATGTTGGCGAGGTAGAGGAGGAAGAGAGCCACATGTTTAATGATGGCTTTTGTGAAGCTTTTCGTTCACCGCGGCTCCGTCTACAGCAGAACTGTGACAACAGCTGCTGTAGAGTGACGTCAAAGTCGCATCAATTCCTATCCGAGTGTCCAGACTCAGGTTTGAATTGGATTTGGACCACATATGAAAGTGGTCCAAATCCGAACTGGAAAAGATCAGAATCCATATGACGTGGCCTGTTCACACTGTCATAAAAAGATCAGATCTGAGTCACATATGAGCAAAAAAATCGGATTTGGGTCTCGAAGTTACTGTAGTTTGGCTGCCGACTGGACCGCTCGCCGACACAATCTGCTGCAGCATCAGTGACTCACCGCTCATGGAGCTGATGAAGGCACTTTAGCTCCCGATTGCTGCAATTTTCATCAAAAATCACACTCCTTCTCTTAAGCTGCACCTTATAACTCCAGAAGTTGCCTGTGAATCATCATGTTTTTGAGTTTGAGTCTCATGACTCACTGACACCTGTTCGTACATTAATGGGTACTCTGCAACCAGGAGCTGCTAACAAATAATTGGCAGTAAACCCCCCAAAAATCCACCACTCTAGATCACACAATGAACTACACCTACCTGAAAAAGAAATTGTATAATACAAGTATCCCAATGATAATCTGGTGTAAAATATTTGACAGTGTTATTAAGCTCTCTGCAAGTGAAGTTTGGGGTCCACTCAGTCATCAGAACTACAACAGATCAGCATCCCATTGAGAAAGAAAGTCTCTTACAAATGCCTGTCAGGCAGAATTAGGGCAGTTTCCCCCGATAATAGTTACCCAAAACAGAGCACTAAACTTTCTGATGCACCTGACATCAAGACTCCCTCCAATTCAAGGCTCTTAAAACCCAAGAGCTGAACCCGGAAAAGAGTCCCTTATGCCGGCTAGTCCTGAGACTAACAAATCCTGCTACATGTTACATGCACCTTTCTCAAGCCTTTCTCATGCTTTACAAACACCAAGTATAGAAAATCAAATGATGACTCAAAGCAAAAATACTCATCTGGAACGTTGGGAGGAAGAGAGAAAAAACAACACAAACTAGATTGTTATCTGGTCCTAAAGAGAGATTGTGAAACAGCTGGATATCTTTCTGCTGTCAGAGAGGCAGCTTCTAACCAAGAACAGGCTCAGTCACCCCTGCAGCTAAACCACAGGGCTCAAGTTGTTGCTCACAGCATAGGTTGTACTTCCTTTTTTACATCCCCCAAAGCATTATGGGAGCCGTAGTCCTAGAGCACGACTATCTCCAAAAATATTATGAAGACAGAAAAATCGCAGGAGTTGCAAAATCCATTAATATGAGCATGTAGCACTATCAGTATTTTCAGAGGTGTCATCGACATGAGGGCGCATGAGTAGTATGTAGCTGCAGTACCGGAGGCTGCAGTTTCAGGACCGCAATCCTAGGACCCTTGTTTACTTTGATACTGCCAGCTAGCTAGCTAGCTAGCTAGCTAGCTGTGTACTCTTGACAGCCCCCCGAAGCCAATTACCCTTACCCTAACCATCACCGGTGTGTGCCTAAAAAGTTATTGATTATGCATGTTGACTGGTTAACCCTGTCTGCTTGCACGTGGCCGTGATGCTGTGCATTACCACCACCATTCTTCTAGATGGCGCTGTCGCAAAAAAACTTCAGTCCTAGAACTGCGGCCCCAGGATTGTGGGGGTCCTTAAACTGCAGCCTCCAGCTGCTAGATAATATTGGGGCGGATGGGGACGTTGTTGTTTGTGGTCTCAGTTGACGTGGGTCGACAGTGACTTGCTTTGTACGCCCCTAATTTGGATGAAGGTACATGATTTGTTTCCCACTGTTAGCTGAGATTCATCTTTATTGTCATAACACACGGTAAGTGTCAGTATAACGAGATGGGTTGATAAACTAGTGTACAGAGACTTATCGATTTTATTTATATAGCCCAAAATCTGGACCCTCAGACCTGCAGTTCAGGTCAAAACTAGATTGTTGTGGTGCTGCCATGAAAATAGAGCCCATACAGTTTTTGGGCGACAGCAGATAGTGGAAGGAGTTTAATTATCATGCTGGGACATGCGGCCCTAAATTGAAAAGACAAAAAAAAATGTAGAGAGAAAGAGATCTGTTTTGCAAAATGATAAAATAAACAGGGACTTTAAGTAAGAGGCATCACATCTCCAGTTTTGACTGAACAGTAAAAGTAAACAAATATATTTTATATAATATATCATGCAGCATGAACACTGATCTGAGAAACAACGTGATGCACAGACAGAGGACACACCGCGTTCAGTCTGCATCACTGGACACACACACACACACACACACACACACACACACACAGCGGTGGTTTGCCGTGATGATAAATGTAAGATGACAGTGAGGCACAGAAGCCCCGAGGGTTTGTGCGTTTGTAAGGTCAGCCACTTTGTTTGTGCTGCATGTTAAATCTGCATGTTGTTGCTTATTTCTCATGCTGTTTTTTTGTTTATGTGACATTGAAATACATAATTATCTCCATCTACTGTAAAGCTCTGACTGTTCTGTCTTCACAAATTAAATTGAGCAGCAATCCAGCAAGAATGACTGACAACTGAATTAAAAAACAAGGATTCCTTCACTGAAACATAATGGTCACATTACACGTTTATATTTTGCTTCAGAATAACCTACTAAGCACAAAGTAAAATATAGTCCTTTCTACATTTAAACAGACTTAACTTTTAGTCATTTAACAGAACTAAATCAAAGGAAATGTATTCTAATTAAATGTAATCAAATGTTTATCTAGTGTTTTATAATTTTATAAAAAATGTTGAGCAACATTAAGGGAACTACAGACTTCGTGTCACTGAACAACCTTTGTTGTAAAATGACAAATAAATCTACCTTGTAATCTTGAATATTCTCCATTTTTATAGCATTAAGTTACAACATGGCCAAACGACCACACCTGGAAAGCCTGTTTATACCGAGGAGCTGTGGTCATGTTGAGGCTGTATGTTTCTGTATCCCACTACATCGTCAGGCGCTCCTATTCTTTTGTCCTCTCCCTGCATATGAATTTGTTTGTGAAATAAAAAATCTGTTTGTTTATCATAGTTGATTTACATTCTGAAATGTGTGTGTGTTTTGCAGGGAGATGGTGGACATCGAGTGTTTTCTGAGGGAGACTGCAGAGAAAGAGGCCGAGGCCAAATCCAGGCTGCAGGTGAACGTCTTCTGTTGTTGCCTCTTTTAAGGGGACAGTTTGTTTTTCTGATTAATGAGAATCAGACAACCGGCTTTCCTTTTATTTTTTTTTATTGTGTGAGGTGTTTGAAGGTCTGTGATGTCGGTAAGATTAGCCTAGTTTATCTCAGTCAAAGGTAGTGAACACACCTTTTTACACTTCTCCTGATATTAATATAATATACTATACAAACTAGTTGTGATTTCTGAAGTTAATCACCGATAAAGATACACATGAATATATATAATTTATGTATGTATAAAACTTGCATGCCAATTCCTGTTCTTGTACGTAAAGTTGTGAGCAAGCTGTTTGATTTTTTCACCCTAAATTGTTTTGGTTCAGGCAGATGTTCAAATTAGTGGCTACAATTATTTCAGGTAGCTGCCATTTACATTTACGCTTTTATCCAAAGCAACTTAGATTTCAGGAACAACATACAAGCATCAACAGTAAATGAAAACAGTAAGGGATCTACAACTGGCAATGAACACTAGTAAGAGCTATTAACGCTTACGGCATCAGTGGGGTAAATACCTAGGGGAAGCAATAAAAGTTAACAACTAGTGCAATCAATACAAGACAATTGTAAGGGGATAGAAGAAGAGCACAGGAAGTGTTTTTTTCTACACATATTTTTCTTGTAATTTATTTACTAATAATATTTTGCCGAAGGTCCGAATGTGTTCATTTATTGCAGAGTCATGATCTTTTTCATATTTAATCAAAGAAACATTAAATTCAAGATCTCAGAGCAACACACGAACGTTGGTGGGAACCAAGGTCAGTTTGCTGTGTAGAGCAGGAAAGTCGCTGATAAGCACTTTGAGTCTGAGGAGCTTTGATTGTGTGTCCGGACACTCCTGTCCAAGAGGAGTGTGGGAATAACTTCTCTATATTGTTATATGATCTTGCATAATCTGTATGTTCATTTTAATCACAGAAAGCCTGCAGCGCTGATGAGTAGAAGCACATAAGAGAGAGGTAGCTCATCTTGACCTGTGCAGACCGGAGCGAATGTGTAGCCGGGCTTGTTAATGAGGGAGTCTCAGGGAAGAGTCTCTGTGTGATGGGGTGCCTGACCCCACAGCACTGGGAACAGGCTTGGCAGGAGTTTCACTTATGCGGTGTAGTTTCCTTGAGCCCTCGCATGGGTTGTTTTTGTTCATAACCAATCAGAGACTCACAGCGACTTCCATGTTTTGATAATGGCCCAATAAGGAGTCTCCCAACGACTACAATATAAGCTAATGTTAACCCTAACCAAGTAATCTGTTTTCAAATCGCAGTAAATCTACATGTTGAACTCTATTCAACTGTTTTACTGAAGAATTAAAATGTGTGAGGACCTGAAGACATCCGGCCCAGCTGAAGGTTTGTCTCCAACATGATAATAAGTTGGTTCAGGGTAAATAACTGTTTAATCTTGTGAGATTTGGGGTTAGATAACAGTTCAGTTTAACAGTAGAAAGTTGGTTGAAATTAGCTGCAGGGTTTTGGATGTAATGCCGTCGATGAAAAATGTCTTTCCAGCTGAGAACTTTCTGGGATGAACCTGATTTGTTGAAGGTAATTGTAAAGGCTATCTGACCGCCACATCCTTTCTAGGACACACATGAAGTACTCTGTCCTTCACTGCTGGAGAAACATTTGTTGCTGTTTTATCAAGTTCTCCGGAGCCAGTGTGTCGTATTTATTTACAGTATTTATACATCCTAAATATCAGATCACAGAGTTACACATTTGCTTTGGTATTTTGGTGCGTAACAATAAACATAGTAAGAGAAAATATTAAAAAGATAAACTGCAAGACAAGAATCATAAATATAAAATTGACCATAATATATACAGTGGGTACGGAAAGTATTCAGACCCCTTTAAATTTTTCACTCTTTGTTTCATTGCAGCCATTTTCCAAAAATCAAAAAAGTTCATTTTATTTCTCAGTAATGTACACTCAGCACCCCATCTTGACAGAAAAAAACAGAAATGTAGAAATTATTGCAAATTTATTAAAAAAGAAAAACTGAAATTTCACATGGTCATAAGTATTCAGACCCTTTGCCGTGACACTCATATTTAACTCAGGTGCTGTCTATTTCTTCTGATCATCCTTGAGATGGTTCTACACCTTCATTTGAGTCCAGCTGTGTTTGATTATACTGATTGGACTTGATTAGGAAAGCCACACACCTGTCTATATAAGACCTTACAGCTCACAGTGCATGTCAGAGCAAATGAGAATCATGAGGTCAAAGGAACTGCCTGAAGAGCTCAGAGACAGAATTGTGGCAAGGCACAGATCTGGCCAAGGTTACAAAAAAATTTCTGCTGCACTTAAGGTTCCTAAGAGCACAGTGGCCTCCATAATCCTCAAATGGAAGACGTTTGGGACGACCAGAACCCTTCCTAGAGCTGGCCGTCCGGCCAAACTGAGCTATCGGGGGAGAAGAGCCTTGGTGAGAGAGGTAAAGAAGAACCCAAAGGTCACTGTGGCTGAGCTCCAGAGATGCAGTCGGGAGATGGGAGAAAGTTGTAGTAAGTCAACCATCACTGCAGCAATCCACCAGTCGGGGCTTTATGGCAGAGTGGCCCGACGGAAGCCTCTCCTCAGTGCAAGACACATGAGTTTGCTAAAAAACACCTGACGGACTCCAAGATGGTGATAAATAAGATCCTCTGGTCTGATGAGACCAAGACAGAACTTTTTGGCCTTAATTCTAAGCGGTATGTGTGGAGAAAACCAGGCACTGCTCATCACCTGTCCAGTACAGTCTCAACAGTGAAGCATGGTGGTGGCAGCATCATGCTGTGGGGTGTTTTTCAGCTGCAGGGACAGGACGACCGGTTGCAATCGAGGGAAAGATGAATGCGGCCAAGTACAGGGATATCCTGGACGAAAACCTTTTCCAGAGTGCTCTGGACCTCAGACTGGGCCGAAGGTTTACCTTCCAACAAGACAATGACCCTAAGCACACCACTAAAATAACGAAGGAGTGGCTTCACAACAACTCCGTGGCTGTTCTTGAATGGTCCAGCCAGAGCCCTGACTTAAACCCAATTGAGCATCTCTGGAGAGACCTGAAAATGGCTGTCCACCAACATTTACCATCCAACCTGACAGAACTGGAGAGGATCTGCAAGGAGGAATGGCAGAGGATACCCAAATCCAGATGTGAAAAACTTGTTGCATCTTTCCCAAAACGACTCATGGCTGTATTAGATCAAAAGGGTGCTTCTACTAAATACTGAGCAAAGGGTCTGAATACTTATGACCATGTGATATTTCAGTTTTTCTTTTTTAATAAATTTGCAAAAATTTCTACATTTCTGTTTTTTTTCTGTCAAGATGGGGTGCTGAGTGTACATTACTGAGAAATAAAATGAACTTTTTTGATTTTTGGAAAATGGCTGCAATGAAACAAAGAGTGAAAAATTTAAAGGGGTCTGAATACTTTCCGTACCCACTGTATAAAAATGTAAACATCTTTTTGCATTAAAAACAATTGTGTTTTGATGTCAGGTGTTTATCGAGATGTTGCTGGAGCGAGCCGACTGCGCAGAGAGACAGCTGCTGCTGCTCAGCTCACACGCACATCACAAGCACAGCTACACGCGCCGCCACGACAGATACACAGACGCGTACGCCGACCCGTACGCACCTACGGACGGATACACGCCTGCACCTGGCCGAGGAGGACGCAGCCTGGACAGCAGCACTGATGACATCATTGCAGACAAGATGCAGGGAACCATCGGCAACCGGGTGAGGAAAAAAAAAAAAAAGAAACGTTGGTAATTCATAAAACTGTAGATAAAATGAAAATAAATGAAGGATAAAGTTTTAAAAAAGTAAATCAAGTATTTAGAGGTATTTTATCAGATTTACAGATGTTAATAAGGTTTTGTGAAGTGGAAAGAAATTGTACGCCTGTTGATTTAGGGTGAACTGATGAAGCTCCTTGTTCATCTATATTCCCTCTCCTGCTGCTCCTTTTATTGCGAGGCCCACCTTTTCCACACTTCTCCTCTCTGACAGACTATGAAACTAAAATAAAAACTCTATTGCAACATCGCTCAATAACCATATTGCTCGTAAGCAGAATGTGCTTGCTCATGTGCTACAAGCTCAGAAAGTTCTGTCTGTTCGTGTGCTAAAACTCGAGGAAAAGATGAAGGTCATCATCGCAGCGTGTGCCGGAACACCGGTGTGTGGGAGAAGCGGTGAGTGCTCTCTGCAGGAATGCCAAGGTGATACATCACATTCAAAGGTCTGCACTTATACTAACACTGATGTATTTCCGTGATCATCAACATGATTATCTATCAGCATATCAGTAATGTGAAAAAAGATGTTTCCCACGGTAAGAAGGCCTTATCTGGTTAGGAGCTGCTTTGTTCAGTCAGTGTGAGCTGTCTGAGTTAGTCTGCTGACTGAAACTGATAATTAAATTGGCTCCACTGATACAGACAGTATGTAGCTGTATTTTTTAAACATGCATAAGGTTGTGCACATCTATAATTATTCTTTCCTGAGTTTTTATATATTTTTTGTCTTCCTGCGTGTCAAATTCATATTTTTATTCATCTTTATATTTATATAGGTTCATGTTTATCGTTGTAACTCACTTAGTCGCCAAAACAAATTCTTAGTGTGTTTTAAAACAACTTGGTAATAGATACGTTTCTGTTTCTGATTTGTCGCACATTTGTTTTATTAAAACTGAATTGTCTGCAAGCTTGAGACTTTATATGTGGTCGTATCTCTCTCAGCTCTAATCTGAGTCTGAACACTGCTGGATATCTCAAATGAAAAAGTGGTGTTGTGAGCACATTTCTTCATTTGTGCATTTGACAGTCTCATCCTGTCGAATCCAAACCCTTACAGACACAACGATCTGCTTTTTTCACTTCACAAAACTTTATTTCCATCTGTAAGTCTTATAAAACATATTTAAATAAGAAGTTCACTGTTTCCTCCCCAGCCTACAGTGTGTTCTGTGTCTCAGCTGCAGGTGTATTTTGTATCTCTGAAATCATTTAAAAATGTTTAACATTAACGTGAAACAGATGTGTAGTTACCTTAATGATGTAGTTAATTGTCTAAAACAGGGTTTTAGGCCTCCCCCCAGATAAAGCTTGGAAAAAGGCGGCCCTCTTTTAGTTTACCTGGTCAGCTGAAGTCCTGGATGCCGAAGGGATCATGATTATGTTATAGGATCACATAAAGAGACAGAATAAAGCCCAGACAACCTCATATTACAGACTACACCAAATACATAATAAAACATTTATTAATCTCTGGGAACGTGGGAAACACAGAACAATCCCCAAAACAGATCACACCTATTTAAGCTGTTCTGTATCCCTGTCTGAAAATAAATGTTATAACTAATGTAGTTTTTTCGCTGAGCCTCCAATGAAAGTGTTTGGAGCCACCCTGGGGAGACCCGCCTCTCGCTTTGAAAACCCTCTGGTTTAAAACGTGCAAAATCACCAGTATGGTCCTTGTAACTCTGCTCACTTCTTTCCTCCTCCTTCTTTCTGTCTTCCTGCTGTTTTCATCAACCCTTTCTCCCGCTCCCATCGTCCTTGCTCTTCTTTGTTCTCCTCCAGAGGAGCTACAGTGTTTCAGGCTCCTACAGACTCGGGGACCAGCCGTACAGCCACCATCCCTACAGGTACCTGAACACATCAAACAGGTACCTGATAACTACTGTGTAGAGACGTTTGTGCCACAGTACAGTCTGAACCTCTTAGATGTCAGCAAACTGGGCCATAGAGCTTCACACGTTGCTTTTTATTGTAGATTATTCATCATTAAATTAGATTTTCTCTCTCAAAGTTTTGGAAATTAAAGAGAAACTCTGAGAGAACGTATGAGAGACACTTCTTATGACTAATAATGATAATAATTTCACTAATAACTTAATTTTAATTAATTCAGGCGTGTCCTCTCTCTGCCTCCCAGCGGACTGAGCGGTCACATGCGGACCTTGTCTCTGGGTTCAGGTGCGTGGGACTCTGAGGGGGCGCTGGTCCCGCTCCACCCCCACCACTACGCTCCAGCATGGGCTCGACGAAAGAGAGCGGGAGGAGACGGGAGGAGGGAGAGAGTGTGGTATGTTTGAAGTATAGTTTAAATGTGTATGATGTTTGATTTTGCCTTTATATACCACATTAAAACATGAATGAACATTAATATATAAGCTATATATGCTGGCTAAGTACAGCCTAGCAGAGCTGCTAGCATGGCTACAGACTCTCGTTACTTCTCAGATTATTTTAAGGATTTTTAGACAGGATCCAATGTGTTGCTAAAAAATGACATTTAGAAACAGCAAACATAAATTTGTGGAACAGAAATGTATATATTTGTTTACCACTTTAGTCATACTGCGATTTATCTCATGTTAAAACAGTACTAAATTTATCATTGGACTCCTGTAACACCGTCAGACTCACGGTGTTTAAAAAAATCGATGCAGCAGAAAGTCTCGCAGAATAATTAGGTTTTATTTCCAGCCTTGTTTCGTCATATTTAATCATATTCTTGTTACTCGTATTTTACATCATTGTCATGTTTTCTCCACATCGTCCTCCTCCTCTGTTTCCAGGGTCGGGGAGGAAGGATGTGGCAGAACGTGGAGTAAAAGAAACCGTCGTTACCACAGCACTGAGGAGGAAGAGGAGGAGGAGGAAGAAGAAGAGGAGGAGGGGGAGGAGGAGGTAGACGAGGAGGGATTCTGGAGCAGCGCTGAGATGAGGAGACTAATCTTCGCCAGGACTCACACACCTGGTTCAGGTAAACCTGAACTCTGTAACTTTTTTCTTTTGCTCGCTGAGTGTTTGTTGATGCAACACTTCCTGCTGCTGCTTCACAATAAAAGCTGTCTTCCCTCCTCCTCTCCGTATTTTCATCACTTCCTTTCCTCCTTTTCCTCCCTCCTCCTCTGCAGAAGCCCCGACCTCCCTCCACTCCTACCCCTCCCGTCGTTATGGCGACAGACATCTGGGGCCGGACACCTTGAGGCTGAGGGCGGGCCTTTTCTGCGTGTTTCCATATTTGGACTTGCGCTCCTTGCTGCGTGCGGCCGAGGTCTGCTCTGATTGGCGGTTTGTTGCTAGGCACCCGGCGGTTTGGACACGCCTCCGGCTGGAGAACGCCAGAGTGTCGGCCGAGGTAGAGGAGCCATCATCATCCTCTTCATGACTTACGTTACTAATATCATCATCTACTTTTTTAAAAGATAAATGACGAACTGATGTTCTTCTATTTTTTTTTTAAATTAAATTCTTTTTTTTTTTCCGTCATTATCAACAAAACCCACGAAGAAACCCAAAACAACGTCTTTCTTACTTGTTCAGCCGAGTGTTCAAAGTCGGATTCACAAAACTCTCATAACTGGATAAACTTGTCGCAAATCGCTCGTTTCGGCCTGACGAACTTCATGAGATATCATCGTTAGCATAATAACATTGCTGCCTGCTCGGGAAAGAGTCATTCATGTCATTCACACAAGAGTCAGTCAAGAGAAGAGTCAGTGGTCGTTTTAGAGGAACTGAAACAATTATAAAATAATGTCAGTGACATGTCATCAAAGCAGCACTTTGACAGAAATAAGAGGGAAATGTTTGATGTCAGACGCTAAAAAACATCTTTCTAAAACAAAGCTGTAAACGACTAATGTGACAAGTCTAATGGCCCCTTCGGATACAACACGACAACGGCACCACTGCGTTATCTGTAACTGCCCTCGGTTGGTTAAGCAAGATGCAGAGAGTCTCGACTGGTGCCTTTTAAGGATTTCTTTATTTCTTTCAATTTGTGATGTCCAATACTGTAAATTCTCTCAAATCTCTTGTGTGTGCCACTTAAGAAGGGATTTGTTCGTACATGAGGCCCACAGTGTTTGTCACCTCACAAATATTAAGTTTCTTTTTTTAAATGTCTCAGTTATTTCCTGAAACAGTTGGCCACCATAGCTTTTATCAATCACATGAGTAAATGGTGCATTTTGTAGGGGACTATCTTCAGTGGCAGATTAATCCACATTCGGTGTGTTTCTTTGTGTGTTTGAGTGTAGTTCCTGACCACTCTGTCTCAGTGGTGTACTCAAACTCAGACTGTGGTTCTGAACAACCTGAAGCCTCGAAGCAGACGAGCCGACGAGACTCGAGAGGATTACCACAAGAACACACGGTAACACACAAACACACGTTTGTCTTTACAATGCAGAATGTCTTGATGGTTTAAATCTGAAATTGGTCCTCACAAAGACAGTAATACACACACACACACACACACACACACACACGCACACGCACACGCACAAAGAGCTCTCAGGGATTAATACTCAGTGCAGCTTTTCTTATCTTTTATTTAAGTGAAAAACATGCACGTTGCCATGGTAACATCATCTAATCTTAGCCCAGCTGTCGTCTGATTGGTCAGAACAGAAAACGGGAACACTAAGGACGTTGACCATGAAAATGCAGCTCAGAGCATTAATGAACATCATACTGAGCTGGGACAAGAGAAGGAATGTGCCCTCTGAGTGCATTGTGGGTATTGTAGATGACCTGGGTTTGTTTTCTGTCTCAGAGGCAGCGTGGAGCCGGGGGTGGAGGCCCTGCTGCGGTCAGCAGGGGGCAGTCTGCTCCACCTGTCGGTCTCTCAGTGTCCTCACATCCTCACTGACAGGACGCTGTGGCTGGCCAGCTGCTACTGCAGGAACCTGCAGACGCTCACATACAGGTGACTCCATGTTCCTGTCTGATTGTTGACCTGGTTACCTGTTCGTTTACCTGGTTACCTGTTTGTTTGTTTACTTGTTTGTCTGTTTACCTGTCTGATTGTTTACTTGTTTGTCTGTTTACTTGTCTGATTGTTTACTTGTTTGTCTGTTTACCTGTCTGATTGTTTACTTGTTTGTCTGTTTACTTGTCTGATTGTTTACTTGTTTGTCTGTTTATCTGTCTGAGTGGTTTACCTGTCTTTATGTGTCTGTCTGTTTACCTGTCTGATTGTTTACTTGTTTGTCTGTTTATCTGTCTGAGTGGTTTACCTGTCTTTATGTGTCTGTCTGTTTACCTGTCTGATTGTTTACTTGCTTGTCTGTTTGCCTGTCTGATTGTTTACTTGTTTGTCTGTTTGCCTGTCTGATTCTTTACTTGTTTGTCTGTTTGCCTGTCTGATTCTTTACTTGTTTGTCTGTTTACCTGTCTGATTGTTTACTTGTTTGTCTGTTTACCTGTCTGATTGTTTACTTGCTTGTCTGTTTACCTGTCTTTATGTGTCTGTCTGTTTGCCTGTCTGATTCTTTACTTGTTTGTCTGTTTACCTGTCTGATTGTTTACTTGCTTGTCTGTTTACCTGTCTTTATGTGTCTGTCTGTTTACCTGTCTGATTGTTTACTTGCTTGTCTGTTTACCTGTCTGATTGTTTACTTGCTTGTCTGTTTACCTGTCTTTATGTGTCTGTCTGTTTGCCTGTCTGATTGTTTACTTGTTTGTCTGTTTACCTGTCTGATTGTTTACTTGCTTGTCTGTTTACCTGTCTTTATGTGTCTGTCTGTTTGCCTGTCTGATTGTTTACTTGTTTGTCTGTTTACTTGTCTGATTGTTTACTTGTTTGTCTGTTTACCTGTCTTTATGTGTCTGTCTGTTTGCCTGTCTGATTGTTTACCTGTCTTTATGTGTCTGTCTGTTTGCCTGTCTGATTGTTTACCTGTCTTTATGTGTCTGTCTGTTTGTCTGTCTGATTGTTTACTTGTTTGTCTGTTTACTTGTCTGATTGTTTACTTGTTTGTCTGTTTACCTGTCTTTATGTGTCTGTCTGTTTGCCTGTCTGATTGTTTACCTGTCTTTATGTGTCTGTCTGTTTGCCTGTCTGATTGTTTACCTGTCTTTATGTGTCTGTCTGTTTGTCTGTCTGATTGTTTACCTGTCTTTATGTGTCTGTCTGTTTGCCTGTCTGTGCATGCAGGAGTTCATCGGATCCTCTCGGTCAGGAGGTTCTCTGGGCCCTGGGTGCAGGCTGCAGGAACATCAGCAGCCTGCAGGTGGCGCCAGCTCACCCCTGGTCAGTACATATCTGTTTAGACACACTAAGACCCTCGTTACTTTTTACACTTTATTAATGAAAAAAAGATTAAAATAATCCGGGCCTGGAGTCTCTAGAAGTTCACCGTCTACCAGCATCAACATGTTAGTGTCCTCCTCCTCCTGTGTGATCGAGTCTGGCGTGTCCAGGAGTTAGGGATGGCGAGGAGTTTATGTGCAGAGACGCCAATATAAGGGCAGAATAGTGGCAGTCTTTAAAAGTGACTTCCAATGGCCCTGATCGGTGCACTACATTAACGGCCACAGGACACCTCTGGGATATTCCCCTCAAATGCAATGTGTCAATTAACCAACACTTCAAATCAACCAACCAAACAAACAAATGAATCACGAGGCAGCATCACAGCAAAACTAACAACTATTTGACCCTCTCATATGATAAACGTCAGCAGCCGTGTTTCTTCCCATTAGGCTCTGTTGAAGAGGACTAGCGCAATAACTTTTGAGATCGCTTAGCCACCTCTCAGCCTCTCCACAGTGCCTCCTCTCTCGTCTCTCTCTCCTTGTGCCGGGCCCCACGCCAATCTGCTGCCAAGCCTCCTTTATCCTCTATTTCTGTTATTTTGTCCACCCCATGTATATGAGTGAGGGCAGGCTAAATAACATCATCTATATATATATATATATATATATATATATATATATGTAAAATGATGAAGGAGGATTTATTACAGGACTGTTACTTTTAGCCAGCTGTCCCTAATAAACTGGACGTGGACTAAATAATAGAAACACCTCTCAGTTTGATGCAGCCCAACTCATCTATCTCTGTCGCTCGTTCCTTCTCTCTTTCAGCCAACAGCCAACTCGGTTTGGCAACCGTTGCCTGCAGACGATTGGTCGATGCTGGCCACACCTCCGCTCACTAAGTGTGGGCGGGGTCGGCTGTGGGACTCAGGGATTGGTTGCCATGGGTGAGTGACAGCAGGAAAAAACAAGTTTTGTTTTTTGGACATTTTGGTGCAACAATCTGTGTTGTAACTACACAAAAGCTTGACTGTCAATGTTGACAGTGTGTTAAGGCTTATTTTACATTTTATATTATTTATATATATATTACATGATCATAATAAGCATAGAATACACACTTGTTTTGTTGTTTTGAGGTTTAAAAAAGTACAATATTTACTTTTTTGTATTAACATTTGATAAGGGATATAACTGTTCTTAGTGCTCTTATAAATATCGAATCATTACAAACATCTCTGCTAAAAGTGTGTCTTTCAAAATGCCTTTGCAGATAACACAATGTGAAGTCCCCTGAATAGTTTGAAGCTTTATGTTGCCTGTTGATTTGGCGACACCTGTGGTTACCGTGGCAGCGGCAGGTGTGGTTTTAAACTGCATGGGTCAGCGGTTTAAGCAGCTAGTAATGAAACGTCTTAGCAGCTGGTGTATCTGTTTACAGTGCAGCCAAACAAGTTCAGTTTGTTTTATTAAAGAAGTCAGTCAGTCATTATTACAACCTGTCAGCCCCTTCCTGTGTGTGAAAGTTTGAATACAGCTTAGGAATGACGGACGACGCCACAAACAACAAGAACAACTATATAGAATATAAATACTCTTAATGGCTGTTGCTGAAAACAATGCACACCGTAAATGGTATTTTTAATTTCGTTTGATTTCATGAGAGAGAAAGATTAGTTGTAAACATATATAAAAATTATAACTTTAACGTAAAACAACAAACATTTAAACAGCTTGTGAACAGATCTATGCTGAAATGAGTTGTTTAATCAATAAATTTATAAAAAAGAACCACCAACTGCTCTCTGGTGTCAGCAATGTGATGATTTCTGTTTTACACTGTTGTAAACTGAATCTCTTTGGGGTTTGGACTGTTGGTCGGACAAAACAAGAAGTTTGAAGACGCCCCCCTTTGGACTTTAGGAAATTCTGATGGTCTCTTTTCACCTTTCTGTCACATTTTATAGACTAAATTGATAATCAATGAATCAAAAAATGAGCGACAGATCAATGAATGACAAAACAGTGGAAACACAAGGAGACACAGCAACTTTCCCAAAGTTAGAAAGAGTTGATTTGACTTTTTAGACATAGAACTGAACATGCTTTAAAAACGTTAGGGTAAGGTTAGAAAAACCTTTTGTAGGTAAAAATATAATAATGGACAGAAGTAACACATGGGGTGTGTGTGTGTGTGTGTGTGTGTGTGTGTGTGTGTGTGTTCAGTGCGTAGCTGTGCTCACCTGCAGGTGCTGGAGCTGGAGCACATCACTGACCTCGGCCTGCCGGTGGCGACGGAGCTGTGTAAAGCCGGGCTGAAGAATCTGGAAACTCTGATCCTGACCCACACGCCCGTCAGCGGTCAGGCCATCCTGCACTTCCACAGTGAGACACGCTAACTCTCCTCTCAACACAGTGTCACCGTTATTATTGTATTATGTAAATGATTAATCCAGTGTCCCCTGCGTCTCCGCAGGTATGTGCGTTAACATCAGATCTATAGTGGTCGAGTTCTCCGTGTCAGATTACTTCGAAGAGCCGGAAAGTCAAGAGGCTCAACGTCTGTTTGGAGAAATTCTCAACACGCTAAAGGTGAGAAGAAGAAAGGTGAAAGGATAAAACAAATTACACCACAGACAAGTTAAATCCCGGTTTCTGATTGGCCTTGCAGATGTTTAGTTTAAACACTGCTTTAAATCAGAGCTGAAGGTAGATTAAACTGCAGGTAACTGTAACAACAGTGCAGATGCTTCAGTTAACTGACTAGTGAAACTAACCGTACCAGTTTTTTCACACAACTAAATCACCAGTTTAAAAGTTTAGAATCGCCTGCCCAAAAGCCTGATTGGATAAAGTCAGATGGCTGAGAGGACAACTCTGTGTTTCTGAATGTAAATTAGCTGTCTGAATTGACCCTTGGCTAAGCCACGCCCCGAATACACAGCTGGCCAATCACAGCTGGTATAGGTCTCGCTCTAACTGAAGTCCGACACTTTCATGGTTGTGCTCCATTGACTCAAAAGCAAAAAAAGAGTAGTTTTCTAGCTTTTTTTGGCTGTATTTTTCTAAAATATGGTCAAACGCTGTTCCTGGCACACTTGTAATAGTTACAGTCGCTACCCAGAGTGGTTGAAAGGAGAAGTACGACTTATTGTCTTTCCAAAACCTTAAATAAATCCAGAAAAATGTCGGCTGTGGATTGTTCCTAATGTAATGTTAGTTAGCTAACGCTAGCTAACTTCCTACTGAATGTAACGTGATAAATCCCCACTGTTCTGCTTTTTAATGACGACTGCAATAATGAATAGAGGCCTACCCAGCTCTACAGGAACAGTGCTGATCCTTAATATTGTTGTATGGGATGCGGTGATTCACTTGTACTGTGTGATCAGTAGGCTTTAGCTTCTATCTTTCTTTTTTTTCACATCTGTTTGAGTCAGTTTGAGTCAGTTTGACAGCCTGAATACAACCTTCAAATGTATAATGCAACTGCAAAACTGTCTGCTTCTTTCTGAGATCGCTTTTTCCACAAAATTTGACAATATTTCTCCGGGGAGTGCAGTAATAGACAGTGGGAGTGCCGACAGTTTGTCATAACTAAGGGGGATGGGGCTTAGCGAAGGGTCAATTATACTGTTTTATTCTAATAAAAGAAGAAAAGCATCAATTAAACAGGTGGCTCCAAACTTTTGAATGGTCATGTAGCTACAGACCAAGTTCCAGATTCCCTGTGGTGTAACGGCGGCACACAGCAAAACTATTAACAAAACTACTTAAAAAACTTTTTTTTTTATAACAAAAGGGACGTCTGAACATGATTTCAGTTGGACAAGGAGGAGGTTTTAAACTTACTGGGTAACTTATGGTTTGTGTGTGTTTCCTCAGGCTCTTCGGCAGCGTCCCGGCCTGTGTGACGTCCTGCAGGTTAAAGCTGAAGGATTCTGCTGACCTCACACACACACACACACACACACACACACACTTGCTTGTACTTCTATATGTGTGAGGACCTTCGTTAACATTATGTGAAGCCGAGGGTCTATCCAACCCCCACACTTGTTGTATTGCGAGTAGTCGAGGGCCTTCTTGTGTGATGTATCTTCAATAATTGTAATTTAAGACCTTAACTGAGTGGAGGTTTATCTTCACTCACTAGGACATGCTTTATCAGTGAGATCACAATCTCGCATATATACACGATTATTCCATTTAATCAACTGCAGCTTTATTAAGGAGTAATACAATTCATAAAGCAATTAAATCCAGTTATGCTGAAGCCCATATGAAAGAGAAATAACATGATGATGAAAGTTTACTGCCTGATAAAAGGTTAAAGTAAGGAACGTCTCTCAAAATCATTACTAAAAGCATATTTAATGTTTTTTCAGGTATGTGATATACTATGTAGATGAAGTGTAAACATTAATAATATAAACACTGAATCCAACATACCATCAACGTCTTCATGTCTAGTGGTAAAACTGGTTTTATAGACTCATTACCGCCAACAGCTGCCCTGCTTGGTCATGCTGAATGGTGGGATACACGGAGCTCTGAATACCTGGTGGATCGTGAATCACTAGCAAAGGAAAGGGGGCCGCCAGCCAGAGTGAAGTAATCTCTGATTTAAAAAATCATTAGGAAAATGTCTGTTACGTGCTTGTGGACGAATTATTCTGTTGTGTACAAGTATGAAAAACAATTTAAAGGATGAACATGTATCTCGTTTTCTAATTAAATATCTTGACCTCAGCTATAGCCAGAGCAAATCGGTGGTGCAGAAGAAAAATCATATTTCTTTACTTTAAATAGTCCAAAAATAACTAAATGATGAAGACTGTATTGAAAACAGGGGACCCAGCAGCCTGTAGTGAATATCGATGCAGAGTTTAAACTGGTGTTTACGCTGCCTGGAGGCTTCTACCTTGTAAATCCAGAGTTTTCGTTTTGTTGAAACAGAATCTCAGAGCAGAAACTAACCCATCCTCAACCTGTGGAGGTGAGGAGATAAAAACAAACGCTGTGCAGAGAGAAAGTGCTGACAGGATGGACATCTAGCATCTAAAACCTGATGAAATATGAAATAAGATTTTCTTCCATAGTTTAGCAGTTTATGAGTCAGCAGCAGTTGAGCTTGTTGCAGGTTTAAACCTCCTCCATCATGTGGATCATGTTGTTGATCCTATGTAGCTGTAGATGGACCTCCCTCCCTTACGCCTTTAGGGACATAGGGACATATTTCAAGTTTCAGATTAAACAATAAAAAAGGTACTATATCCGTCAGGTTTTCACATTAAATTGGAAAATACTTTCTTGCTCGTATGTCGTCAAGACCGCAAGTGTGGGTTTTGGGACAGATGCCCTTTTCAATAAGTGATGACCTCACTCCCACAGTCTAAAAACTCAAACTGGTCCTCACAAACATAGATTTACAAGAGCACACACACACACACACACACACACACACACACACACACACACACACACACACACACAGAAACAACTGAAGTACCGTTCATACAAGACCCATCCCTGATCCACCATCTCCCATAACTTCAGATACGCAGGAGTTTATAAAAGTAATTTTGGCAAAAGTGTAGAAAATATGAACGTACTGACTTTTAAGGTGGAAGAAAACACGTCAGGTGGGTGTAAAGTTTAAAATAATTACTCCAACACAGCATATAAGAGATGGTGCAGAGTGAGGACTAACCAAAACCTTGATCCTTCCCTCACACTCCTTTAACTAAACTTTATTTATTTTAAATGTTTAACAAACCCTTTTTTGCACAGTACAAAGACAATCCTTTATCCTTTTAACAAAACCCCTTCTTACAGTAGGATAAATGTTTTCTCTATTTTTGACAAGAACCTGAACCTTAACGAATCCCACAAATCAAAGTTAACCTTAAACCCTTGTTCTAGTTTAACAGAGCTCAAGTCGTCCTCCGCTTACAATAACCTTATTATTAACAAACTCTTACTCCTACCTTAACTTTTACTTCCAGCCAACACTATTAGCAACAAGTATTTTAGGAAAAGTCCCTTAAAAAGCCATAATTCTTGTTCTTCTTCTTACCTTAATATTCAATGAGACCCTTATTCTTAACCTTTACTTTAAAAATAAGCACAAGCACACGGCGTCTGCACAAGTGTATTTGCACAAGCACAAGACACGTTTACTCAGACACCAAAGACATCAATCGGTCGATCAGATGTGTTGGAGTTGTTTGATGGAAAAGTGAATCTATCATGCGTGAACTTAAAGGTGCTACATGTGTCATTTTACCGTCAATAAATCATTTTCTCATCAGTTTTGGAGTTTTGGTTCTTCTGTGTGATTAATGAACCACTTGCTCGATCGTTTTATGTTTCACAGACTTTGTGTTTCTGATGTTGGAGGAGACACCTGCGTTCTTTAAGTTCTCGAAACCTACAGTCGACTTCTCACAGTGATTGGTCCTGTGTGGAGCTGTTAACATAGGCTGGGGTCCTACTTCTGTCACTTTTTACTCAAGAATGTCAAAATGTGCTCTGTTATCCCGATATTTAAAAGATTAATGAGTCTCTCTACTAGGGATGGGTATCGCTACTCAGTACCTTTATGGTATCGGTATCGAAAGAATCAAAACATCTGCTGTCAAACCAGTAATTCAATCGATACTTTTTGTAGCTAGATTGCGGCAAAAAATTATTATTTGTAGGGTTTTGCTTGCAGCCAAACATGCAATCAACACACTGAAAGAAAAAAAGGCAAGCCTTTTTTTTTGTTTCCTTGAACAAAATCTGGAAGTTACTTTAATAAAGGAGACCTATTATACTGCATTTCCAGTCCTATATTGTAGTTCTGTAACTCCTCTATGGCAGCTTTTCATGATTGAAAGTCTTATACTGGTCCTTCTGTCTAAAACAAGCTGTAGATGCGCCTGTCTCTTTAAGACCCCACCAAAGCCCACTGTCTTCTGATTGGCCATTGTCTAATGTGTTTACCAGGTTGCTGCAGGGATAGGGCTGCATGTTCCTTTGTGGGCGTGGCCAGCATTCTCTGCCTGGAGCGAATTACCATATATGGAAATCGGGCTCGGACATTTAAAACAGAGCGTTCAGAACAGGAGGGATTTCTTTTAAATACTTTAACCTCATTATTTGAAGCTTTGGTCATGTTTAACATGAACATCTGACATTGTAACATTATAGAAATGCCAGAAAATATGAAAAAAAGCATAATAGGTCCCCTTTCAAACTTGGGCTCTGTATGACACTGAACAATGTCCGGTGGCCGACATGAGGTGTCCATTAGTGTTGTAGTCAAGACCGCCCAAACCGAGACTAAGTCAATCTCGAGACCGAGACAAGACCGAGACTTTTAGGGGCTGAGAGCAGTCGAGACCAAGACCGAGGGAGGGCGAGGCCGAGTCAAGACCAAGACCAGTTCCCTGCATTGCATGGCACGCAATAAAATGTGGAACGAGATCATAGGTACTTCTCAAATTGATCTGAAAGATCCACATTCCCATTAAAACACCCACATACAAACACTAAGAGCTGAAATCAACCTAAGCATCGCAGGGAGGGGTGACAGCCGTTAATTAGGGTTATTGGTTGCATTTGAAGCAATTTGTTTTACTTCCAATCAAAGTTAGGATGTTAACAAATCAGACAATGCAAAAGCAATTTATTGATATTCCCAAAGTTATGGTCTTGATATAAAATCCCGAGTCCTCAATGTCCGAGACGGAGACAAGACCGAGTACAAATGCAGTCGAGACCGAGACAAGACCAAGACCATCAAAAAGTGGTCTTAAGACCAAGACCAGTCTCTTAGTGTCACTAGTGTCCATGTTTATTTTGTCTTCAGGAACTTCTGTATTATCGGGCTGATCAGGATTTCCCAGCAGCTGGTTTCAGGAAGTCCTTTAAAAAACACAAAATACATTGAATATTTCACTTTATACCACGAGGATTACTGTGCGTCTGTGTGTGGGATAAAACAGGCTGTGATAAGTTTCTGCCGGACGGTCAAGTGCAAAGGTTGTCCTGAGATGTGTGTGTGTGTGTGTGTGTGTTTGTGTGTGTACACCCTGTACCTGGGAGTGAGCAAACAAACAACCTTTAACCCCAAGGACAGAGTGAGAGAGAGCATGTAATGACAAGAGACGGCTTGTTAACAGTGTGTGTGTTTTAATGTGTGAAAGAGTGAGGCGTTAAAAGGGAGAGTGTGTGTTTGCGTTTGTTTTTTGGTGTGTGTGTGTGTGTGTTTTGCGGTCTCCATGGTTTTCCTCAGACGGACAGCGCTCCTTCGCTACCTGCTGCTGTCGGCCACGTTGGCTCTGCTCCTCTTCATCAGCTCCTTCTGGCTACGTAAGTTACCTTCGTCACTGTCAGCTGAATGTCGGCCATGTCGGCTCCACCTCTCTTCCTCTCTCAGACTCATAAGTTATTCTGTAACACAGTCTTTGGTTCATACTACTGAGTGGGAAATGTTCACATGGGCCCCCCTTAGTGGTGATTACATGCACAGCTTTTTAAATCTTTAAATTTTCGTTTTTAATTAATATGTCTTTCAGTACTTCTGTGGGTGGCAGATGGGAGTCATTGCCAGGTTTTCCAGGCAAATTTGGGAATTAAAAATTTAATAAAAACAAAAATGACAACAATAATAATAGCAGTAACCTAATAATTGCTGTGACCATGGCTGTATTTATCCATTAAGGGGGCCCTGGGGCAGAAATTAGCTGTGGCCCCCTTTTGGCCCCCTATTTGTGCAAATTTTTTTAGGATGCGCCATGCAAATTTTGATATAACCTAATAAATCCTGACCTGCCTTGAGTGCCTTGTATTACTATTATTCTTTAATGGTGTATATTCTCAAGATAATTTGCTGGTTAGTCCAACCCGTTCTCACTCCCCGACATGTCACATGGACGCATGGTCAAGACCCATTAGTGTCAGTTTGTAACGTACTGGGGATCCCTTTACCGTCATAGTTAAAGGCAGTGGGGGAAGCCCTGTAGCGTCAGTATTTGACGGTAAAGGCAGATAAATGATATTTAACAGAAAAGACTGAGTAAGGAGGTGGTTGGAGTGGATGGAGGGCCAGAACCCCGACTTTGAACCACTTAGTGTCCCGTGTGAAACAAAAAGTCAACATTTATTATTGTCATTCAGGCAAGTTACGTAAATTGATGTAAGTGACGTGTGTTAACTGATGTACGTAGTTATTTTAACCCAAACCCTGATCCTTTCCTAATCTTAAGCAAGTAGTTTTGTTGCCTAAACCTAACCAAACCGCAACGTTTCACGACTTTAATAACACGCTGTTTCAAATTAGTGATGTCTAACTGAGTCTAACTGGACGTTGCATATTTACTGTTGCTAACTTTACAGGACGTTGCATATTTGTTGTTGCTAAGCATCGCTAACTTGACCGCGGACCTTAAACGTCTAAAAATGACCCTTAAGGGCTATCCATGGCGTTAAAAAGCGACGCCAAAGGGCTTAACCAAGCGTCAATATGTGACGAGTCTGGGAGTGAGAATGTGTTGGAAAATCAAATAATGATAAACAAAATGACACATAATAAATATTAGGCCCTGGATTTGGGGCCCTGGGGTTGTTGTCTGGCTTGTAATTCAGCCTTTAGCATGACAAGTAAACAAACAAAGATTCAAATAAACTGGTTGATTATTTTTGCCAGTATTACCACCATCACTGATAATAATAAAGATTTCTACTGGTGATTGGCTTTACAGGTTTTCAATTCTCCCTTCTTTCCTTTCACTTTCTTGCATATTTCAGCAGCAGAATTACTCCGTGAAGTCACGACAAAGCAACACAACAGTCTCTGGGTTGACACACACTTTTTATTAGGGGAAGATACTTGGTTGGTTCTCCCAATTTAGACTACGAAGTTACCAAAAACTTACTCATCATAGACCATGATCATTGACTTAGCTTTTCATCTACACTATATGGACAAAAGTACTGGGACACCCACACATTACTTTCATAACAACCTGTTGTAAATCCATTAATATGGAGTTGGTCCCCCCTTTGCGAGTTTGTCTGTGGGACATTTTGCCTGTTCATCCAGAAGAGCATTTGTGAGGTCAGACACTGATGTTGGACACGAGGGCCTGGCTCGCAATCTCCGTTCTAGTTCATTCCTAAGGTGTTGGATTGGGTCGAGGTCAGGGCTCTGTGCTAGCCAGTCAAGTTCTTTCATACCAAACTGGGAAAACCATTTCTTCATGGTGCTGGCTTGAGTCATACTGAAAGAGGAAAAGGCCAAAGACAAACTGTTGGAAAAACTGTCTAAAATGTTCTGCTGTAGCATCAAAATTTCCCCAAAGAAAGACGACACCATGACAAATGTATTGGGACAGGAGTGTCCCAGTACTTTTGTCCATTTAGTGTATATGTGCTTTAAGAGAGTCTGGCTGCTAAACTTTTTAAACAAAATTCCTGCGGAGTGGGGAATGATGACCCGATACCGAATCTCACTCCAAACAAAATTGAAAAGTTGTCAACCCTGCTTACAGCCAGACAACCAAAGAGAAGATTTAATATATCCAGTATTATGATTTATTTCTGCTCCATTAACTTAAGTTAATAGATGACGCATTAAAGAAAACTCAGAAGGCATTTATACTGTCAGTAAGACTCACTGTAAAGTTGTAACAAGTTTTTTCTCTCTTCAGCTCAGGGTGGAGTCAGAGACTGTGGCAGCGCCTGGCAGCCGTGTTTGAATTTTTACCACCTAACAGTAGGACACACACACACACACATACACACACACACACATACATACATCTGTCCTTGTGATGACTCTTATTCTCCGTGGCACCATCCACACTACTGCGTTTTAGTTTTAAAACAGAGACCTTTTGCTACGTTTGCACCTCCCGTCCAGACTAAGGCGAAAACGAAGACCTAAAGCAAAGATGTTGTTGACCCCATTTTTTGTTTTAAAACTCCGGAGGGCGTTTTAGTGAAGACGGGCAAAATCGGAGGACTTTAGAAACAATGACGCAGACGCTCACGTTTGGCTCTGTGATTGGGTCTCATAAGTCATGCAAAGCAGTAACACGGTGCTACTGACAGAGTTTTAGTTTCAGTATTTTTATTAGAATATTCTCTACTGTGCAAATAACACTTACAGCCTACACTTTGTCTGTGTATGTCGCCGTATTTACTTTGTGACGACTCCCAGTCTGTTTTCCACTACCACAGCCGCTATGCTACATTCAACAGTCCTAGCTCGTTATTGGTTCATGCAAAAAAATCAGGCTGTCCTTTACCTAGTCGAATCAGAATTGTCATGTCCTACCTGTAGTCGACTGATAGTCGACTCGTGTGTTTGTGTGGCGCCGATTGCGAGCATGCGGGGTACACACGGTAGCTCCGCTTTAATCTTGAGAGGCTGCAGTCTCTATTTATTAGTCAGTGTAACTTACACTGTATATTTCCAGCCAAACTGAGTCTTGTTGACCATTTTCTCTCTGATGACCTTTAACTCACCAGTCTTGTGCAGAGTTTTTGCCGTGCTGCACAACTGCACGCACGTCGTGGTTCCTCGCAGGTCTATTTCAAGTACTATTTAAAAACGATATAATATTCTTTGTGTTGTTCATCAATGGTGATAAATGATCCGAATGTCCCACAAGGTGCGGGTATTGTAATAGGCTGTATATTAGCACTAGCAAGGACCACACAATCAACAGGTACGATTAAATGATATGTGATGACAGTTGTTCAATAGACATTCGAAAGCGTTGTCGGGAAGCTACGACAGGGAAATCCGCTGTAGCAACCGGGCATGACGGAGCCCTTTTATAACCCTATGGATTGTAGAAGGAGATCAGGATGCAGGACAGAGAAAGGGGCTGGGGGGGAGGGATGCAGGATATGAGAGCGAAAAAGAGGAGCTGGGACGTGTGTGTATTTATGGAAATGCTGGCGATGACGTGGTAGATGTGTGGTCCCGATCCTGAAACTCTGCTAAGTAGCACCACTTAACTTGTTGGGAGAAAACTGGTAGTACTGTGTAAAATCAGACACACATGATCCTTGTTTCGCTGCGAAGCGTTGACTGTGAGATTTATAGTTGAATCAAGCTCCGCCCATCGAAGCATTGAATCTTCGACTATTCGGGGTCAGCCCATTCTTTCGCCAAATCTTCTGTAACTACAGAATAGCCCATCTGCTTCATGTTTACACCGACACTGCGCATGCCCAGTGTACCTGAACAGCCACTAGATGTGTGTTTTCTGTCGTTTTAATGTAGACGGATATCAACTCTGATAAAAGGGTGTTGTGGACGGATATCGTATTCATTTTAAAACTAAAAAGGAGTCGTGTAGATGGGGCCTAACTCTTCAGTTTAACTGTAAAAGCCGCTGAAACCCTTACCTCTTACTCCAAATCAACATTTCTCTTTAAACATTCTTTATAAGCAATAATTAAAGTTAAAGTTTGGACAAAAGGAGATCCTTTTCTTTTTTTGATTAAAAAGATGTCCTCACTCTAAAATGGTGATTTCTTTACAACCGCGTCCTCCCTCCTGAGGTTTAAAACTCCTCTGTCTCTCCCTCTCTCTGTTTATTTCAATTCTGATTCAATACAGGTCAAAAACATGTTGCATCAGCAAATACATAAACAGAGTAAAGTAGATTTAAAAATATAAAATACATAAAAAGTTACAAAACACAGTACATGGGATGAAACAAGTGCTGTTCAGTATAAAAACCTTTCTCTTACTTTTTCTTTCAGCCTGAACCTCCATTGGTCCCTGGGGAGTGGGCGGGACCTAATGGAGCTTCGCCCCTCATCCAGGAGTGTCCTGGCCAATCGTTTCAGGCCTGGCGTCTGCTGCTGCATTTAAAGTCCAGCCTGGCAGGTGCTGATGACATCCTGCTGGAGCCGTACCTGCAGAGCTGGGATCAGCTCCTCAAGTACACGCAAACACAACAAAAAACTTTTGTTTAAAGGAATAGTTCAACATTTTGGGAAATACACATTTTTCAGTTAGATGAGAAGATTGTATGATTGTATGTCAGCACAGCATAAATGAAGCTATGAGACTGTCCTCACCAGAAAAACAATATAGGTTGTTTGTTCAGCACGTTATTACGACCCATATTTACTTTAAATACAGAAAGTCTGTGTAAGGAGGTCGGATGTGTCAAACACAGGACTTTAATTAGAAAAACGATATTCAAGAATTAAGTAAATGTTGAGTTACTTGAGTTTAAAATTATAATTATTGACTTCACGTTACTGACGTAAAACACTTACTTTAACCCAAACCACAATATTTTCCTAAACCTAAGCAAATAGTTTTTGTTGCCTAAGGGCCTGTGTCCACCAAAGCGTACTTTTACCAGCTGAAAACGCTAGCTGGGAGCACTAGGCTGCGCTTTGGAGGCACAGTGTTTTTTTACGAGACGCTGTGCTTGCTATGATACATAACAGGCCTACTTGTTCTGCTTGGAGAGAAGGCTGAAACGTGTAGAGCGAGGGGACAGTACGTGGGTTCATGAGATTTTGTGGATAAGTAAATACCTCAGCGAGGAGGCACATTGTTTCGTTCAAGAGCTGAGAAGGCTCGGTGTGGTGTTTGTCCCGCCCCTCCTGCACTGTGCACATTGAACGGCTGGGGAAAAAGTGACAGTGACGAGCGCAGCGTTTTTTCCCCAAAGCTGAACATTTTTCAACTCTCAGCGACTGAAACCACCCCCCCCCCCCAACCACTTAGCACGGAAAAGACAAAACATGGTGCTCCCATTGCAATGAATTGAAAAAAGGCTTCAGGAAAAAAACACTTTTATCGAACTGTGACCGTTTTCCCAACGTTAACCACGTGCTTTAGGTCACATGACTTACATAACACAGTTAACTTTCTTATGCGTTTTTTTGGAAGGCATGTACAGATGCCACCGTTAGGGGAGCTAATTTAGGAAATGCTGTTTAGGTTGAAGGACTTGTTAGGAGCTATAGCCAGCAGCTGGTTAGCTTAGCTTAGCATAAAGATTGGAAACGGCTTGCATGGCTCTGTCTGAAAGTAACAATCTCCGCTTACCAGCCCTGTAAAGCTAACTGATTGTGTAAGAACAACAATTATAGGTCACAGTATTTCTTGAGCAGTTGCGAAGCCCAACGGAGACTCCAGGTCCTGGTCTCCTGGTCTGGACCAAGAAATACTCTAGTACATAACCCATCATGAAATGGTAATATGTTGTTTTTACGCTTAAGAGCTGCTAGTTGGTGGGAAGTTTTGTTGCCTTCAGACAGAGTTAGGCTAGCTGTCACTCTATTTCCAGTCTTTATGCTAAGCTAAACTATGAACTATGAAAATAAAAGTCATATTTTCTGTAGAGATGTGTGAACATGTGTCGACAGGAAAGCGAAAGTGTAAATTCCCAACAAATTCTCACTAAAGAAAGTTCTGTCACCCAACACACTAGCGTACAGTAGCAAAATGTGCGGGCTAACATTAGTAACGGACAGTAAAGAAACAGGAACCGTACTCTTAGGACAGGAACACTGACACACGTTGATTTTATGGTTCACAGATGAATTTCTGATGAGATAAAATCTTGTTTCTTTCTTTCAGTTTCATGGAGTCTCTTGGGACGATTGTCAGTTTATTTTCTCAGAAGGTGAAGGAAAAGGTCGACCTGATACGAGAGCTGTCACTCAGACACAGTATAGAGGCTCATGGGAAACGGCCGCTACAAACCCCAGCATCATTTGGACTCAAAAACGGGGTGAGAGTTGAGCGTAACGACGTGTTGCAAACACATGACTGATGAAAAGAGGTTTCCAAAATTTCCAGCCATTTCTCTAAATTTTCCTCTAAATTTTCCTCTTTAGGCGTATCGTTCAGTTCGATCCATGATAGAGGCGGAGCTAAAAGCTGGTGTGGTCAACTTCTCCCATCGTACAGATTCGGGCTGCAGGACGCTTCTGCGTCTGCATCGATCTCTGCTGTGGTTGAAGCTGATGTTGGAGGGTTTGGCTGAAGGACCAGACGCAGACGGACGATTCAAAACACCTGGAGAGCTGTGCAGGTAACTTACTCACTGACAGGACATGCGGTGTGTTCAAGGACCAGTCACACTGTCAGACAACACAGGGGCGCCACCTCAGTTGTAACTGCTCAGTGTGTGGTGATGAATGTTAAGTTTGTTTGTTGTTAAAAAGACTTTTAGGATTAGCATCCAGGGCACATTCATGAACGGGGTTTTATTTTTTACGTAACTTGTAATCCCACAAATTTGTTAAAATAGCAAATAAAATTCTCCTTGGCATTGTAATGATACTTGATCACCACTAGGTAGTAAGCTAGTTAGCTGGACATGCTAACGTTAGCATCTTAAATTTAGAACAGAACACTGTTCAATACATTACTTAAACTTTTGCTCATGATTTTGGTTTTGACAAAAAAAAAACAACCTCCAAACTCTCTGCAAACAGAGTATCTTCCTCACTACAGCTCCATTTACACCACTACAACATGTGGACACACCTGCCGTGACTAGCTACTGTTGCTAAGCTATAATTGGACATTCACTGTTCGGAGGAAGAGGTTAATATTGAAGCTTTTTTGCATCAATTTAAAAAAAATACCTTAATTTTGCTCACACGCAAGATGGTGAACAAGGTAAACAATATGCTAAACATCCGTAATTTAGCATTGCCATCATGCAGGAATTTGTAAGATTATAGTTGGTGGACCTCGGACCCTCCCAGGTGGAAGAAAATATTGTACATTTTAAAATGAAATGCATTAATCTGGTGCACTTTGAGAGCAAAATAAAGAGGCTAGATCTATAAAGAACTATTTGCCCTTGTAAATAATTTTGTGCTCTAGTAAACAATTTGATCGTCGACACATTGTATAGATATAAATGGTGATGACGCAACACAAAATCAAAGAACAAAGTAATTGTATTTTTTTCTACTTTTGACTCATGTAACATGTTTTAATACTTCCTGTGAATATAATCAAATAATCTTATTTCCATACTGTATATACGTTGTGTTCAACACGTTATTTTGAAAATGTGTATCCTCGCGCTTCACCAAAGTTCACCAAGTCTGATGCAGATAAATAATATTGCATGTAGTGATCGGATCTCTCAGGTAGGACTCTCCTCCTGCAATACTTGTCTTTGTAAAGTGAGAAAATGACAGAATAAAGTCGCTACCACTGTCAGCTCGCTCTGCTCCATTAGGGTGCATTTACTACAATAATTTGAATGCTTGTGCACTTCAAATTTAGGTGTGGCTAGCTTGACCGTGTTCTCACAAACGAGTGAAAGTGGATACACTCAAAACTGTTCAAACCCTTAGTTAATGTTACTGTATTTACCTCAAACGATGTTGAACTGTGAGTGAGTGTGAGCTTACAACAGCAAGGTCTTTAATGTTATTATGTGAAGTGTAAAAATAGTTTTGTACCTATAAATGTATATTCAAATTTATTTCTAGAAAATGTCCTATATCATAATATGAAATTACATCATATTATATTATATTGCCCACCCATTGAAGAAACTCCACCTTTTTGTCTTCTTCCCTCAGGGATGCATACAAGGTGGCGTTGGCGCCCCACCACCCCTGGGTGCTCCGCCAGGCTGCAGAGTTTGTCTTCCTCGCTCTCCCAGACAGACAGTACTTCCTGCAGCTGGTGTGTGTAAAGAGCCAATGGGAGGCCACGCCCGTCCTGCAAGTCATCATCCACGCCCTGACGCTGGTGCACACGCAAACTCAGCAAATCCTGGCCGAACACAACATGCTGGAGCTGCCCTAACTGACGCAACTCAACACCCCGATTGTACGTACAAAAGTTCTGTGAAGACCTTCAAGTGTCGGGAAAAGACTAGAAACCACAACTCTGGGTGTCAGACCAGTATAACAGTATAACACCTCTTTAAAAAGTCCACGAGGGTGTATAAACTTTTTACAGACACTGTGGGAATAGTTTTACACTCTGGTTTGCTACAAAAAATTTATATTTATATTTTTCACAGAATGTAGTTTTATTATGGTCACATATGTTGTATAGTAACAAGCAGGGTCACTTTTTTTTTTTTTTTAACAGTGTACATGTATGTAAGCTGTATGCTGTTCATTTGGCTGCAGAAGTAAAAACATAAAAACAAGATATTTGCTGTTAATAGTTGAATAATACCTGTTGAGAAAAACATGCAGTTCAAGGCACCATATGCTGCATTCAGGACCACATGGGATTTGGAAGTTTTCTGATGTCACATTCGTCAAGATACCTAAAAATGTATAAAATCAATTGGGAAGCAATTTAGAGTTGAGTGAATTTAAACTACTCAGTTTGAGGAAACATCCCATTTCCCACTTGCCCTGAATGCAACATTGAAAACAAAAGGCTTTATGTCAGCAGTGGAATCAGAATAAACTACAACTAATAAAAACTAATGTAAGTAAGAAATTAAGTAAAAATATAAGAACTATATCAACATACAGTTTGCGTTCACTCTTCATGAAATGGCACCATGACGTTCTACACAACAAAGTTTAACAAGGACTCGCGTTTGCAAACGGGAACTGTACATGAGCTGGAAGCAGTAAATACAACACGAAGTACAACACGACTACTACTCACAAAGCTGTCAGATCAGATTACGTTTCTCTTAATGAAAACCACAGTACAGGACTGTTAATCCTGCTCACTGCTACGACCCTAGAATCATCATAACAATCACTTAAAGTTTGATCAGACTAATAATCCTTTTGCAACAGATGATTGTGGCAGACTTAAATCAGGTAACATACAACTCAGGTCCAGGTAGTCAGGGTCACTAGCTGACCCCACAAGTAGAAGGTCCTTAAACCTTCCAGCCATAGCTCTTGGCCTCTGTCTCCCTCCTTATCTGGGAGTCCCCTAATTCAACCACCATGGTAGCAGATAACGGTATTTTCTTGGAATCTTGTATGTTTGCAGACTGACTCTCTCCGTTTGGGAGTCAAAACATGAGTCCATTAGATTTCAATGTGATGTAGTTAATGCACTGGAGTCTAAACACCCAGCAGATTGGCAGTTGAAGACCACCTGGTAGGGAAAGACCGAGAGATAAATTGTGAAAAGAAGCCTTCTTCAGGTTTGATGTTGGCAACGCATGTGTCCACACGTTGTATTGCTGGCTCTGTGATCTACGGAAGAGGATTAGGGCCACATGTGAAACTTTTTGAGTTCTGAGTTCAGAATTCTGAGTTTAAAGTCACAATTCTGAGAAACAAAATGCAAACTGATTCTTTCACATGGGACTCTTACAGGTACCCAATACTTCTGACTTTAATCTCAGGATTCTGAGATTAATCTTAGAATTCTGATCTTAGAATTCTAAAATCAGAATTCTGAGAAAAAAGTCAGAATTCTAATCGTCAGAATTCTGACTTTAATCTCAAAATTCTAAGATTAAAGTCAGAATTCTGACGATTAGAATTCTGACTTTTTTCTCAGAATTCTGATTTTAGAACTCTAAGATCAGAATTCTAAGATTAATCTCAAAATTCTGACTTTAATCTCAGGCTGTGTCCGAAATACCCACTCATTCACTACCCCCATGTAGGGAGTTGAATGTAGAGTTAAAACAGTTTCGGACACTACTCCGATCATTATTTTGGCACCGTTAGTTATGTCATTGATGTCAGTGATATCGGAAACTCTAAAAAAAGAACTAAAAAAAGAATTCACTAGGCCCCAATCCTCTTCCATAGTAATCACCTCAGCAGAGTTCCTGAAACACGCTGTAAAAGTCTTACTGAGCTTCTGAGACCTTCTTCAACAACAATGGCATCTGGCGCACAATCATTTTTTACAACAATGATTAGATATGTTTTCAGATTTTGTTCATAAAATGTCAGTTTCATGGAACCTGAGATAATAATAAAAACTAGAGATGAGTATCGTTTTACATTTTAGATATCAAAACACTGTTTTTTGGTACGTATACCAAATCATTATTTGTTAAATAAAACCAATGACTTGTGAAAGCAATTTTTGAAAAGTAGGGCCGGATTTCGTTTTCCAATACTGTCACTGAACAATTATTCAAAATGTTATCGAAATCACAATATGGTGAAACTAAAACATGTAGTTCTGAAAAAAAACATGTTAGATGGAGGTAATCTAGAACTTCTGGTGAATTTTCTGTTTCCGTTTAGCAAACTCCAAATCATAGGAGCTACAATTTTTTGATAATGGTAAAACTTGTCGCAGTATACGATTATAAATGAAGCATTGTGGTGCTACAGAGATGGGCCGACCTACAAAACACATCCTCCAGATGTAAGGCAGGATGCTTGTTTGGATCGGACACTGTGTCAATTTTTTTCAGTGACAATGAAATCTTTAGAAAAAAATATGTTGTTCCGTTTCTCTTCAGACAGAACAGGCTAATAAAATGTCTTTTAGGAGGTGGATGCGTTCAGGAAAGGGTTTTCCTCCCCCTGGTGGCTCTTCATGTGTGTTTTCAGACAGTGGCTCTGAGTGAAGGCTTTGTCGCAGACGGTGCACTGATACGGTCTCTCTCCATTGTGGGTTCTCATGTGGACCGTCAGGTGTTCTTGGCGAGAGCACGCTTTCCCACAAACCCCACAGACAAACAGTTTGATGCCCAGGTGGGTCCTCACATGGTTGGTCAGGTGAGTCTTGCGTTTAAAAAAGCGGCCGCACTCCGAGCAGCCGTACGGTGCCTCACCGGTGTGCACGCGCGTGTGCGCCTTCAGCTCACCGTTGGATATGAAGCCTTTGCTACATATGCTGCAGAGGAACGGCCTGTCGTTGCTGTGCGTTCTCATGTGAGTTGTTAAGCCGCAGTTTGAAAAGAACGTCTTGCAGCAGATGTGGCAGAGGTACGGCCGGTCTCTCGAGGTGTGGATCTTCTCGTGCGACTTCAACGTTCCGGGAAGTTTGAAACGCTTCCCACAAACCTCACAGCCGTAACGTCTCTCCCCCGAGTGAGTCGTCTTGTGGCGGGTTAAAGATCGCAAGTCATAGAAAGATTTACCACAAACATTGCAGTGGTACTTGTCTCTACCTGCGTGCATCTTGCTGTGAGCTCTGAGCTGCGCCTTTAGACCAAACGCCTTCGGGCAAATATCACACTTGTGTGGTTTATCAGCCACGTGGACCCAACGGTGAACACTCAAGGTGGAAATCTGAGCAAAGGTTTTGTTGCAAACGTCACATTTAAACGGTCTGTCTCCTGTGTGTAGAGTGGTGTGGGAGTTGAGGCCGGTGATTGTGAGGAAAGACTTTGCACAAAATGAACAGTCGTGAGTTTTTTGATACTTTCTAAGATGTCCCTTTAACTCTTCCACAGATTCAAACTTCTCTCCACACACTCCACAAACAAGCTGTGGATCCTCAACGTGACTCCAGGCGTGTTTGATCAAACTGCCCAGTATCCTGTACCAAACTCCACAGACTTTACAGGGCGTTTTACTGCTCCCAATCAACTGCCCCTTCACACCAGACAATTTGGACTCTTGCTTCCTCCTCTTCTTTGGCGACTGCACCTCAGGATCTGGTTTCCAGTCTTCGTCTCCGTCAAACGCCTCATCTCCTTCTTTGTCACCGTCATTGTTGGAGTCCACTTGGCTCTCAGCAGCATCATCATCAGCTTCCCCTGTTTCCATGGCCTGTTGTTGGGATGTTGAGCTGCTAGACAGAAAATCCACTTTGTTACTTTACAAATGTTGAACACGGCAGCTGTGAAGCACAAATTTTAAACATTGCTTGCACATGCATTTGTAATGTTTTGAGTCCTCACATTATGGAATTAGAAATTATGACAACACTTAAAATTTAACAATCTTTCAGTCGTACAGGTTATCCAAGGAGGGTTAAAATCAAGGGCAACTGGACTTGGTTGAAGATACTTCAAGACCAGGATCTCCGATTGTGGCCAACATAGATAGAAGAAGTAGAAAGCTCCTTTTGAGGAACAGCACCGAGCCACTGGTATAACTTTGTGGACTACACATGGGACCCAAGAAGTGCAGACCTTCACAGAACACATGAACTCTGTGGACAGTGACACCAAATTCACAGAAGAGGATGTCAGCGACATCAGTTTGGCCATGTTGGACCGTGCCCTACGCATTGACGACAACAGGAGCCTCCACATTGGAGTATACCGGAAACCAACACACAGACCAATAATTACTCTTTGACTGTCACCGAAGTTATCAGGACCCTGCACAACTAAGCTGATAATATACTAACAAGTAACCGAGCCCAAGAGAAGAGAACACCTGAAGGATAGACTTCACACAAGGGGGGTAGGTTTGTGTGTTATCCCCCCACCTACAATGCTATCCTTTTATCCCCGACGTTTGAACAAGCACTCACATTTGGCCTTGTGACAATGCCAAGGGACTGTCACTCAGACTTGGAATAAATCCACACTACTACATTTTACACAACAGTTTTAAAACAGCTCTTGATTTTAGCCCTCCTTGACAACACTTCCCTGTTTGGAGCCGCACATATATATAAAATCAGCGTATATGTCCGCCAATAAATCACAAGGACCTGAAGTACAGATCAACTGTAAAATATCACACAAAGTTTATATGTTATGGGTTGAAGAAAATAAATATCTGCTGTTCTACTGGTAAATTATTTTTAAATTACCTTGAGCTGAGCTTGGCTTCATCAGTTTTTATCACTTCAGCGGCCGTGGACGGAGAATCGGTGGTGGTGTCGTCGCTTCTCTGTAAAAGGTGGAACTCTTCTTCCTCTTCTTCCTCCTCCTCCTCCTCTCCTGTCTGCAAGAGTTTGTTCCCAAATTATGTTTTTAATTTAAATCAAATCTGATGCTAGTTTAATTTACTTAACTATCTCATATGAAACCTTAAATAGTGTCAGAGCCTTACAGAGCAGGGACATATACAGTATCTCAGAAAAGTGAGCACACCCCTCACATTTTTCTAAATATTTAATTATATCTTTTCATGTGACAACACTGAAGAAATTACACTTTACTAGAATGTAAAGAAGTGAGTATACAGCTTGTATAACAGTGTAAATTTGCTGTCCCCTAAAAATAACACATTACATTAATGTCACATGAAAAGATACATTTGATGGGTGATGGGTGTGCTCACTTGTCTGAGATACTGTATGTAGTATAAGAAGTGGATAATTCTGCAGTATCTACCTTCAGTCGGATGTAAAGGAGCGTCTTTTCTACGCCGGTGGACTTCATGCTCCTGTAGATCTCCTCTGGTGTCAGCGTCTTCACTTTGAGCCGCTGGAGCCTCCTGCTCCTGTCGGACTTGAAGACGTGAAAACGTTTGTCGTCTCCTGCCAGCTGAGGGAAAGTGGACCTCAGCAAGTCCAGGAAGTCCGCCTCCTGTAGGCCACGAGGACACTGCAATTCCTGCACCGGACATTTCTGAAACACTGAAACAGACAAAAGATTCACCAAGATTTACAGATTACCTCTTAACAACCTCCATCCAGCGAGTCACACTGTGGCCCCCCCTGATGGACTTCAACACAGCCACAGCAACACAAACCCTCCCTCACCAGGAAACATGCCCGAATCTGTTCCCCTTGGTTTCTATCTATTTTTAGGGGCATTTGTGAGTGAAATACTCGCACTGTAGAGCCCTGTTGAGGTGGGTGTCGAGGATGCCATCATCTACCTGCTCCAGCGAGCCCACACTCACTTGGACAAGGCTGGTAACACTGAGGATCATGTTCTTTGATTCCTCCACTGCTTTTAACACAGTCTGCCTATTCTACTGCCGGAGAAGCGCCAAAAGATGCAGGCAGATACCTCCTAGGTTACTGACTACCTGATGGACAGACACCAGATTGTGCGACGGAGGGGATCTGAGCGGTGGCATTAGCTCAATCAGTGGGAATCTGGCTTGAGTCCAGCATGGACCACTGGGCCTCGCTGAGGAGCCAAAGGTGATGTAAAAGAAAATGTGATTCATGAGACCACGCCACCTTCTTCCATTGCTCCGTGGTCCAGTATTTTAGCCTTCGCTCCCCACATGCATCAGTGAGCCTTGGTCTGTAATGACCCTGTCGCCAGTTCACCGCTTTTCCTTCCGTGGACCTCTTTTGACAGGTACTGACCACTGCAGATTATTTTGGAGATGCTCTGACCCAGTTATCTAGCCATCAGAACTTGTCCCAAGTTGCTCAAATCTTTACACCTAACGCCCACTTTTCCTGCTTCTAACACATCAACTTTGAGGACACAATGTTCACTTTCTGCCTAATATATGCCACCCTCTGACACGTGCCATGGTAACGAGATAATCAGTGTCTTTCACTTCACCTGTCAGCGGTCATAAGGTTGTGTTTTATTTATTCATTTTATTTTAATTGTTAATATTTTTTTTTTATGGGGTTGATTGTTCTTATGTAGTTTGTATGATGCTTTAGCAATATTGTTGTTACACATTCATGCCAATAAAGCTAATTTGAATAATGTTATGGCTGATGGGTGTCTATGTTGTGTTTTCTTTTTTTTAAACCTCATGCGTGTTTTGTGTAAGTTGTTCTATCTATCTTCCAACATGCATTTAGTCCATTCATAAATGCATCTTTTAAATTCACCATTTTTTGAGAGGACGTCGGACTGGGAATCGTCCAGCATGCACACTTTGAGGAAGTGGTGAGTCGGTCCTTCACCCAGGCGAGGTCTGCCACGCCTCCTCTTCCCAGACGAACTGCTGGGAGATGATAACCTGAAACATGAATATTTAGTTAATACACAATATCTGATTATCCTGGATGACTTTACGTGTTATTTAAAAAAACTGATTTAAATTGGAAGTTTTACCAAGAACTTTGGCATAAAATTTTGCTGAAATAAAAAAAATTCTGAAATACAAACTGATTTGCTCAGATCTGTGAGCAAAAATATTTAGTTACCAGGAGCACGTTTGGGTTTCATCAGCCGACATGGTGGCGGAGCTGGGTGGAGAGTCTTTAGTGGCATCATCTGGCCTCTGTACAGGATGAAGGTCTTTGCCGCTGGTCTGGGGATCCTCTCCTGTCTGTAACAGGTTTGTTCCCCCCAAAAAAAGAGACCGATCTCTGCATCAAACTGCCCCACCCGTGATATTAAAACGACTAGCCAAACAGGCAATAAAAGGGGCAATGTTGCTGGTTAAAAGTGGTTAAAAAAAATAAAACATGACAGACGATGCTGTTTTTAATTCGAAGTACCTTCAGTCGGATGTAGAGGGCTGAGTGTCCTGCTCCGGTGAGCCTGATGCTCCTGTAGATCTCCTCTGGTGTCAGCGTCTTTGCTCTCAGAGACTGGAGCCTCCTGCTCCTGTCGGATGTGAAGAAGTCAAAATGTTTCTGAGCAGCTAGCTGAGGGAAGGTGGACCTCAGCAGGTCGAGGAAGTCCGCCTCCTGCAGTCCCAGAGGACACTGCAGCTCCTGCACCGGACATTTCTGAAACACTGAAACAGGGAAAAAATTATTGTGACGTTCAGTTAATCTTGAACTGAAGCCTCTGTGCAGATAAGTTATTAATTCAGTCAATAATCAATCATAACGTATAGGACTAATAATAAGTCTTTGAACTGTACCGCTTCTTGAGAGCATATCGGCTTGTGAGTGCTCCAGGATGCGGATCTTGAGATCGATGTGGTCCTGTGTGTCAATGATCCGAGGTCTGCCGAGCCTTCTCCTGTCAGACCGGCCTCTGGGGGAAAATGACCTGGAGGGTGAAGATTGTTAGCAGGTTAATAACAAAATAACTTCTTCTGACTTCATGTCTTTATGTTAAATATATACTACACGGCCAAAAGTATGTGAACACTGGAATATTACACCCACGTGTGGTTGTAGAACATTAAATATGTATTCTCCTGTTGATCAGCATTTCTCTTTTGTGTGTTTGAGGGAAGTAACTACTATAAATGTGATTATGGCACCGTTTCACCTCAACAATAAATTTATTCATTTTAGTACAGTTATAAACTCCTGGACTCTAATAGCTCCTGTGTTTCAGCAGGTTTTATGTTCATGTTCAAAACCTTCTGCACAATTCAGGCAGAAATCTCACCACAAATCCACACACACGTTCATCACCTCCGATGAAGTGCACCTCACCGTCCTAAACAGAGCAATGTTGCGCCTCAGTTTTTAGATGTTTATATTGCAAAACTCTACCAGCTCCTTTACTGTGCGAGAAAAGTGATGTTTGGCGTGACAGCGTGTGGAAAGTGTAAATTGTGCGAGTCTCTGGCTCAATATGTGAGAGTTGGCAGCTCTGCTACCGTGAGAGTTTTCAACTCTATGGGAAATATTGTCCCGTTTTAATGTTGGGGGATCCCATGGCACGATATCTTGACACACCCCTCGTAAATAGCTAATAACATCCAGCCAACAACTTGTTGACCACAGGGGTGTCCACATACTTTTGGTTTGGCAGTATGAGTGGGCTGAAGCAGGATTTGAGACCTTGATTTTATTTGATAATCTGGGTCCTTCAGATCTTCTCGTCTCTTTCTGGAGCTAGTTGCCGGTTGTGCTGACAGCTGCTGCTCTTCGTCGTCACCCTCTTCATCATCATCATCATCAAACCACATGAGGCCCAGGCTCCCAGTGTCCTCCACACCTGGACACAGATGGAGTCAAACATCTCAAGTCCCATTTTGAATTTAATACTGGGTGTATGATGGCTGAGAAACACAACTACATTATCTGCATAATATGACATACATCATGAATAGATTCATTGATTGGGCCTATAAAAATATTCACTTTCATGTTATTCTTTAAAAAAAAACAAAAAAAACGTAAATGATTAATCAACAATCAAAATGTTTTCCAATTAATTTACTGTCAATCAACTAACTGATTAATTGACTAACTGCTTTGGCAGTAAATTTCTTCATATTTATGTGCATATAATTTACAAATGTAATGTTTTTGGTATTTTTAAAAACTTAATTTGCCTATCACCATCTACAAATAAGGTGCAACGTATTACATAACTCTGGGCTCGGGTCATACCATGGTTTTTGAGTCACGGATTGGATCTTCTTTTCGGATCAGGTCCTTAGGATCAATTACGTTACACACCACTAATGTTTAACCCAAAAAACAAAATAAAACATAAATGTAAGTAAGGTAAAAAAAAAACTAAGAAAAACTATAAATTCTCAACTTCTGCTGATACACATTTTACAACTACTACTACTACGCTTTCACTTTGAATTTTAAAATCTGATATATTGGCCAAAATTATTTTTTCTTCTTTTCAGAAACACATAACAAACAAAAATGATCTTGTTATAAGACTGCAATTAGCTCACATCTGCCAATAATATCGGTTCAGCTCAATTTACCACCTGCACTTCAACCCCTTTCAGCACTTTCATTGCAAATTTATTCAGTGCTTTCACTTAAATAGAAGCTTTAACTTCTTTCACTTTCATTTGAACTTCTTTCAGCAATTATATTTCAACATCCACTCTTTCAGTATTTCAATGATTTCCAACACTTAAACTGCAAATTTTTAGCAGCGAGCAACGTCATGCAGCTCTTAATAACTTTAATTGGTTTCTTGTAAAGACCCACATACCTGACTGATGTGTGCGCCGCCGCCGCCGCTGCTCCTCCTCCTCCTCCTCTTCTTCCACCTCAGGGCCTTCAACATCTGGGTTCAGGGCTTCATGTGGTCAAGCACAAGTAAAAGAAAGTCAGTTAATATGAGTGTTTTCATAGCAGCTTTTATCAGATATGCAACACTGTTATTTCAGGATTTCTGGAAAACCAAAGGTCCCTGAAATCAAAGTCCCGCATAACGTTAGTGTAACAAAACTGACAAAAAGGCCCCATGAACCAAATGTTAAAACCGACTTCATTTACAACATTAAATATAACTTTTTGTATGCCGATTTTTAAGTGATATCGTGAAAACATGTGTACGCTTCGACTTTATGTCCTCCGCAGTCTGCACGTTTGTCAGCGGGCAAATAAACTTTAAATTAGCAGTTTTTTAAACAAAGTTCCGCATCTTAAAAGAACAAAGCGTGCCATTTATTACTGCGTTAACTCAGCCACTTACCTCTTTTCTCTAGTTTGACCCGAGGCTGCAGGAGAACCTCCAGCTGCCTCCTCTGCCGGTCGATCTCCCGTCTGAAGCCCGAAGCCTCCTCCTCGTACCCGGCTACGGTTCTCTCTACCACCGCTAAGATTTCCTGCGCGGCTGTTGTCAGTTTCTCGGTGACGATTCCTCTCAGGATCTCCGTCTTGGACATGTTATTGAGGCTGTCGAGGTTCTCCGAGCTGCCGCTGTTCCCGTTCATCCAGTAAAGCATCTTTAATTTGTTCTCGCAGCTCTAATTTTACGTACGAGTACCTGTGCACATTTGCACGAACGTTGTTGTTCCGGGTTTGGGTGCCTCAGCAAATGTTGTCCGACGACACACACAAACATAAAGCGGAAATAGCAGAAACAGATCACAATTTATGGCCCAATCCAAATGTCCCCCCTAAGCCCTAAACCCTGAACCCTTACAGACTTTACTGACGTCACTTGCAAAGTGATTGAGTCCAAGAGGCTGCAAGGGCTCAAAATGCTGTAAACAGGAACGGGACAGCACTTTGCCACTTTATCACGTTACCTTGACGACGCTGAAACACGTTGCACACTTTTTATTTTATGTTTTTGCCTGATTTTTTTAAGTCCTGCAGGCTCTCGCCCTACAGAGTGGAGGAGAGGTAAATATCAATCTACATTTGTCAATAATCAATGCATTATTGTTGGTCAAAACAGCACCATTAATCAAAACTAAAATAAATGGTTGAGTAAATTAAGTGTGCAATAAGGTGATTGTATTCTTCTGACTTCATGTGTCATCTTAAATCTATGTTAAGAAAAATTCTAATAATTTTAGCATCAGCGTTGGTTTCCATGCTTGTTTGTTTACCGTTCTTCTTCTTCTCCTATAAGGCGGATTTGCTGTGATGTTTTTCTCGCTTCCCTTTTATAAATCATCCAAGATCAAATGTGGACCCTCATGTGCATCAGGCTCCACAATGGACTGTGATGGGGCTTTAAAGTCAAGATGCTTTGCTCCAAAGAGCTAAAAACACATCGGAGCACGACAGTGTTGGTTGGCATTTGCAACTTGCTGGTAACTAGTTATTTATTATACTAACGCTTATGATATCCCATTAAAATGACCACCTGTTTGAATGTAAACAGGGACATGACTTCATGTAAAGTCCAGTGTTTCCTGTTTTCACAGTTCAGTGTGGCCGCCAGAGTTTAATCTGTTTCCTAATGAAGCGAAAACATTCTCAAACTTCTCATTATAACATACAATGTCATTGTTTTCCGCCATTGATTTGGGAAAGTATCTGTCAAACAACCTAAATTGAAAGTGCCATATGTCTTTGTTATTTAGTATATATAAATAAGATATTAAATCAATATAAATAAGTTATTTAAGGACTTTTAAAAAGTTACTAAGTAACTTTTACTTTTACTTGAGTAGATTTTTATACCGGTAGTTTTACTTGTACTGAAGTAAAAGCTCATCAAAGTAATCATACTTTTACTTAAGTAGAATATTTTCCTCCACAGTAACTAAAGCCTTTTGTATTTGTTTTAAAATAAACTCTGTATTTCTACCTCGTTTCCAAATAGCCCCATCATCTGCAAATACAGACTGCCCAATCCCTCTCTCCAATATTACTAAATATATCGTTTATCATTATATTAAAAAAGACTGGACTTATGACACTTCCTTGAGGGGTACCATTTTCTATTTTAACACATTTTGATCTACATCCACTCACTTGCACTTGAATTGTTCTATTCATTAAGAAATCTTTAATCCAATTAAACAATCTACCTCTAATTCCTAGATCATAAATTTTAATCATCAGTCCTTCCTTCCACAAGCAGTCATAAGCTTTCTCAATATCTAAAAATACAATTACCACTACTTCTTTATTATTAAATGCCTTCTTGATATCTTGATCTAAAACTAACTCCATTGTTGATCTTCTGTCTCTACAACCATTTTGAAATTCAGTGAAGTGAACTTGTTTTCATTCTTTCCATGATTTTGCACTGATGTTAATGCAATAGGCCGATACGAGCTGTTAGACAGAAAATCAGTCAACGAGTGTTTTGTCATCAAACACATCAGTAGATCAATTAGTTCCACCTGTTGAAATTTTGTTGATTTTGTTAAAGCAATAAAAGAGCAGCCATGTGGATTAAACAAGTTTGCCCATTTATACTCCTGCGTAGGGTCTACGTGGCTCCGCTCTTGTTAAAGTAAAATCTGTCTGGCACAATATGGTATCCTCATACTCATAACAGGCTGCCGGGTAGGAAAGGTTTAAAAAAAAAAAAGAAAACAAAAAGAAAGGATTAGCACATGCAGGTAGCAGGGATTGCCTGAGCTACAGAGAGCTGAGGGGAGTAAAAAATGTTTTGCAGTGAAAAAGTAGCTGCCTGCTCTCATCCAGCCAATCCGCAGTCCCTCCTTACCGGCCTGCTGCTCCTCCTCTCAAGGAGTAGATTTTAATGATCATCATCACTGTAAAAACTTACTTGGATCTAAAAAATTAGGCAACAATTTCCAACCACTTTTTGTTAGTTTTTTTTAAGTTGGGAAAACTCAGTAGGCTACTAAACATTTTAGTGTAGTAAAATATTAAGTAGAGTCTACAAAAAAAGTGCCAAAAAATTTAGTTCAACCATTGTCATGATGGACAGTGTTATAACCACAAACTTAATTAAAATAAGTTATATTTAAAAGAAAAATTTGAATCAATTCATGTACTTATTTTCATTAAATGTTTTCTTTTTTTCTGTTATAAAAGTGCAATTTACTTCAAAAAATTTGTTAGCATTGGCATAAATTTAAGAAAGAAAAGAGAGGTATTGGTTTCCAACATTTATTAAACAGCCATTAATTGACACAATCTTCTGACTTACGTGTAGTAGAACCTTCACAGTACAGCACCTTTTCTTTGTATACACAGTAATTTTGGAGGGACAAATTCTACTGTTTGCTGCCTCATGCATCATTTTCCTCATTGAATGTCCGAAACCCCTTTTTTCTCACCAGGCACAGCTCCAGTTTTGGTCTTCCGTCAGATTTAATCTTAAATTGCTGCTGTAGTGGTAGTTTAGTAAAAGTATTTATTATAACTAAAAACTCCAAATCAGCTAAAGTTGCTAACAGCTCCCGTTAATTCATCTGAATGACATTGGTCGCATGCTGTGATTAGAGGGCAGCCTGGCTTCCCTTGGCCTCTGGGAGAAAACACCACTAAAAAATATAAGCTTTTTCTTCAGATTAAGATAATGATTCAACATCACATCTTCTTTCGAGACCAAAAAACTGCAAATGTGTGTTCAAATCCACACACAACACAGAGCAATTTCAATAAATAACATAATACAAATTAACCAACCTACTGTAACAACCTAAATAATAATAATATTTTATGTACAGATATTTAACATAATAAATCCACTAATATTTACATTGTATAAAGTAACATTAGTGTGTGGCTTTTTCAGACACTCTTCAGATCACCAAATGAATGCTGGTGGATATTAGTGCTGGTGGAAAACTAGGTCATCTAGGTTCTTGACAAACCCATGTTATTTCAAAGTGGGAAAGACCAGTAAAGAACAAATTCACCAATTAAAAATAGCTTATATAAAACATTTATAGGCTATTGAATGAAAAGCCCAGATGTCCCCTTTTCCCACCAGCAATTAAACACAGCATGTATTTATCGATCTGTGTGGAGCTGCATTCCTCTCACAAATGTAACACCATCCATATCTGTCCAGCATTTACAGATAACAAAAAAGTAAATACAAAATAATGTCAAATGTTTTCCTATATTTGCTCAATTTAAAAATCTGTACATAAAATAAAAATGGGAGAATACACAAAGGTCATTGAGCAGGCAGTAATGGTCATAAATCTACTGGGAATGGAAAATAAAAAAAGTTTTGCATAGGGCTCTACTTGTTTGTTTTCCTTGTATCTGCTTCCCCTTGGACAAATTATCCATAAACATGGCATTTCTTTTCATATTTATGCTAATGACACACAAATATACTTGCCCGTCAGATCCACAGATCACTTAACAACTGCCTTTGTGAAGTTAAAAAATGGATGTCAAATAATTTCCTCCAGCTGAACTCAGACAAAACAGAAATCCTGGTCATTGGGTCCCAGCAGATGGCAAATCAAATACTGCCATCTGCTGGTTCCCTAGTAAATCACATTAAGCCTGTGGCAAAGAACCTTGGTGTTTGGTTTGATAGTAATTTAAATTTCGAGCAGCACACCACAAAGCTTGTTCAATCATGTTTTTATCAACTTAGAAATATAGCAAAAATTCGATCTATGTTAACTTTTAAGGACACTGAGACCATTTTACACGCCTTCATCTCATCACACCTGGATTATTGCAACAGCCTTTTCACCTGTTTAACCCAAAAATCTACTGATCGACTCCAGACTGTCCAGAACTCAGCTGCCAGGCTTTTAACCAGAACAAAGAAATATGACCACATTACTCCTATTTTAGCTTCATTACACTGGCTCCCAGTATGTTTTAGAATTGACTTTAAAATTTTATTGATCACTTTTAAAGCTCTTCATGGCCTCTCACCTTGTTATATTTCTGACCTTTTAGTCCCATATACACCAGCACGTACCTTGAGATCCTCGGGCAGAGGTCTGCTGTCTGTTCCAGAGTCTGGACTGAAAACTAAAGGGGACAGAGCGTTTGCTGTCAGGGCCCCGAGGCTCTGGAACAGCCTGCCCGAGGAAATCAGGTCGGCTGAGTCACAGAACTCTTTTAAATCCCTTCTTAAAACATACTTTTACAGGAGAGCTTTTCCCGATCTTATTTGACTTTATTTTATCCCTTTTATTTTATTGTATTTTACTAATTTTATATTTATCTTAAACGTGTATTTTAGTCTTTTCAATGTTTTCATGCTTTTATCTTGTATTGTTTTTGTATTATTGTCTTTTGGGTATTATTCTTTACACTTGTTAAAGCACTTTGTAACTTGTTTTTGAAAAGTGCTCTACAAATAAAGATCAATTATATTTATTTCCATTCAAAAGGGTCCACCCACTGTGAGTCTCCCACTAAATAGACATTCTTTCATGTGGAGTTCTTCTCTAAGCCACAGGCTGCTCCCGCTAACTGGGCTGTCTGTGTGAAGCGTGTGGAGGTAAAGCAGGACCCGCCATCCTGCACACTAGCAAGAATTTGGTCTGTGGTCCTCCCCCTGAACAATTGGCTTTAAACACTTAATTTCCTGCATTCTGGTGAATTTTTCTGCACCAATTCAATGAGGAAACACACAATTTCAGTGACAGGTGACAATTTAAAATGAAACATAATGCTGTAAGGCTCTATGGCATTCTGTGTAATAGTGCTTTTATATTAAATATGAAAATAAACTATAAAAACGACAGACACACGTTACTCATACTTCATCAGTGAGCAGGCCACTTCTACTGAAACAGTCTTTACATAAAGACAAGAAAGAAGATGATTACAGAGTTCATAGTTTTTTTTATTTAGGAAAGATGACTGTTTCGCATCACTGCAATGTATCCAAAAACTGCCCTGATTCAGTTTCACATGTTGAACAAGGCTCATCTGACAGCAGTCCAACACAAACACAGTCAAAGTAAACTCTATTGTCTCATAACATAATATTGCTTAATATTGCTTAATGCTATAAAAGTAAAACATTGTGAGACAGCAGCATTTACATGGTAAGAATAAAATAATAAAAACACTGGTTGGACTTTCATGAAGGCGTTTGCTGACTAAAGTACAGCCAACATTAATCTGATATATATTAAAGAATAATTAACGGCTCTAGTTGTTGAAGTCCAGGTACAACAGTGTATTAGGGCCAAAAAAAGGCCCTAATAAAATTAATTATCGAGCTCCATAATTCACTTTTGTAAGTTTGTAATACAGTTTGTAATACAGTCCATCCAACTGTTTAAGTATGACTTGCATCTCACTGTCGAGAAATAGTTTGTACTACTGACGCATTCCATGTTTGACAGCTTCATACTTTCTGTAACAGCAGGCAAATAATTAAACACTCATGACACTGATGACACAAAGATGGGTGTGTGTGTGCAAACACACAAATACACACATCACCTCTCCATCAAATGTTGTGTGTGTTTTGGCCAGTACAACAAATGTTAAATAAACAATAGTGGAAAGTAGAAGTTCGAGTTAGTTCTATTGAGGAGCAGCAGTTGATCCATTTTGTTGGCCAGAGAGCGGACATTTGCCATGTGGATTGAAGGGGGCGCAGTGCGAAATCCCCGCTGCCTCAGTTTAACCAGTGTGCCTGCATGCTTTCCCCTTCATCGTCTCCGGAGGATCCCTAACAGAGCTGCCGCTCCTCCAACTAATAAGTCCGGGAAAGTTCCAGGTTCGATCTGGAGCAGTGGACTAGTGTGAGCAATTGAAAGTCCGATGTTTAAGAGCTCTTCTCTGGTAAAAGTTACGGGACAACTACCAATCAACTACTCAACTGAGTATTTCAGCGAGGAGCTGATGTTGAAGACCAGGAAAAGGATAATCCACTAGAGAAATACATGGATCCTCATCGTTCATAGTTCCGATGAGAAAAGATGCTGGACAGGTAGACTGAGAGCCCATGTCACACAGGCAGCAGTGAAGGCGCACCAGGGAATATATTAAAGGTCAACTGCAGATTGGCCTTAAAATTAGTTTGGGTATTCCTTCCATTATTTTGAGTTGGAAGACACTGAAGTGCAATGTGTTTTGTAAAAAAAAAAAAATAAATAATAAAATAATTTGAAGGGAAGATGGCAGAAATGTTTTGTTCATGTGTATTTTATGGGGTTGGGTCTTATTATTGTGATATTCTTAATATGCAGTTCTGCACTTCACTGTAAAGACTGACTACATAGTAACAGAAAACATTCATGTGTACACTGCACCTGAACAACCGATAAGAACTACAGAGCAGTACTCTTTGCACAGGAATGTGGAAAATATTGACTTGTTTTACAAACACTTCCCACAGATGCTCGATTGAGATCTCTGAGATGCATGAACCTTCGGTCTGCAGCTACGTAGCCTCATACACAACAAACTGCGATGCACTTTGTTTTCTGAAACCTTTCTATCAGAACCAGCCTTAACTTTTTCAGCAATTTCACCTACAGTAGCTCATCTGTGGGATCGGACAACATGGGCCGGCCTTCGCTCCTCATTGTTGTAACTCACCTCACAGCCTCAGTGAACTCCAGCTTGTTGGTCGCAGACCTGAAATCATTCCAGTCAGTACAGTCCAAGCATGCTTAAATATCTGCCATAGATTCACTGTTCCACTGCTTTTATATCCTCACAACAGGTTTATAGTCCTTTCATTTCTGTCTGTATGTGGGAATCAGGTGGACCATGACGTGGTCAGAATCCCAGTGCAGTGCACAGTGCGATAGGCATTGTTGATTGTTGTGTCCTCTCTGGTTGTTTGGTGAGTTCATGGCTGAGATTTCCTCTGTTATCGTCACAGAGGTCAATAACTAAGGAGTCCGAGGATGTTGCTGTCACTCACAAAGTTGAACTGACACTTGGAGCTACATGGTTTTGATAGAACAGTGAAGATATGTTATTTGTTGATCATATGTTTTGTATGTAAAATATATTTGACAGCCCTGCGATGGATTGGCGACCTGTCGAGGGTGTACGCCGCCTTTCACCTGATGTCAGCTGGGATTGGATCCAGCCCCCGCGACCCTGTACGCAGGATAAGCGTTTGATGATACATGGATGGATGGAAGCTAGGGGAAAAATAAGAAGAAAATGTGACAGGATACCGAATAACGTGACACCACTGAACTCCTTTGTAGCTCTGTTTGTTGCAGCGCGCAGCATGTAATCTTATAATCTAAAGTTCAAATTTTTATTTTGGGAGGTTGAAAGGTGTCTAATTGCTGCCACAGACATATCTGAACTACATGTTCGAAGTGGGACAGTGTTCGAAAAATTTCTAAGGTCTGACAGAGACTCTTTCCTAGAGTTAGAAAACATTATGGCAGGCGGTTGTGTTCACACACAGCATTTTAATACAAAAGTGATGGATGCTCAGCCAACACACTCACCATAACAGTTAATATAATATGTAGTATAACCCAATTGGAATTCACATCACAGGTAATTTTATCAATAACAGGCATGTCAAATATGTCATTTGATAGTTTTAGTTCCACTTAAAAATGATCTTGCATGTTTCATTACTGATCATAATTCACAGCTCCTGTGGTTATAAACATTATACAAACAAAACTTTAAGTTGGACACGGTGAACTTGGTGCCGGTAAATGTGTATTTTGGTTGTGTGTTTTGTCACAGGGCATGTCTTTAGTTCCTGGTTTTGAGAGGTGACAAGATAATTAATTGCGCCCTCAGTTCCTGGTAAGAAGTGTCATTAACTGTATATAAGAGCTGGTGTTTCTCTGGTTCAGGACGACTGAAGCTACAGACGCTGAGAAGGAAGAAGAGAAGATCGTTCTGCAGCAGGTTTGCTCACAAACTGTCATTATACATTGACCTAGAGAAGTGTTACTAACATGTCCCTGTCTGTCTTTATTAAAGGTAATCATCATCTTCAACATCTGCATCATCTCCACCATGAAGACGCTGACTCTGTCTGCACTTCTTTGTGCCATGATGGCTCTGACCAGAGCTGCTGGTGAGTATTACTCCATATGTGAGTGAGTGTGAACGAGAGACAGCTTATGTTCATGTGTCTATACACAGCAACAAGGGTAGATGAAGACATGAACTCACTAGTGGGTCAAAATGTCCTTCCAGCTCTTCCAGATGCAGAGGCTGGAAATCGGACTGACTTGTTCACTCCAACAGGTCAGTGGTACTTTATCAGAACTACACAAATATGTGTGTGTGTATATATATATATATATCTGTATAATTCTGAAAATCTTTTTATCCTCCTGTAAACAAACAGAACGACTGCATCTACTGCTGTAGACTCATTATCCACTCTTGTCTGTTTGACTTCAGGAGGGAGTCATGTTGTCAAGAGGGCCACATCTTGTCCCAGTGGCTGGATTCCTTTCAACGGTCGATGTTACCTCTATGTTGCGCAAATCATGATCTGGGCTTTGGCTGAGGTAATTATTCAGTGAAGCTTCTACACTATGTCTATTCTGCTCACTAGTTTCAACTCTAAATCACAACTTTCTGCACTTCTTTCTCCGCTGTAGAGAAACTGTCACTCTCTGGGTGGAAACCTCGCATCTGTACAAAACTCCAAGGAGTTTGGTGTGATTCACATCATGTCGACATCGAGCATCACTCAAAATCAAGTTGTAGCGTGGATTGGAGGGTCTGATGCACAACAGGTTTCTTATCCATCATTACATAATGTGCAACAGTTATTTGATTAAATAATTATTGTCTTTTATATGTACAAACTTCTCTTTTGTATTCAAGGAGTCACTGTGGTTCTGGAGTGACGGAACGCCTTTCCACTTTACTCAGTGGTGTAATGGACAGCCTGATAACGCTGGTGGTCGTCAGAACTGTCTTGGTTTTACTTTTAGAGGTACATGAGATAAAATGATTTTCCATGAGAGCTCATTGTGTGATTGGTGCAAATAGTACTGTATGAATATCAAAGAAAAGGCTGGTGAATTACAATTGGAAAATCTTTGGCTTCATGAAGTCACTCTAAGTTACAAATACATGGCATAATATCATAGACTACAGAAAACACTATTGATTTTGTTTTTGATTAGTAACCTTATAATGCAGCTATAAAAACTGTGGTGTTGTGATGACAACAGAGTGATGATGTTCAAACGGACAATATATCCCAGGATGAATGATCTGTCTACATAATGATGTTCAACAGTTTCAGGTTTGCTGTCTGACTGCTGTGTTTTTTGGACTTTACAGATCAGAGATGCTGGGATGACTTTGCTTGTGATGCGCAGCTCCCATCTATCTGTGTCAGAGAGGACAGATAAAAACATGAAGAACCTCGTCTCTCTTTGAGCCACCAGTCTCATATTTAACCTGAAGGCTCTAAATCTCATTTCACATCTTTATTTCTTCTCTATCGCTGTAACACTACTTAAGGAACGAAGCGACAAGTGACATAAACAGCAGCTAGATTGTCTCTTTAATACGAGCAGACTGAATGTGTAATGAAAAGAAAGCTTTTAGCACAACTTTATTCTGCAGAGTGAACTGTTTTTTCTTGTCTTATGCAAAATTAAAATCTCAAGCATTGAAACAGGCTGGTCTGTGTTATATCTCCTGTTTGTACGGGTACAATCTACCTGGACCTCAAAGAGCTTCATCTATAATACTGTTAAATAATACTGAACATTATAATTGTTGGTAGCACCCAGTGAAAATGTCCATCCAATAAAACCTAATGAGAGATGGTACAAAAGGTGACGTGATCCAAACCTTGATTAGATCTTCATATTCAAAGTTTTTGAAAGTGTCCCGACAGCATTTGGTTTAGTTTAACTCTCCTGTTGTGTTGTGGGCAAAATAAAAAAATAAATATATCCTCAAGCGGCAATGATCGGGATCCAAGCAAGTTGTGAAAAATGCAACATTTGTCTGATTTTAATATAACAACAAAACTGCGACAGTATGAACAAGGGGGTCGGTGGGTACTCCCCCAGAAAATTGAGAGTGTTAAAGACTTAATTTCCTGCATTCTGGTGTTTTTCTGCACCAATTTATTGTGGAAATTATTTATATAAAAAGGGACACACAAAATTCAGGTGTTGCTGAATTGTGGCGAATATTTAAGAACATTTTGATCTTTTATGACCTTGTAACTGATTATTTATTTCCATCTTAATTGTGCAATTGTACTACTGCCTGTCTTGGCCAGGACACTCTTGGAAAAATAGTTTTTCTGGTTTAATAAAGGTTTAATAAAACAATTTAAAATCTAAAACTGTACCAGAATATAATGCAGAGCAGCTCTCAGGCATTCTGGGTTGCTTTCAGATATGTTTCTCCTGTAGATCAACTTTTAATATCATCACTGCTGAATCAACACACATGCAGGCGTGACTGATTGTGGTAACCACTTTAAATGTACACGTGGCACCTTTTTACGTCATCAATAATAAATAAAATAATTTTAATACAGTTAGAAACTCCTGGACTTTAATAGCTTCTGTGTTTCAGCAGGTTTTCTCATGTTCAAAGTTCTGCAAATTCAGAATCTAACTGGGTTCTCTGACATTTCCAGAATAAAGGATATTTTGAGAGGTCAAACAGGATAAATCATAATAAACTTTGTAATCAATTCACCTGCATGCTGCACCGTGTGGAAGGGATCCATGTCACGGATTCTGCAACCTGTTGCACCACTACTATCCATGGTAGTGTGGGGATTTAATTCTTTCATGTTTTGTTGTGCAGGATCACAGTCCCTATGTGTCCACATGAGGAAAGGTCAAGATAGGCTATCAGAGTAAAAATGTCTAGACTAGGCAACTTGATGAGTTTATTTTTTTAATCAGACCATTAAAATATTCCTTTTTAAATCTCCATAAAGGTGTTTATAAGATCACTTTAAAATATCACGTTTGCTGCAGCCAACTTTTGTTACCTGTGCCTTTTATTAGGGAGATGTAGCTCTCTCTCTCTCTCTCTCTCTCTCTCTCTCTCTCTCTCTCTCCATCTGAAAAGTTAAACAGCTGGTAGCTGCTGAGTGAAAGATTACTTTCACCGGCGACATTATGGACTCACAGTCGGCCATCGTTATAAAACAGATAGTAACCGATGTGTATTAAAGAAAAGAAACGGGCTAATGTCCAAAGCGATGCTCTGTTCAACAACAAGACACTTTTAATAAATCTCAATCAATGCAGTGATCGTCTGACATAGATGTTACAGTGTGTAGTCTTCATTTGCCCTGCAGAGACCAAAGACGCTTTTAATGCGCCCTTAATGGGAAGTGAAAGTATTTCACTTGCTGGCTCGTGATAGAGCGACGCAGGCTGCAGTGCCGTGGTATGCACTCACTAGATTTCAGTTGTATTAGTAGAACATAAAGCGTTAAACTGAAAAGATATTTGCCAGATTTTCTAAATGTTTGCCCAAATCTGCCCAGCTCTGTGACTGTGACAAGCGCCCGACCAGCGCTTTACTGCATAACTGCGCACACAGCCTGGATGAGCTCATTTCGGTTAATGAAGCTGGTGAAGTTATAAAAGGTATGAATGGAAAATGTAGTGAAATTAAAAGTAGGCCTACATTAGATGCACCCACCCCTGCTGCAGACTCATCACTGCTGCCTTCAGCTAGAAGTAAAAGCAGCACAAAAGAATAAGCTGTACCGGCCTCGAGCAACATTTCTATACATTTTGTCTGCAACTGATGTGAAGTGCGTGAGTGATTGACTCACACACTCCACTTAGTAAACCGCCTCCTATATGAGCCAGCTCCGAAATCGCCTGGGCCAGGAAGGTTATGTGAAATAAAACTTTACATTAGGAAAGGGGGGGGGGGGGGGGACAAAACATAGATTTTGAAATGAAATATGTATAATGCCTCCTCTGCCTATCAGGTGATTAACCTCACCACAAATCCACACAAGTTAATTTCAGCACCTCTGATAAAGTGCAGCTCACAGCTTCAGGTGGAACAGAGCGGACAGACACAGAGCTACAGCTGGATCATCTTATTCTCCTGCTAATTTGCAGGAGAATGAATGAGAATGAATAATAACAATAACAATGTTTCGGCCTTTTGTTGTTTGATTTTTAAAAAACGATCCGAGAGCCGGGGCTTTTCAAAAAACATCCGGGGCTAACGCACCGCTGCAGAGATCTTAGACTCAGAATGATCTGACTACCCCCATTGTCAGCAAGTGTCACCTGGAGATTTGTTGTCACCTGGAACTAGTGTTGTAGTACTCGAGACCACTTTTTGATGGTCTTGGCCTCGTCTCGGACTCGACCGCCTTTGTACTCGGTCTTGTCTCGGTATCGGACATTGAGGACTCTGGATTTTATTAACCCTGTGATGCTTACATTGATTTCAGCTCTTACTGTTTGTATGTGGGTGTTTTAATGGGAATGTGGATCTTTCAGATCACTTTGAGAAGTACCTATGATCTCGTTCCACAATTTATTGCATGCCATGCAATGCAGGGAACTGGTCTTGGTCTTATCCTCCCTCGGTCTTGGTCTCGACTGCTCTCAGCCCCTAAAAGTCTTGGTCTTGTCTCGGTCTCGATAAACTCTGGTCTTGGTCTTGACTTGGTCTCGGTTTGGGCGGTCTTGACTACAACACTAGCTGGAACTTCAGATCTCCAGAGTAGGTTGTTGAAGAAAAATATTGTAAGCCAGGTTCAGGTGTGAAGAAGTTTCGGAGACTGATGAAGACTTAACATAGCAGTGTTTATTGAGCCCGGCCGAGGAGACACAGTGCCAGCATACAACACCAAATCTGAATCTATGTTGTTCCTCAAATGTAAGTCGCTTTGGATAAAAGCGTCTGCCAAATGAGTAAATGTAAATGTAATGTAAATTGAAGGATCTTTGTCTTCCCCCTAGTGCCCGTAGGTTTTTCTATTAGGTCATCTTTAGCTGGCTTTAACCTAAAACAACAAATCTATCTGATGTTTAGACTCTCTCACTATCCATGAGTTGTACTCTAATCTGTGGAGCCAGTTAGTTCTTGTAAACATTCTTGTAAGATTTCCTATATCTGCTAGCCTGACGCCTGGGCTGCTGTCTCTAACTAATTCCTGTATGTCCTCCAACCAAGTCCAGTTTCCCTTGTCATTTCCCTTGAAACCAGTACGTCCACCAATCTGGAAAATTCGCGATTAATTCTGCAAGATAGTCTTAAACTTAAACTTATAAGAAGGCCAGAGCAGCGTACTACTCATCATTAATAGAGGACAATAGGAACAACCCCAGGTTTCTTTTCAGCACTGTAGCCAGGCTGACAGAGAGTCACAGCTCTATTGAGCCAAGTATTCCCATAGCTCTCAGTAGTAATGACTTCATGAGCTTCTTTAATGATAAAATTATAACTTATAGAAACAAAATTCACTAAGACCTGCCCTCAACTAGCACTGACTTATCTCTAAACTCAGATATATGTTTAGACTGCTTTGCTTCCATCAATCTTTACCCATTTCTTCATCTAAACCATCAACCTGCCTCTTAGACCCCATCCCGACTAGGCTGCTTAAAGATGTTTTACCCTTAGTCAGCACCTCTATACTAGATATGATCAATCTATCTTTATCAACAGGCTATGTACCACAGTACTTTAAAGTAGCTGTAATTAAACCTCTTCTGAAAAAGCCCAAACTTGATCCGGATGTTTTAGCCAACTATAGACCTATATCTAACCTTCCATTTCTCTCTAAGGTTCTGGAGAAAGCAGTTGCTAAACAGCTGTGTGACTTTCTACAGAGCAATAGTTTATTTGAGGATTTTCAGTCAGGATTTAGAGCTCATCATAGCACAGAGACAGCACTGGTGAAAATTACTAATGACCTCCTAATGCAGATAATACTGTTATATCTATCGATCAAACCAGATGAAACTAATCAGTTAGCTAAACTCCAAATGTGCCTTCAGGATGTTAAAACCTGGATGACCTGTAATTTTCTAATGTTAAACTCAGATTAAACTGAAGTTATTGTTCTGGGGCCCAAGCACCTCCGTGACGCATTATCTAAAGTATATGATAGTGATGGCATCGCCCTGGCCTCCAGCACTATTGTGAAAAAATAAAGTTTTTCCTTGTCTCTGTCGTCTAGTGCTAGCTCATGGTGGGAATTGTTGGGTTTCTGTAAATAATATCACAGAGTACGGTCTAGACCTGCTCTATATGAAAAGCGCTCTGAGATAACTGTTGTGAATTGGCGCTACATGAATAAAACTGAATTGAATGGAACTTCTTCAGGGAGCAGGCGACGCTACTGACTCTGTCAGTACTTTAAAGGAAATAAAGAAGATGATATCAGAGTTCCTAGTTAAGTGTTTTTAAAGTTAGGTTTCATTTTACCACTATTTATTCAGTGATGTTGCCACCCAACAATGCCCTGATTCAGTTTCAAGTGTTGAACAAAGCTCATGTGACA